TGTTCGTCGCCCCGCGCGGCCGTCGTACGGAAGTTGCTGGCCGCACGGCTTGGTGCCCACTGCCTGCCTGGGCAGGATCGAAATGGGGGAGGGCCGAAACATGCCGCAGCAAAAAGCATCGACTGGCTCGAGGCGAGGCCCTGCGGAATTGAAGGCGGGCTGCCGAGTATGGGGTACGGGGTACGGAATACATGGAGCAATAATAAATAGTAGTAAATGCCCAGGGTCCCAGGGGGCGCGATGATTCACTGGTGGTGCTCGCTCCGTAGATCCCGTCGTCAGAGGACAATCGCTCGGATCGAATTGGCAATAGGGCCTTGGGGCCATGGGGAGATGGGAGCGTCGTTTCCCATTTGCCGCTGCGTGGCCTTGTGCTCTGCCCAGCTGACCCCGCGAAGCTATTCTCGGGGCAACGATTGGCCAAGCCGGTCGGCCGCGGCCAGCCAAGTCCTTTCTTCGCCAACCGAGCGATAGGGGGCTGCATTGGGGACGGAACGGCTATATTATGCACTGTACGGGAGTTGGCTTATGCACAACGGAGCAGCAACGCCACCCAAGTTCCAGGTCGACGGGATCGAGCCAAGGCGCGGGGGGCCAGGCCTGGGCCCCGGCAGCCAATGGCGCTTCGGCAGGGCCCAGCTCCCGGCGCCACCCGGCGCGCCCCCTTTTGGTGGGGCGACTGACGGGTCGCTGCGAGGCATCCGTTTCCATTTCATCCCTTCATCATGCCGCCACTCGCCATCCCATTCCCAGGTGCGCGCGGAGGAAGGGCTTCGACATTGGAAGAAAGAAACGATAACGGCGCAACGCGAGTTGGAAACCCGACAGCTCAGATGCGCGGCCCCTGGCAGAAGAAACTGGCACGGCGGGATGCGCCTGGACTCTGCCAGTCCTACCGGCCCCTACGTGAATACTCTGACCAGCAATCTTTGACCAGACGACTCTCCCAACCACCACGGGTTTGATAGTACGTACCTGCTGCGGTGATCGACGGGTTGGAAATGGCAACTGGGAAGCAGACGCATCAACGGACATTGGTTTGCTATCCTGTCAGAGCAGCGGCGCCGTGTTTTCTTACGTACCGACCACCAAACCTGCTCGCAGGGGATGCTGGCGTTGCGGCTGCCAATCCCAATCACACTCCGTGTCAGTTTCCGAGAAACCCAAACTGTGGTGCATTTTGTTCCAAATAGCGTCTTCAAATGGCAATGAAGAGCGTTGCGCCGGGGGAGCCTGCTAGCCTGCGCCGCCCATCAAGGTGTCTCTTTCTCGCCGCCCAAACTCGCATGAGACGGGAGCTCGCCGCAGTCTCCATCGCTCGCTCGCATGAAGGAGAGAGAGGGAGTCAGAGGGAAGAGAGAGACAAGGGCGGTTAGTGAAGATTGGCATGGCGTAACACGTCTGAGGCAAACTTTTTTCGCGATGGCGTATCCCGGTACATTTGTGTACAACCACAGGAACTATAGGTCCGGGTGGCGGCGAATTACAGACAACAGTCGTGCTTCATGGCATCTGTGGCCGGGGGGTATCGCTGTCGCTCATGAAAATATCCAATTCGTGTCTGGTTGTGACGGCTGGACACGGCGGCACACGTTCACGTCAGAGCAACAGTGAGCGGCGACGGTCAGAAGCGTGCAAGCCAACAACAAAGGATTCCACTGATGTCCTGGAATCGTGTTGGGGGGCCACGGTTGGAAGGCTGAACACGTGCTGGGAAAGGACAGATAGTACAGCGTACGTCGTGCGTTGTAATGGCGAGGAGGAACGGGCAGCACAAGCGAGGCGCAGGGGGGGCATTCATCAACGGAAAGCAAAGGACTGGAAAGGTGTGTGTCTTTGTAAGAACCGAAAGTCACGGAGTGGATGGATGAAGGGGGACCTTGACGAAAGAATTAATGAATGAACTTATATTTTTGTTAAAAAAAAAATAAAGGGAAAGGAAAAACAGAGGAAGGGGTGGGGGGGGAGAGCGGCAGAGAAGGGAGGACGAAGAAGCGGCTAGCACAAGAAAAGAAGAAAGCAAGCAAAGAAACCGATGACAATGGCGCGAAAGGGCGACGGGACATGGATGCGAGGGAGAGATGTCATGGACGGCGACCCGGTTGCTCTGGAGCCGCGCAAAAGCAACGCACACATCCATCACGTACCCGGGTCAATCGGTGCTCTCTGCCTGTCAGGCGATGGCTGTGATATGCTGGCAATTCCTGCAGGCCCGGTGACGGCCACTCGATCGACCCATCATCGTCAGCGGCAAGTCGACGACGTCTGGGGACCGAGAGTTCTTGTCGTTGATCGCTGATGCGTTGGCACCGACAGCCTGGCCATGGTGCGCATGTGGGCCTGGTAAGCGCCTCGGCAGGGTCCGACTCTCTGACGTGAATGTGAATGTGAATGTGAATGTGAATGCCTTTTGCCCGATGCCACCAACCAACCGCTCAACCAACCCCCAGGTCTCGCCTTGCTTGTCCTGGTGTCTTGGTCCACGGACTCATTCATACCTGACGCACTGTTTGGGCTGTGCTGTGCTGTGCTGTGCCGTTCCCGTCTCCCGTTCCCGTCCATCTCACTCAGCATGTCAATCGCTCGGATTCCACCGTCAGGCGCAGCAGTGCAGTCAGTTAAGGCTGCACCCGTTGCGCAGCTGCGGCAAATCTGGGGGAACCTGGAACGTCTAGGCCCCCGGCCGCGGCCCCATGGGCGTGGAGCTACGTACTCCTTACCCGAAAACACATGTGCCTGGGCACCCAGGAACTTGGTGTGTACAGACGTACGTCCCTGGGCACCTGGGTTCTCCGCGTTGGCGTTGTAGGGAGTGGGTACCGTACGCTTGTACTGCTCAAGTAGTTTCCGGCGCCAGGCTGGTCATGGAGTACATGCGTCGCGAGGTCAGCTGGACAACGGCTGGACGGAAGGCATCATGGCAAACGGCAAATGGCAAAGGTTCCGTGGATCTGGACTCTGGACTCTGGACATTGAGGTGATGGCATCCGAACCCTTGCCACCTCGGAGGCATTCGCTCCGAGGCAAACAGCACTCGACCTGGGCAAAAGAGCCTGCAGAAAAACAAAAACGAGCACCTGACGCGTCGTCATGAAAGGCATCTATCTATCTGGTCGATTGGGGGCCGAGCATGAAACACGGCCGCTTCACCCGCGCTCCGTACAGGGCAGAAGGAGCCAAAAACAAACCACGGCTACGACTTCTTTCGACTCGACTCGCAAGGAACGGGCAACGACCTGGAACAGCCCGACCTGGTGCTTTTGCATCAACAGTCGGAAGCGCGACCACCCACACTTTGCGCAGACGCGCGCTGCCCATCAAGCAAAGACGTCGTCTTCCTGATTCAATCGTCCGAAGACGGCAAATTGCAGGAAGTGCATCGCCATCGCATCAACCAACGTACTAGTACTCCGTGCTGCCTATGCCCATGACCAGGCCTGGCCAGACCCGGGCACCGGACTTGGGCTGGGCTTGGCTCCCTGGGCTCCAACGGCTCCAACTGGCTCCGTGCTCCGTTTCAACATTTTGCTTGCGCGTGACTGCCAGCTGTTGGAGAGATCACGGGGAATCACCCGGTGAGCGAGCGAGCGGGTGAGTGACTGACGGACTGTTGGCAGGACCAAGTCTGCTTCACCCGCTTCACCCGCTTCACCCTTGTCCGTCCCCGTTTCCCCAGTTCCTCCGTAATAGAGACGGCCCGTCTGCCACTCGCAAAATTCACACATGTATGCAACTCCGTACCCCAAGGGCCTCGGTGACTGACTACGGAGTGCCGAAACGGAACACCTGCCATCACATGATGGAAGAGGGTGCATGTCCACAGCCCTTTTGCCTGGGCTCGTTTTGGTCCAGGCCGGCCGCAGTGCTGGGGCCCAGTACTCGATTCAGGACAGCCAGAATGCCACCAAGTGCCAAGACGGAGTGCAGCCCAAAGAGGCTTAGTCGTAGCTGTCGCCCGCTAAGCCTCTATGGGCAGTGCCTTGAATGTATCCGATAGTCCGATGGCAAAGTAGTTCCTCTTTGAGTTTAGTTTGTAGGGCCAGGTCACGCTGACCGCAGAAGGAACAGAGAGCGAGGTGGCCCAGGGCAAGTTCCGCGACTTCTGTCCTCTCCCTCCTCACCCCCCACCCCACCCCCCTCTGGCCTTCCGGTTACTGATCACAAGAGTCGCGAGGGTGCTTTTGGCCCCCCCGGCGCTGGCTGCTTCGTCCCCAGTCTCGCCCTTGCTGTGCGTGCGCTGTCTGTTCCCAGCGGCGCCTCCGTTCCGTACAATGCGCCAGACCTTCTGAACCCTGTGCGCACGCCCTCTCTAAGCTCTGCACCCCCACCCCTGCGCCCGGTACGTACCACATGGTTCCGACCCTTGCTTGCTTCTCGTTGGGCCCTGGAGTCCAAGTCACATCCTACACGCCACGACTCATTGCTCAAAGTGCCTGCCCTTGGGCTGCTCTTTCCCTCCCCGTCCCACCTTGCTCTTATCCCACGTTTGTGGACTACATCTATATCCTCTTCCCCAGACACCCTTCGCGCTGCCGTTCTTTCGTCCCCATCTTCACCTCCGCATTGTTGTGTGCCCTGCTCAGCCGCTGCCGACTTAACAACATCCATCCTCCGGACAAACATCATCTCACTCACGGCTCGCAATCCTCTTCACCGATTGCCAGTCTGGAGCGCGCGAGCAAACCATCCTCTCCACTATCCCGCAGCGCAGCGCCAGAGAGGCGTGCACACCCTCCTGGTCTACAGCTGGGAATCAACCTTCACATCAGAATTACGCGAATTGGCGCCGGAATCGCACTTGAAAACCGCCCGCGATACGCATTTTCCCCGACGTTACGCTGTCACTGCCCATCTGCACAGCGAAGTACCAAAATAAGATATTAGCTGCCCAGTCGTCGCCCCCTCGAAGTGTCGAGGCATGCTTCGGGTTGCTTGACAACCACACCAGACAGCGCACCTCCATCTCTGCTCGCACCGACCGAGCACCCCAGATGACAGCTATGCCTTATCGGTTAGACACGCACGTCTTGACGGTGGACGCCAACGTAATCCACAAGGTCGACACTGCGAATCCCGCTAATCTTTATAGCATGTGGACAGGTGAGGTCCCTCTCTTGCCACCGCCTCAGCTGGATCCCTCATCACGATGCTGACCCAGTGCTCCAAAACAGTCTTTTCCCGTTGTGCAGACTCTGTAGAGCAGGGCAGAAGACTGGAGAACTTGAGCTGGCGTCTCTGGCAGAGAGAGCAGCTCGTTGAGAGCGCGAATAAGAAAAACACCACCACATCTACGACTACCACGACTCCTCCCAAGAACGTCCCCTCAGATATGAGATTACCAGAGGTCCCCCAACTGTCTGGCAGCGTCGAGTCTTTGGCTGACGACGAGACGGTCGATTTCACCTCTGTATCAGCACCGCTTGAGATCCGACCTAGGATACGAAGACTAGATTCCTCCACCACCAGACGTGATCGACGCATTAGCTCTGATGACTTTGAGAAGATGATCGTGTCCATTGTCAAGGACAAGGCTCCCCTGTCCGCCCCCTCACATACGTCTTCCTTGATGGCGTCCACGAAGCAGAAGCTTCTACTTCCCGTTCCTCCCTCCCTCGCCCGGTCTGCATCTGCCACAACCGAGTCACAATCTTCAGTACAGATTTCCGAGGAGCTACGTCCCTCCCCTTTGCCGCCTCCCGAGGTCCCCAGAGTCCGAGCACTTGCTTTCCCAGAACCAGATGCTGCTGCTTCGTCGCAACATCCTCTGCCCGAACCAAACTCCTCACCGGCACCCAAGCACGTGCAGCTTAAGAAGCAGCCTGCTCGGTTCGCGCTTGGTGGATCTTGTTCTTCAAGCGAACACAGCCAGAGCATTGACAACACCAAGGCTACTTCCGTTGTCACGGGTAAGAAGCCCGTGCTCCAAATTGGCGGCTCATCGGGGGAGCCATCCGTCAAGCGCTCTGGTCACTCTGCACTTCCAAACAACCGCATGAGCGACTCGACGGCCCAGGCTTTGCAGCAGAGCGAGTCTGCCGTCGACTCTGACACCGAGGCCGAATACGTCGACGAGAGCGCCATTGACGACGATGACTCATCTGACTGGGAAGACTCAACGGAAGACAGCGGCAAATCTAGCGTTGACGACAAGTTCTTCCAGCGCGTCGAGTCCAAGGCCAACCTCGCCTCCCGCCCGTCGCTAATCACGCTCATGCTTGCACAGAACGAGCGAGCCAGGACACTGGGCAATCAAGCTTCGCAATCCACACCTGCCATCCACCGAACCCGAGCGGGGCCTAACGGGCCCAGTCTGGGTGTTTCCCCCAACGACTCTGACGAAGCGCCTCTGATGATGAAGGGCATGCGACACTCTGCACTCAAGCCCATCAGCGAGATTCCCCGATCCGCCGCGCAACCAATCACGACCCACACTACTCATGTCAACTTCCCTGCGGCCTTTTCTCCCCGAACCACGCGCCGCAACATGCTGGCTACCGAACTCACCGAGTCCCTCCGACTGAACCTTGTCTGGGAGCGGCAGCAGAAGAAGTTGACTAGCAAGGCGATGCTCAAGCGGCGCCACACTTCGCAGGACGTCGCCAACCTAAACCAGTATCCCCAGAAGGCATGTATCAAAGCCAGCGAGGACGCGGAAGCCCATAGCTGGAACCAATACTTTTCTAAGGAAGCTCTCAACGGATACCATTCAAAAGGCTGGTAAAGATGACACGGTCGTCCCTCCCACCTCTGCATGGTGAGCATGTACAAGCTTGGTTGGCTTCAGGGGCGCGCGTCTGGCAGGGCTTTGGTGGCCTCGCCGTGTATATCTGAACGGCGTGTAAAGATTATTTTTTCCTTGTGTTGACGACACTGATCTTCCTAATCACATACCACATCTTGGACCTTTTATGAGGACAGCCGGGACTCGACCCGGGGACATTGCACGACTAGTCTTAGCGTTGCATGAATTACCAAAAAAAAGCACAGCATTGTAGCGCACACTTGGGGAGACATGCTCTGATGCGTGGTCCGTGTGGATTGTGCCAGGCCTTAATATTCCCTTGCCTTTCTGTTACGTCAACATACTTTTGCGAGGCGTTGCATATCTTTTTCAATCTCTTTCAACACCAATGATACCATGGTCTGGGCTTGGCTCCATCGGGAGCATATGCGTTCATGTTTGTTTGATTGGCTCCAGCTTTGTAACTCTATGACGGAAGCGAGGGCGGGAGACGATTTGAGATGGAACGGGGGTGCAAGGGCAACCTTGCTCACTGAGCGGGGATGTAGTCGAGCGCCCTCGCCTGGTGAAGGGTCAGGAGGAGAATGCCAAAGCAGGATGAAAGAAGACAAAAATTAAAAAAAAAAAAAATTAAGAAAGAGACAAAAGGTGGCGGAGGAGCTAGACAAGGACGAGACGGCGTCGCGCGTCGATGCGGAAGCAATGGGGAGAGGGAGCAGGGTCGACTACAGAGCCCAACGAGAGGAGCATCAACCGCACGGAGTACGAGGAACAATTAGAAACAAGCATGCTCGGAGTGGCATGTGGCGGCCAAGAGAGGGAGGGAGGGCCGCACAAAAGCATGAATTGAATAAGCTACGAGATGAGGGCTTTTTTTTACGTTTTTGAATTTGAATGTGTGAATGTGTGGCGCCGGACGGGGGATATCCTTGCTCTGTTGGTACGGGGTAACTTAATTTGATGGTGTTTTTGACAGTTGGCATGGCCCAAGTCGATGGACATAAGGCGGAGCTAGCAAGTAGCTGGCGGTGAGGAGAAGGGTGACGGCGAGGCGAGGCGAGGGCGGGGGGTCGGGGCGGGGGAGCGAGTGGGCAGGCAAGCAGGCAATAGCCGGCCCTCGAGGCTAAGCCGAGCGTGGAAAATGTTTAGGTGTGAAGATTAGTCGAGAAGATTTAAATAAATAATAAGAGCAGGGAAAAAAAGGGGAAGATGAAGTAAAATAAAACAAAGGGGGGCCTAGTCGAAAGGTGGACAAAGGCCCACGCTGCCTGGTTGTCGATTGGAGGAACTGGCACGAGCGGGCCAACTGCGCGTGGCTACCACCGACCAACGAGTGAGTGGTGTCACGAGCAAAGAATAAGCTTTTGCGCCCTCCTCGCCCGTCCCCACCCCTCTCTGCCGAGTATGAGTATGCACGTTCGGGGTACCGAGTAGACCTGTCGGGCTGTCGGGCTGGGCGTGGCGGCGTCGGCGCGTCTGGCCTGCCGGGGGCAAGAGGTCCCGCTTACAGTTCACATGTGCCTCTGCCTATGATGGATGGCTGTCGCGTGCGCGTGCGCGTGGCGAGCGGCGAGCGGCGAGCAGCGAGGGCCTGGGGTGCTTGCTCTACTTTGCCACTTACCGGCGCGGTGCGGTGCCTGGGCGTGGCGTGGCGTGGCGTGGCGTGCTGGCGACGGGCGACCGACGCGCGCGGCACGGAAGCCGCGCCGGCGGTGCTGCGCTGATGAAATACCCGGCGGTCGGTCCGACTTGGGGCCGTTGTGTAATCTGGGCCGGGGAGGAAGGAAGCGGGGGGCGGCGGCGGAGCAGGAAGCTTTATCGACTCGTCATCGGGTGCGGAGTACGGAGCACGTGCGCTCTGGTTCTTGTGGACTTTGCCTTTGGAAAAAAATGCGTTGACGCCGGGACGTGGGCGGCGGTGCGGGCGCCAGATGGAGCGAGCGTGTTTGCAGGTCATGACGACCTCTACGGAGTACGTGGTGTCGGGCGAAGAAGACGGGCGAAATGGTGATTCTGATTTGGGCATGCCTTGTGATTGACGTGGGGTCCGATGGCCCACGGGGGACGAAAATTTTTAAATTCTTGAAAAATTCTGCAGGTCGGGGTGCGCTGGGTTTGGTTGCGGGGGCAGACGTGCGGAGTACTCCGTACAGAGCACAGGCACAGGGTACGGAGCACGACGGCTGTGCTGCTGCTCCGTACCGGGTGTCTGCTGTGGATGTACTGCATGTGCCCTCGTGGACGAAATGAAATGGAGCCCGACGTATTCCTGCAGGGGCGTGCGCGACGGGCAGATTTTCTCGACGGACGAAAACGAAGAAAAAAGGCGGGCATCTGGCAGCAGACGTGCCCCGCAGGCCCCGTCAGAGGGGCATTTCCACGTCCGTGTGTTTTCTGCTCTGGACGTTCTCTCTTGCTCGGCCACCCCTGCGCGCTTCTGCTCCGCGGGACGGAGATGCGGACGGACACTCGCGCCGCCGCCAGCCCGGCGTCCTCTACCGCGCGTGGAGTCTGCGGATGTGGCGCGTGGGTGACGAGGTGGCGGTGGGCGCGCCGTGCACGCCGCCGACCCAGGCCCCGCTTCCCCGGACCGGCGGCCGCCGTGGCTGCCACGCCGGGCCAGGTCGGGCGGAAGCCAAGGCCTTGCACACGCAGTCATGTGCTGTGCTGTGCTCGGCAGGGCCCCGAGCAAGGCGGTGGGTGTCGACAAGTGCAGAGCGAGGGCTTATTTGCGACGGGCAGTGGGACACGGCAGGACTGCTTGTTGCCCGCGCGCGCCGTCGCCGCATGCGGAGCGGCTCCGACTGGAATCGAAGCTCCAGCTTGAACCTAGACCAGGCGCATCAGTACAAAGCCGGTCGCAGCGAGGATGAAGACTCGAGGAGAGAAGATGACAAAAAGACGGAGGAACAATATAAAAATGAAACAAGATTTCTACATCTGCCGACGGCGTTCGAGGCTGGGTTTGATGATTCGTGAGTGACTGACGGGAGCCGCGCCGGGCCCCGAAACAAGAGCCTCTCGCCGCTCTCTTCCGCCATGATGCAGCCATGACGACAGAGTTGGTTCGCGCGGCGACCGGGGGCAGCTCCCCAGGCGCGCGCGCTTCCATGCAGACCGGTTCCCCATCTTGGCTGGCGCCGCATTGCCCCGAAATGACGGGGAAAAAGTAAACATTGCTGGAAACAGTTCAGGTCGGGCGGGCGAATGGCCGACGTCAAGGTCGAAGCCGCGACGCGACGCACGTCTCAGATGCATACGAACCAACCACATGCATCCGCACATCCGCACGCACGGGGCGGCGTGAGGAGGACGGGCCCGGCGCGTGCGTGTGTTTGTTCGATTTCATCTCTTGTCCGGAGCAGGTGTGACTCTCGCAGCAGGGCGTGGAACGAGAGAGGCAGAGACGGACCGACACGGGATGGGATGGATGGGATGGATGAGCTGCGATCAACATGCGTTGAGGCATGTTTTTTTTATTTTTTTTATTTTTTGCATGCCAAACTCACCCACTCTTGCTGCGTTGGCCACGGGAGAAGAGGCTGCGCCGGGCTGGACTGGTTCGAGCGTCCAGCGAGCCGAACGCGGCCTCAACCACTTCCCGGCAGGCTCGACGACTTTGGATGGTCACATGGTTGGTCGGTTGGTCGACTCGACGCCCCGGCTCGATCACGACGCAGGAGCTTGGACCCTTGGATTGTTGTCCACTGCCGTGCGCATTGTGCCATGCCAGGTTGGCAATGCAACTGTTTTGACGTCTTTTTTTTTTTTTTAGAAAATGCCACACCATCCCGTCCCCCGCCCAGCACCGACCATGACGACGGCGACGACGATGATGCAAACGACTTTCCCCAACCCCCGCATCCCGTCTCCCGGCACCTAGCAGTCCGTACCTGTCGTCGAGGGCGGGGGGGGAGGGGACGAGAGGACTCGGAGAGCCGTTGGCTCACGCTTACGTCATGAGGGCAGCCTGTGGGCTACAGCACACCAAGGTCACTATAAAAGGGAAGGTGGTTACATCCGAAGCCGGTTGCTCCTCAGGGCTAGCCTGCCAGTCTCTCCGGATATCCCACTCGGGGAAAATGGCCATCTTTTCTGGAAGGCTTCCACGTGCAGGGAGAGAGAGAGTGCGCACGCTGCTTGGCGCTGCTCGCGGAACTGCAAGTCTGGAACTCCTACTCCGTACAGCCAGTCAATCCCGGCCGGGCTCCCCGTGCGGTATAGCGCGCGCGAGGGCCCCGCCCCGTCTTGGCCCTCGGCCACGGACCAGTCAGAAAAGTACAAAAAAAAAAAGAAACCCTTGCCCCACTCTTAGGGGTTTTTCTTTTCTTTTTTTTCATTCTATTTTTTTTATTAAAAAAAAAAAAGAATGCCTTGGTGGGTGGGCTGTCGCGAGTCACTCGACCTTGACCCTTTGAGCTTCCCGCCTTTGCACACAGACCTCTCTCCCGGCAATCTCTGTCGGCTTGGGGATCGAGTCCAGGTGTCGCGGGTTTCTTTACTCGTTTCGTCCGAGAGACGGGGGAGTTCTGCTGTCCTCTGAGGTGTTTGCGCGACGTGATTGCGTTTCTCGGGCAGCGCGCCAGAGTGGCTGGCATTGCGATTGCTGCCTCACGCATGGCACGGGCACGGACGTGGGTGCACGCGCAGAGTTTGGTGTCCGAAGCAACTTCATCTTTGTGTGCGGCGGAAATAATGGGCGGCAGGCGGCAGGCGGCAGGCGGCAGGCGGCTGGCCCAGCCTCGGCAACGAGGCCCGGCTGTTTCTGGCGAGATGGGCAGTTGGGTCTGGCGCAAAGAAACAAAACACGAAAAAAACATCACCATGATGGTCGTGATTACATTGATGATGTCAATAGTACGATCCGTCCATCCGTCTAGCCTGCCTCGTCGCGTAGACTAGACACCACAAGTGTCCCTTTTCATGTGCTCGCCGGGCACGCTTCGGTCCCGACCCAGACCACCACGTCCATGCTTGCTTGCTTTCGGCCGACCGCAGCACGGCGTCCAGGGCAGGGCAGGGCAGGGCAGCCGACTCGCGCGGTCCTTTTCCTTGGTCCTTGGCACGCAAGCAAGCGGCCACCCACACAGCTTTGGCGCACCCATCTGGAATGTGGAATGTGGAATGTGCCATGCCGTGCCACGCAGCAGAAGCCCAGCCCAACATGAATGAAACGTGGGCGGCCGGCATCCGTCGACAATAGCAGCCGGAGGCGTGAATGCGGACGCCGACGCGAGCGCGGACGCGGACGCGAACGCTTCATTGTTCACGTGGCTTGGCCTGTGAAGAAGCGCCCTCGGCCCAGGCCCCCACACCCTTTGCCGGCCGACCGACTCATTCAGACCGTGCACAATGCGATGCAGACACCGCAAGTGCGGCCGGCGGTGAGTGGTCGAAACAGCCACGGCCACGGCCACAGCCACAGCACACCACAGCAAACAGCACACCACAGCACACAGCACCGTCGTCCAGGCCGTGGCGCGTGGCGCGTGGCGCAGTCCGGCCCAAGCATTTCAACTCCTCAACAGCAGCCGGCCGAGGCAGAGGCAGAGGCAGAGGAAACTGGATTGCGTCGCAGCGCGACCAAAACGAAGCACCGCTGCGAGGCGCGTCAGACGCTCGCCACCGTGACGGGACAATGACTGCGCGATTGTTCTGGAGGCGCCGGCGCACCACCACGCCGGTGCCGGTGCGTCTTGTGCCGGCGCGAGGAAATCAAGAGGACGGGACATCAAATTGCGAGATTTTAGAGTTGAGAAAAAAAAAAAGCAGCCGCTCCGTACTAAACGGAGGTCGCCGCCGTCTTGTACGGCCCGACGTGTGGTTTGTAGTTAACTATTGCGCGCGCACGCACCCGCGCACCCACGCATGCCTTCAAAGGCGTCTTGATTGCGCCGTGCGTTTACAACACGTAGCAGAGATGAAGGTCAAGTTGGATTTCACATGCCCAGAGGGGGGTAGGTGCTGAATGTCGGTCCGAGAGGGAGAGATTGCGTGTTTCGTCAACTAGTTTTATTTTATGATGTTTCATTTCATTCAGAGTGGTGTTTAAAAAAAAAGTAAAGATAAAAAAAACCAACCACCACCACAACAACAAGAAACAGCAAGTCACATTGAGAGCAGGGAGCCGGGGGGTCTTGGCGAAGAATGACATCTCGACTTGGCGCGACGGGGCCGCGCAAGAAATTAATTGCCAAGGGCGCGACTCGCCGAATACACGACGCACTCGGTCCTTGCATGTGTATTTATTCCGTACTGGCGTGCAGCAAGCAGGCAAGCAGGCAAGCAAGCGATGCAATGGCACTCGGCCAACCATTCGTGCGCGCTTCATCAATCAGGCCCTCTGGCCAAGTACACATGTCCGTACTGGCTTGACTTGATTTCATTCATGCCCAACTCACTCCGGGCGCTGCCCATGTTGCACAGTTATTAAATGCAAAATCTAACCGTCAACTCGACCGGCCGGAGGAGCCTTGCTGGGGCCCCCGGTGACCGGGGAAGAAATGAGGGAGCGAGTCGATTCGCTCTCTTGTTGGTGAGTACGCAGTACGCAGTACGGGGTACGGGGTAGTGTCAGAGCCCCCGGCCCAACCTGTCTTTGCTCTCTGCTTCTCTCGTCTTCTCCCCTTTCCTCCTTCTCGAGCGTGCCGACGGTTGGGTGCCGTTTCAGACGAGAGAGCCATGCCCCCAGCACCAGCGCGCGTGCGTACGTGCGTGCCTGCAGACGGCACCGGACGAGTGCGAGTCAGTACCGAGTACTCCGTAATGACCGAGTGAATAAGAAAGGCATAGATCCAAGGGGCCCGAGGCGGACGGGGACGCCGACATGACCGCCCGTGGGCGCGCCCTCTCCACCAACCACGCACGCACGCAGCAGCAACCCAACCCAGGGCAACGCAACCGGGGACAGGACAGGGCGTGAAACAACAAGACTTGTCAAGCCAAACGTGGACCGACGCGGCCGTTGTTTTGGCCGCGGCACCTTGCAACATGAACGGACCGTCCCAGCCCGCCGTCATCATGTATGTGGTGTGTGTGTGTGTGTGTTACAAAGCAGATCTGCATCGAGGGGACCCGTGGCCGTCAAGTCGTCAACCCGCCAATGACTTCTTCCATCGCGCGGGAGTTTGACGGCGTTGACGTTTCTGAAGATGCAGACGGACCCTTGCCAACCACCACCTTCCTCGCAGGCCGAGGAAAATAAATTCGTACGCCTAGTTGACGTCCCCAAGCCGCTTGTACTTTCTTGGGTCCTTGCGGCTCATGGTCCTCTGATCTCTTGTCCCCTTGCCGCCCTCCCAGAATCCTTTGCCCTTCCTCCCAATCACGCTGCGTCCGCAGAAACCGCATGCCTCCGCCATGTACTTCTGCTCGCGGCTGCACCAACCGCATATCATGCGCTTCGCCCACTCGTTGACGTGGTCCTCGGCGTCGTCATGGCACTTGTCGCACGCATGCACGCGATTGCAGCACGAGAACCGGAACCAACGGAACGACTTTCGGTAGTGAGCGCAGGCGCCCTGGTCGGGGAGCGCTTCCCCGGCATGCAGCCCGAGTTTCTCCGTCCTTCGCCGCGCCCCGGCTGCTGTCGTCGCCGGCGCCGGCGACCCCGGCGATATAAAGACGAACTTGACCTGCGGAATCTTGAACGTGAACATGCCGTGGCACGACCGGCACACGTTGGTGACGCTCTCACCCCTGACCGAAACCAGTCCCTGGCTGGCGGTTGAGCAGCGCGCGCACGTTGGGATCAAGGTGCTGGGGAGCATGTCTGCGACTTTGCACCCCGACAGGTCGATGAAGCCTGCACGCGTCGAGCCCTCGTGAATGAGCGTCTGGTTGAACCTGGCCGTGAGCGTCGTGCCGCACTTTTTACAGCTTGTCGTCTTGTCCATGCCTGGCTTCAGGCCCGTCATGTCGTTGACCGTTTTGCACCGTTCGCATTTCACGCTGATGCCGAGAATGGACACCTGCAGCACCTCGACGCCGTGTAGCTCCACCGACGGCAAGGACATCATGGTCCCTCGCTCTCTGGCTTGGCTGACCTGTGCCGGTGCTGGGTCCGGCTCCGCATCAGCCTCTCGCAGTAGGGCAACGCCGCCATCTCCATCCCATGTGCTGTCTGAATCCTCGTCATCGTATCCTGCAGAATCCCATTCGGGCGGTCGCGCTATAACTTTGATGTGGCTTCCATCCTTGCCAGTTACACTTACGCCGGATGGTCCAGTGACAAATGTCTCCTCGTCGATTGTCGTAGCCTTTCCCGCCTCTTCCTGCTCCTGAGCCGCAGCCCTTTGCGCCATCACTTGGGCCTGCTTGGCTAGGGCGTGTAGATTCTGAACAAGATAGTTCACGTGGCTCATCAGAGACATGGACTTCTGCTCTGCTGCCTTGACCGCGAACAATGCCTCAAGTGCCTCCGCCTCAACGTCATTAACCTCGTTGAGCTGGATTCTGACGTCCTGCAGCGGGTACAACAGCGGGACAATGAGGTGCAAACTGTTGACTGGGCCAAGCCCGGGGGGCAGCTCATTCCTCCTCTTGGGCTCAATCGGCAACGTAAACACAATGCCATCTGCGGAGCGTCGAAACCCGGGTAGCCTCCCCATGCGTGCCTCCAGTTGGCGAACTTCCTGCGCCCTCCTTGCCTTGGCCTCTGCAATCTGCCGCTTTGAGTATGACTCCTCAGGCATATGAGGTCTTGCAGATGGCGTTATGCTGACTGGCTTAGTTGGTGCGAAACTTGGTTCCGGCTTCGTGACGGAGGCGGCAGCGTCTGGGTGCCTTGCGTCCTTGAAGGCGACCAGCTTGACCGTGTCCGCCTTCTCCTCGGAGAGGAATTTTTCCAAGTTTTTATCCAGAGCATTTACAATCGACAGGATAGTGGCCCCCTTCCTCTCCATGGCCAGTCTGTCCCAACCCCTTTCGATATTGATGCGAAACCCCCATGGGATATTGCTGTTCTTCACACGCAGTTCCGGTCTTTCATCCGGGTAGTTGGCAGGGACACGCACATCGCACTCCAGATGGGTCAGTTCAAAGGGAAAGTCAGGATCCGACGGCTTCAACTTGAACACCAGAGACGTGGTTCCAGCGTCAGTAGTGGACTCGTTTGGGGAGAATCGTCGTCGAAGCTGCTCGACCTGATAACCGCGAGGGTCGTCTGCCTGGGACGTCGGAACTGGTTTGGCTACGACCCTAGAAGACGGTGCTTCCCCCACAGCCTGTTTTAGGGTCTGTGAGCCGTCGGTCTGAGACCCCAAGGCTATCATGGCCAGTTGGGTAGAGATGATGCCAATGCTGAGCGGAATGGTGGGTGAGAAGGAGCGGCTCGTTGTTTCGTGGGGTTCTGTCTTTTAAATCAGGGAAACACCCAACGCCTGTCCAGATGATTCTCTTGATAAGTACAGTAAGGTGGAAATCGGCGGAGAAAATCCCCTGGTGAAGGAGTCCCCGGGGAGTAGAGAGGGTTCTTTTACGTCGACTTCGCAATGAGAGAGGGTTGACGTTCTGATGGTGGCGTTGCAAAGCGGAGCGGCAGCTACTGGCAGACCTCGCTTTCCAGATCCGGACTAGTTCCACAAGCACCGTCTGGAGATGGATGCTTTTCAACGTTCAACAGTGGCTCACGACGACGGTGTGAGTCACAGCCGACGCAGTCATTATGAGCACGCGATTCATCCGCAACATCCATATTGACTTGATATCATCAAGACGAGACTGAGACGGTCTCTTCGGTGCTGATTGACGTAGATTCTTCACCCCGGTCAAATTGGAAATTGGCAATCGGGCGGCTTCGAGGCAGGTAAGATTTGACCTCCAAGTATCGTGTCCCAGCTCACGACTTCCCAGATCAAGGACGACTCGACTGCGATTCGCATCCTTTGTCATTTTTAATTTTGGAGGATTGTTTCATTCCAAAGTCTAAGCCCACATAAACAAAAGCAATTGCCGTTTGTGCCAGGGTCCTCTGGAGTCGAGTCATTTACTCCATGGCCGCAAGACCAGCGTGAAGGTTTTGTCGTATCCTTGAAGGTCTAGGCGAAGGCTCCAACGCACAATAAAACCTGGTCAAATAAGCAGGCAAATACTTGTTTTCAGAGTCAATGTATTGTCAATTGTCATCAGTACGTAGCTTGACTAAGAACTCTCAGGGCCAAGGGAAGGCGAAAATCCTACATAAAGGGTTACTCCGAATCCGAGTCCAGGGTACCAACCTATCGGACTGGCTGTACATTTGCATATTTGAAGGAATGAAGCACTCGACTATAATCTTATTGTCAAGTCGGACACAATTCTTTGGTTTTTTTTCGTCCCTGTTACAAGTTATTGATTATAGTCGATTTTCTTTGGCCACGATATGTAATTGCACCTGGTCGTGGAAGCCGTGCATCTATTACGTCCCCCCTCACGCTGTCGTGGGCTTTGAGGTGCACCAACCTACGTTGTAGGAAAAGACGGCACAACGAAGCACGAATCTCCAAGATAGCCAAACGTCCTCGGAGAGCTGCTTTTCCAGTTATAGACTGAGACTGAACAGCGGAAGATGAACATCCGTAGTTACGGGGTAGTGCTGACAAAGTCGATGTGTCATTGTAGCACCATTGTCGCTCAGAGCTCTTTCTACGCAACAGTTTAAGTGAGCGGACCAAGCCGTGTCTCGGATACGAGGTTCTTGCCTACCATCTCAACTCGCCGATAGCGGGCCCCTCATCGATCAGCCAAAATAAAGCCGCTTTTTATTTGAATGAGTTTTAGATCTTGTGCGTTGTCCCAAAGCAGGGTCGTGGATACCCAATCCATCCACGGAGCAAAGGTGCTGGTTGGCAAATTACCACACAGGGCACACCGTCACCCCCGGATAGAAGACGTCATTTCCATTATTGTCCGTAAGACATAGACATAAGCACACCTGCCAACCGAGGGTGGCACTAACGCAGTCTTATCACTTCCTGTGGCCAGCGAACGTTGTAAGAGGGTCAAGGCGGGATGGCAGGAGGGGTGTGGGCCAAGGACCGTGAACGACGACGACAACTCCTCCTCTTCTTGTGTGCATTCTTTGAGCTCTTGAAGGAGAGAAACTGAACATATAACATATCGGTCAGCACAGCCGCTGAGTGTGCGATGTGCGGTGGTGCAGTACCACACAGCGGTCGGCGGCGGCCATGTCGATGCATGATCCAATGGTAGGCGACATTGTAGGTCCTGCTGAGAAAGTAATTTGGCGCCGCGACGCCTAGATGTCGCGCCAGCTGTACGGAGTACTCGGTACACTGAGGCAATAATATCAAAGAGCACGTGAATAGTCGATTCGTCTCGCACGCAATCAGGGCGGTCGTGGCAGCTTCACCGCGACCACGGGATTGCTGAGTTGTCCTGGGGCAGGCGAAGACTGAAGCCTGCCATGGCCAACTGGCCGCCAAAGGCATCACTAGTCTGAGCCTGTGAGCGGAAGATGCATGCTCACCGCAACATGTTTTGGCCCGAGGCGTTCCAATCGACGGCTTCCGGACACAGTCACAGCAAGGCTTCATCTCAGGCGGCATGTCATGGTTCGTTCGGCAAGCTGAATGCATGTAGGTACTCGATACTTGTTGGTCATCAAGACAAGCGAGGTGGAACATGCAGAATCGCCAAAGGGCCTTGTATTTCTGTGCTTTGACCGGGTCGGCGGGCTTGACGCGGCCACGCGGGTGCGATGGGGATGCATCTGGCTGCGTCGTGTGCGATAAACTGCATTTGCCACGGACGGGAATGACGGACGGCGCAACATGGGGTTGATTGCCAGCTCAGCATTGCAAAGGCAGATGACCCGGATGACCAAGGTTGAGCTGCAGAGAGGGAGGCGTGCGGATGCGTCAACTGGTGCGACGTCGATTCAAAAAAGAGGAGGGAGGGGAAGGTGCGACCTTGCAACCTTGCAGGCGGTGAAGTCTGGGTCGCTGCCGCTTTGGGCCAGCGAAGACGGCCAGCCGAAGAGGAACAGGCAGGCGCGACGGGTGGGACGAGAATACAATAAATAAATGAGTGCTGCGAATTTTTTTTTAAAAAAATATTTTTTTATTTCATTGTTGAAAATGATTTTTTGGTGACGGCAGAATCAAGATTGAAAACGACCAAGACATACATACGCCTCTGTCTTTTTCAATCACGCATTGCGGTTGCGGCCCGAGAAGAGCACACACACACACACGTGCACACCGCACACCACACATCTGGCTTTTACGTTTCAATGTTGACGGCAGTTCCCAGGCACCAAGTCCAAAAGTGCCTCTCCCACGTTGTCACTGGGCTGATTCACACAAACGTGTCTACGCACCTGGCAGAACAGTAGTGCGTCTACTGAAGAAGGAAAGGAAGAAAACGACGGCGGGCGCATCGTGAAAGCGCAAGGTCCAGATGTCATCGTCAACACCATCGTCACCGTCGCCGTCACCGTAACCGTCACCGTCACCGTCAGTCCACGGCTCAACTCACCGGGCTCGACACATGCACATTCAAAATGCAGGCAAGCCTCACAAACAACATGACGACTCGCAACAAGGGCCCAAGTGGCACCCCCGAAACAGACGGTGAGGCTTCCACAGCGTCCGCCACTCTCCGCCACGATGCAAAGCTGCCAAGCTGCCGTCTGCTGACGATGTCAACGGCGCGGAAGCAAACAGCACAGACACAGGAGGCATACATCTGCCAGTGCGCATGTGTCCCTGGGCGCCTGAATGCCTGCAGCTCGTCCAGGGCCGGCGTGTGCGCAGCAATGTAACCTCGCAACCTCGAGAGGCGTCGAGTTCCGTACCGTGACTTGAGCTGAACGAATGCCGCCAAACGACATGTTGCAGGGGCGAGGATGCTCATCCTCCTCCTCCTCCTCCTCCTACTCCTCCTCCTCCTCCTCCTCCTACTCCTCCTCCTCCTCCCTCCTCGTCCCGTCGACGGACGTGATGTCCTTTGTGTCGTTGCACCGCCTCAGCTGGCTGCCTAATGTAATATGTAATTGCAAGTCCGAGGGCTCATCATGGGTGGTGTTGCAACACTCGCTCGCTCGCTCACTCACTCATCTCACTCATCATCCCTCATCCTTGACACGACCTAACGCTTACATGTCAGGTCGCCCATTGACAAATGAGAATACTTTTATTGTCCACGAGGTCTTGACGGTACATGCAATAATATGAAAAGCAACATGATAATTGCTCATCTTTGGTTTGAAATCGACTTTTTTTATTTCTATTGTATTTTATTCATGCCGAATAAACACGCGACCCTGTTTTGCACCTTGGAGATAAGAATGCGAATGCAACCCCAATATACGTATTAGTCTCAGGTCACACCCTGTCAAATCTTCTCGGACGTTTTCAAACTCGTCGACGTTCCGACGTGGCGCCATCTTGGGCCTTGACGGGAGGCACATGACCGCTTGTGAGCCTAAAGAGGAACTTGGCGCTTCTTTCGCGAATACCTCATCATGAAATGTGTCGTGATGTGGCTTCCTACCGTATAGCGCTCGAAAAAAAAACCTTCAATCCATTTCGCTTTGGAGAACCGCGTCTCACGTCTCCAGACCATAAAACTGAGGGAGAGGTAGATGATAAGACTCTGATATTGATACTAGTAAAAGAGGTAATAACAAACAGGGGCCCTTGTCTTGACTCCAGAGTCTAGGCATTGTCATCGGCTACGGATTTGGGGGCAACGAAGTGCTACCCTAATCATCTTGACATTCACCCAGCCCTGGTAGCCGCTGTGCCTCAGCCGGATGATGACGGGTCTGTTTCATTTTCCGTTACGTGTTTACCATGGGACCTTGCTACCCAAACATCTTGCTGCTGTTTACACCGTTTCCAAATAATACCTCTTCCCCGTCATTACTGTCCCAGGTGGCGAACGACACAGCTCGATCACCTTCTTTTGGGTCCTCGCGTCTCACACAAGCGGCCGCATCATCAATATTGTCGCCTGATCAGCTCGAAACTTGGGTGTGAAAAGAAAGAAAGGGGAAAAAGAAAACGTAACAAGGCGCAGCTTCCCGAGATTCGCAGCGTGTTGTTCAAGGCCGCTCGTGCCGGCGCGCCGAGAGTTGGAGAACAATGGCCTGGCCTGCCCTCGCACAGCTCCAATCCGTGGCGTCGGCTCCTGGCGGTTGGATTGTTGTCGATGGGGAGGCATGTAGTCACGGTACGTAGGAAGCCGTCAACACTGCAAAATTTCATGTGGCGGACTCCATGTCAAGTCAAGGCGGCGTCTATTGCGCCATTAGTTTTGTACCTTGAACCCCTGTGGTATATGCCCTTGTCTATCGTGACTTCTCTAAAACTCGTCGTCGCCCGAGCCAGAAACAATGACATTGTTCACCTTCAAAACCATGCGACATAGCTGCGTGGCCAGCTGAAGCTGCTGCTTCTTCCCAATCAAGGGGTCGATGACAAAAGCGTCCTTCATATTGTTGTTTCCACGTCCCATGCAGTCAACACCAAGCTTACCTCGGCTGTCGGGCCCAGCCTTGACCTGTTGACTCTTCACTTCAGCTAGAGTAGAAATGGGGTTGAGACCACTATTCTCAGCTAGTGTCATGGGGACAGTATCCAAAGCTTCAGAGAACGCGCGCATGGCGTACTGCTCCAAACCTGGCGTCCGGACGGCTGCATCCTCGACAGCTAGAGAACAGGCAATCTCGGCAGCGCCGCCGCCGTAGACGACACGGTTGTCGCGCACCAAGTTTCGTACCACACATAAGGCGTCGTGAAGTGATCGCTTAGCTTCGTCGATAATCTAGACAACGTATTAGCCATTACTACACTATTTGAGCAGCAGTGATCGTCCAGCATACCATCTTGTTACTGCCACGACAGAAAATGGTCACGGCGCGGGTGTTGGCACACTCCTCAATGACCAGCATCTTCTCTCTTGTTGTGCCAAAAGTCATCTCTCTGACGATACCCGCCGAACCCAGCTTCTCAGGCTTGAGATCTTCGAACCGCGGTACTATTCTGCCATTGGTAGCAATGGCAATCAGCTCGATCTCGGGACCGCCAACCCAGCGCACGGCTGGAAGACCGTTCTGGAGTAGCAAGTGGTTGGCCTCGTCGTCGAACCCCCACTGACAGATGGCCAAGTTGGCGCCAGTGTCCTTGACCTGCTGGATCATCTCGATAAACTTCTCCCTCTCGTAGCTTTGTAGTTTCTTGAACTCTTCAACACTGGTGATCTCGAGCTTGTGCTTGGTCTTGGGCTTAGGAGGCTCAAAGGCGCAGGTCAGGATGGCAATCTTGGCGTCTCGCACTTCAGAAGGCATCTGCGGATGAGAAAAGTCCTTGTCGACAATGACGCCCTTGACGAGTAGCGTATCTTCGAGCGAGCCTCCAACCTTGCCGTCGACCTTGATCAGTTCGAAATCGACGTCCTTTCGTTCCAGATCCGCTACAGACAGGACGGCGTCCACTGCAATGTTGGCAAACTGGTCGTGTGCTTTGGAGACGATCTTGCTGCCCAAGCTTGTTCGCGCAACCTTGACCAGGTTGGCAGTACTCGTCCTTGTGAAGTCGATTGTGTCTGAGATTCGGTCCAGCTCGGCGACGGCGATGTCACACGCTTGGTCGTACCCGTCGGCAATACGGATAGGGTGGATGCCCTTATCAATAAGGTCGGCAGCTTGCTCTAGCAAAGCACCAGCCAGGACAACAACACCGGTGGTACCGTCGCCAATTTCGTCATCCTGGGATTTGGAAAGCTCTACTAGAAGCTTGGCGATGTGGTTGCCTATTTCCATCTGCTGCAGGATGGTGGCCCCATCGTTGGTGACTGTGATGTCTCCGTCCGGGGAGATGAGGATCTTGTCCAGGCCTCGAGGGCCGAGGGAGGACTTGACAAGATTTGCTACGGTTCTGGCCGCGAGAATGTGGGACTTGACGGCCTCGTTTCCGAACTGACGCTTCTTTTTCCCCTGACTGTGCGTGTGGTTGTCAGAGGTTGTTCAGTGCAGACCTGTGCTTGGACTTGACAGGCGGGGCTTACTCTCGGACAACGATGAAGGGTCGGCCTTGCTCATCCCTCAAGAAGGTTGCTGTTGAATGAAAAAATGCATGTGTTAGCGCCGAGGGCTGTGACACGATAGTCGATCGTCGTGCAGTTACCATTGTTAGGATCCAGGTCTGCCAGTACACATGGTTAGCTCTTATAGTCATGACCAACCCGTGGATCACCACAACCAGTTTGCACTCACTCAGTGACATGTTGGCGACGAACCGGCTATTGCGGAGGCCCTACCAGACAGTGCCAAAAAAAAAAGACTTGTCGACAGGGAAAAAGGACCGAAACAATGAAGACCTCCGGCTTGGGGCTGGTCAAAATTTTAGAGTATTGGTTGTCTTGGACCTTGACGCGGTGGGGGACACCGGGAAAAGAAATCTCCGCCACCCGAGTTGTCGTTGCGAAACGGCTCAGTTTCTTAAGTTCTGGCAGCGCTTCTCACTAGGTTAAGTAAGGAGGGGCTGGGCAGGTACGGAGCTCGGGCCCGGCGTCGAGGGGCTCTTAGTGGCGGGGTATCTCGAGAATTGCCCTAGGCGTCATCGGTTCATTGCCCCCCCACCCCCAGCTTCAACTTCGATGAACGTCGACCGCACAGCTGGTGTTCCTGTGCGTCTCTCTTTTTGCATCACAAAGGTTTGCCAAAGTATGCTAACCCTTACCTTGACCGAATGCATGGCGGACAGATAAACTGACAAGTTCAGAAACAACATAGAGTTTCCCACCAGGAGTCGCACACGGCCCAATCTGAGCCGACACGGAGAGAAACCATCCACGTCTTTATTCTAAACCGCGGGTCGTTGTGCGGCGGCGTCGTCGTCGTCAAACATGGCACCTACTGATTTCTACGACGACGACCTATATGATGGGGACGACTATGAGCAAGATCAAGAGGAGGAGCTGAGCCCCGAGGACAAGCAAGCCATGGAGAAGGGCACTGCCGATGTAAAAATAGCCCTTGGTGCCAATGCTGGCAAAGTGACTGTCAAGCAGATACAAGAGGCGCTATGGCACTATTTTTACGATGTAGAGAAATCTGTCGCCTACTTGAGCAGGACCTTTATTGTACCACCACCGTCTAAACCAACACCGAAGAAAGCCCTAGAGAGTAAGTTGCATGAGTTCTCGTTTTCACCTTCACTTGGTCTGTTTGTAAGATGGACTGGAGCGGCGAAGACCTTACCACTGTCGGACTCGTCGCAAATATCCAAAGCACTGCCCCTGCCGCCTTGCAGAGCCTCCAGCTTCAGATCAAATTCGAAGCTGCTTCAAACAGAGTTCGATGACATGCCCTGGTTAAATACACCAGAGAGTCGTCGAGCTACATTTGTAGCACCCTCCAAGCCGCGAGGCGGATTACTTGGCGGGGCGGGAGAGGCCCCGAAAATGTCCAAGCTGCAAGCCCTCGCGGCCGCCAGGAAAAAGAAGAACGACGAAAAGAAAGAGTACGCAAACGCTTCACGGGCAGAAAGTGGCATGAAAAGATTGTCAATCGCAGATGGTCCCCAGAGAGAACACAACATGGGAGCCTCAAGCCCTTCAAAGCGGTTGCGTGGTCCTGTCATGCATGCTTTATCGCGAGAAACATTGGACAGATGTGACTGCCGGCGCCAGACCTCTCAAAATACAGAATCCAGTGTTGATCCTATCGAAGCCAAAGCTTCGCAACAAGAGTCAAACGAAGCGAATCAATACCCTCGGGTTCAAAGGGAGGAACAAGAAGAAAGCGATGCAGAGCTAGTTCGCACATGTGCGCCATCAGCCTTCGCCCAGATTTTATCCGGTCCTGCTCCAGATAATCGTCAAGCAAACAGGCCTGGTTTCTATGCAATGCCATACGCTGCCTCATCATCCTTTCTTGCTACAGCATTCTCTAATCCCAGTCCGGATGATGTCGTCCTAGCAGCACAAGCAAAAGGTTCGAACTTTGCAAGGGCGAAATAGCAAGCTAATTCTAATGTTTCTTCAGCCGGCAAGAAGACCACAGCTTCTGTCAAAGCGGTATCCACAGGGGCTAAAAAAGACAAGAAATTCGATACTGCCTCTCAAGATGCAGATGTGGTACATGGGGTCTCGAACCTGAAGGTCAGCGACGTTCCGCCCCCAAAGAGCAAAGGCCTTGATGTAGCCAAGGAGTACGAGCGGAGCAACAGTAAAAAGAGCATCAGCTTCGTTGTTGTCGGTAAGTCAAAAGAACCCAGCAGAAGATGGACAGGTTTTTCACTGTGATCCATGCTAATGTGTTGATAGGACATGTTGATGCCGGTAAAAGTACGCTTATGGGCCGCCTTTTGCTTGAACTGAAATACGTTCAAGAGCGCACAGTGGATAAGTATCGCCGACAAGCAGAGAGGACTGGAAAGCAGTCTTTTGCTCTTGCCTGGGTCCTGGACCAGAGAACTGAAGAAAGGGAACGTGGCGTTACAATCGACATCGCCACCAACCACTTTGAAACTTCAAACGCGAAGTTTACCGTCTTGGACGCCCCTGGTCACAGGGATTTCGTCCCGAATATGATTGCAGGTGCTAGCCAAGCAGATTCTGCCATTCTTGTGATTGACGCAAATACTGGAGCTTACGAAAGAGGCCTGAAGGGGCAAACGAGAGAGCATGTATTGTTGCTCCGCAGTTTGGGTGTCCAGCGCCTGATTGTTGCCGTCAATAAATTGGACATGATTGGTTGGTCACGAGATCGGTTCGACGAAATTTCACAGCAAGTCATGGGATTTCTCACAGGCTTGGGTTTTCAAAGCAAATTGGTAAGCTTCATTCCAGTCTCAGGCTTGAATGGAGACAATATCGCCAGTATGACAGAGGATACATCTGCAACGTGGTATCAAGGCCCAACACTCATTACATCATTGGAAGATTTGGAGCCTTCGACGGCCCGTGCCATTGAGAAACCCTTCCGAATGTCGATTTCAGAAGTGTTTCGATCCCAACAACAGGGCACCACAACACTTGCTGGCCGAATTGACGCAGGAAATATTCAGATTGGCGACGCAGCTATTGTGCAGCCCAGTGGAAAAGCCGCGTATATTAAATCCATCATGGTGGATACTGAAGCTCAAGACTGGGCAGTCGCCGGCCAGAGCGTTACGATTGCCTTGACTGACATTGATCCTATTCACATGCGTGTTGGCGACATCCTGTGCAGCACCGTCGACCCAATCCGCGTTGGGGACAACTTCACTCTGAAGGCCATGGCATTCGAGCATTTAGTGCCGATGCCAGTAGACCTTCACCGTGGGCGTCTCCACGTGGCTGGACAAATCCAGTCAATACCCGCCACTCTCGACAAGGCTACCGGGGAAATCCTTAAGAAGAAACCCAAGGTGGTTCAGCCCGGGAGCGTGGCTCGCGTGATGATCAAGCTGGGCTCCAAGGTTCCGTTGGAAAAGGGTCAGAGAGTTGTCCTTCGCCGTGGCGGGGAAACCATCGCAGCCGGCTTGTTGGAATAATCGAGTTGGAGGTTTAACATTTTATCAAAAGAGCAAGCTTGTTGGCCGCATGTAGGGGAATGCACAAATCCGGATACTATTCAAAGTGAAAAGAGACGACGCAAGATTTGCCACGGCGAAACCCGCAATACGTCGCTATCAGGTCCCTTGGCGTGTCGAGGAGCAACGGACTGGCCTGGCGACTTGTGGCGACGTGCTAAAGGGTCCACTGGTCGGTCCTCCATGCCGGCTATGCACTACATACCTTGATTGTCCCGAATATTCTCGAAGTCTCCACTTGAGGCTACGGTCGACAGCTTGAGGATTGGCCTCGTGAGTCGTGGCCAATAGATTATTGCACGGTGTCTTTTGGTGCTGACTTAGTCATTGTAACCACCGGAGTAAGAGGACACATGGGCGGTCATTTGTGATTTTGCCTCGGCGGTGGCGTCGTCGCCATACATCATATGGGCCAAGCGCTACGAGGAGAACGCGACTGGCCTTTGCCTCATCAGCTACGAATATGACGAGCGGCTTACCAGACTTGTCCTGTCAGCTGTGCTGTGTGAGAGTTCCGCGGTCTTCTCAAAGCCAAGTGAATGCCGTCGTTGCGCGGCTGCATTTTCTTTCTTTCTTTTTTCTCTTCTCCCCTTGCTAGGGATCAAGTTTCATGCCACCATCGATGGCGCTTCGCAGGTCGGTGGCAACGGCGCCAAAGGCGACGTGGTTGCTTGGCTTTGGCGGACGGGAAACTATTTGACATGGAAGGCGGCGCCAACGTACAGTGCCATACCCTGTGCGCGCTTGCATCCTGACACTGTCTTCAGCACAGGTGCGCAGACGCAACTGCCGCCTCTAACTAGACTACTACAGTCAATCCACTGTGGTATACGTAGAGATATACAGTGCGAGCCTCCAAAAAACCACCCCGCTTTCGGATCCTGCCAAGTGGGGCGCACTGTGGGAAGGCAGGGCCCGCCAGGAACCTTACGTGAAATCTGGCCTCTTGTGCGCTCGTTTTGGACACGACATATTATTTTCTTTGGTGGGACGCATCTTATAATAACCGTCCATCTTCTTTTTCCTCTTGTTCAATCTTCAACTCTTGTCTCTCAGTTGATACATCATACCACCGAAGACGCTGGCTTGAGAACCAAGGGACTTGGCCGCGTAACGCATTTTACTTTTTCTCTTTTCTCTCCTTTTGGTCGGTATTTGCTTCCATCATCCGGATAGCTTCAAACCTGCCCATCACTCGCCCCTAACCCCCCTTCCACCATGGCTCGATCACGGAGCACATTTGCTTTGGGCCTCGGGCTCCTTTGTTGGATCACTCTTCTCTTCTCCCCCCTGGCTTTGGTCAAGACCGCCCAGGCTAGCACTCCTGACGACGTTGGCGTCGCCATTGGTATTGTGAGTATTTCCGGCTCCCGGGGACCATGGTACTACGAGGCCGGTCGCCTATGTAGGCGCGCGGCTCTTTGACTGTCGTGAGCCTGCTTGCTCTCACACGTGATTGCTGACTCTTCTCTGGCGCAGGATCTGGGCACGACTTTCAGCTGCGTCGGTGTGATGCAGAATGGCCAGGTCGAGATTCTCACCAACGATCAGGGCAACCGAATTACCCCTTCCTTTGTCGCCTTCGCAGACGGAGAGCGTCTGGTTGGTGACCCCGCCAAAAATCAGGCCGCCAACAACCCTGAAGGAACTTTTTTTGATGTCAAGTAAGTCTGCGGTCATTTGAAACACAGTTCCTGGCATTCTTGCAGGGAGCTCGTCTTGGTTAACCGGTCAACTTTAGGCGTCTGATGGGCACAAAGTTCAGCGACACGGCCGTCCAGAAAGATATCAAGAACATGCCTTTCAAGGTTGTCGATAAGGAGGGTAAGCCCGCGATGCGACTCGAAAAAGAAGACGGCACCACATATTACACACCAGAAGAAATCTCTGCCATGATTCTAGGCAACCTTAAATCGACTGCCGAGAGGTACTTGAACCACGAGGTCACTCATGCCGTCATCACTGTCCCCGCCTACTTCAACGTGAGTGCTCTACCATGAATCGATTTTGCCGGGGGCAGTATTATTAACAACCAGTACAGGACAATCAACGCCAGGCTACCAAAGATGCCGGCACTATCGCCGGTCTCCAAGTCCTGCGACTTGTTAACGAACCCACCGCAGCCGCTCTCGCCTACGGTCTGGGAAAGTCGGATGAGGAGCGTACCATCCTTGTTTTCGATTTCGGTGGTGGCACTTTGGATGTCTCCATTCTTGTCATCGACGAGGGTGTTTTCCAGGTCCTGGCTGTTGCCGGTGACTCCCATCTTGGTGGTGAAGATTTGACCAATAGCCTCGTCGACCACTTCGCCGAGTCCTTTAAAAAGGAGCACAAGGTCGATATTACCAAGAACAAGAAAGCCATGGCTGTACTCAAGCGTGAAGCCGAAAAGGCCAAGCGTGCTCTGTCCTCTCAAACGACAGCCACCGTAAACATTGATCATTTCCACGAGGGCAAGGACTTTTCCCACACAATCACCCGCGCCAAGTTCGAACAGCTCAACCAGCGCCACTTTGAGGCCACAAAGAAAGTCGTCAAGCGGGCTCTCAAGGACGCCAACTTGACGCCGGAAGATATTCGAGACGTCGTCCTCGTCGGTGGCTCTACCCGCATCCCCATGGTTCAGGACATTGTTAAGAAAATAACTGGCAAGGCACCCTACACGGGCATCAACCCCGACGAGGCTGTCGCATACGGTGCCGCTGTTCAGGCTGGTATTCTTACTGGACAGGACGGTACTGACGGCGTCGTCCTAATGGATGTCAACCCTCTCACTCTAGGTATTGAGACCACTGGCGGAGTCATGACGAAGCTGATTCCCCGCAACACTGCCATCCCTACACGCAAGAGCCAGATTTTCTCTACCGCTGCCGATAACCAGCCCGTGGTCCTGATCCAGGTCTACGAGGGTGAGCGAATTGCGACCAAGGACAACAACCTTCTTGGCAAGTTTGAGCTTACTGGGATCCCTCCCGCGCCTCGCGGTGTTCCCCAGATCGAGGTTATCTTTGAACTTGATGCCAACGGCATTCTCAAGGTCTCTGCTCACGACAAGGGCACTGGCAAGCAGAAGTCCATCACCATCACCAACGACAAGGGCCGTCTCACCCAGGAGGAAATTGACCGCATGGTTGCCGAGGCTGAGAAGTACGCAGAGGAGGACAAGGCCACCCGAGAGCGTATCGACGCCCGCAACGGTCTGGAGACGTACGCTTATAACCTCAAGAACCAGGTCAACGACGCCGAGGGTCTCGGCGGCAAGATCGAGGAGGAGGACAAGGAGACTGTAAGTTCATTTTGACGAAAGAGTACTCCCATGTATCAGCAGCAGCAATTGGCTAATACGGAATGTAGATTCTGGATGCCGTTAAGGAGGCTCTTGAGTGGCTCGACGAGCACGGCCAACAGGCTTCTGCCGAAGACTTTGAGGAACAGAAGGAGAAGCTGTCCAACGTGGCTTATCCCATCACCTCGAAGATGTACGGTGGTGATGGGCCTGGTGGAAGCGAGGAAGCCGAGTCTGATGTCCACGACGAACTGTAATTTGCATGGGTACCATGAGTAGATGGTTTGAGCGAGATTTAAAGTAGCTCCGGTCGGGTTGTTTTGCGTGGAGTAGGGGCATTTTGACATGTCAGATGTAGCGTTGCCCGGAGTGTAAAAGTAGACGGAATATAAAAACAAATATTTCCTGAAGGTAGATTGTGTGGGTGTCGTGCATGACGTTACGGGCGGCAAGGGCTGTTGAGGAGGGAGCCGCTTCAGTTTGGGGTCGGGGCCCGTGATGAAGTTGAAGTTGAATCGTGCAGCGCCAGGGAAGGAGCACCCCGGATGGCTGCTTGATCGGAGCCATGATTGCGCCAGGCCTGGGAAGTTGAATCTCGACATGTCCACGGCAGCAGTGCAAGAATGTGCATTGGGCATTGCCCTGTCACGGAAACGGGATCCAAGATGGTCTTTGGTTGATTGTTCAGCAAGCACGTCGGGTCCGGTCGGAGGGAAGTCTGCGTGCCATCTCCAAGGCCTCCTCTCCTTCCTCTCACTCACTCTTGGCCGATGGTCGGGCAAGCACCAACATACATCATCGCAGCAGGAACGGTTCGAGTCCAAGTGCAGCGAGATGGCCAGCACGGCGGGAACCGAGTTCTTGGGCTCGATGCAGGAGATATTCAAGGAGGCGCAGGACCAAGAGTTCACCTCGGTGGCGGATTTCCGCAAGGTGAGCGGCGGCATCCTCAAGTTTCTCGGGGCCTGTGCAAAGATGACGGGCGCCAGAGCCCGCGCCAGCTGTCCGATTTGCCTGCCAGACGGTCGCCATGTCAAGACGCACGTGGCACTGCCTCCGACGGCCCTACGTCTGAGCAGGGCGACGATCGGGAGGCTGCGAGAGGCCCCCTCTCCCAATGAGTTTTGCGGAATTCTGCTCGCGCAAATACACGAGCAGCTGCATGCCAAGCGATCGGACGGGGGCATGGCAAGGAAGCACGCCACAGCGCCGCCGGTCTTTTCTCACAGACACGCCCGGAAGAAGAGGAGGGCGTCGAGGTCTTCGCCCGAGTCGACGCCAAACCCGCCGTCGGCGAAGAAACCACGCCGACACCATGGCAGACTAGACTGTGGGAATCACGACCGCGAGACTGTAGTGCGGGAGAAGGGGGCAGCAAGTGACGGCGAGGGGGGTGTCGCGCCGGTCTTGAAGCAGGGCTCTACGTCCCAGTCCCAGGGGGCAAAAGAGGTTCGCGCCAAACAGAGGCCCGACGCCGTCGCGGCCAGGACGGCGAAGGCGAGACATTCACTCCCCGCAGGACCGCCGATGCAAACACCATGTGCTCCCGCCAAGGCCTCCGCTGACCTGGCCACCGCGGAACGGGCTGCCAGACGGGATCAGAGTCCCGCCACACCAACCAGGCCGTCCAAGATCCTTGTGCTGAAGAGGAACCGGGCTCTTGCAGAGCGCCCGGTGATGCAGCTGCACCACCAGCAGCGGCAGGACGCTCTACCCGCAACGATTTCGCAAGATGACGACTCCTACTCCGATACCTCCAGCGACGACAGGGAAACAGTGTCCGACGTGTCCGACGTGTCCGACGTATCAGTGCTCCCCATGGAGACTGACCGCCCACAAGACGTGATCCAGGAGACCACGACGCAGACGGGGCTGGGATTCAAGCCAAGCGTGAGCCACCTCTGTCTATACCCCTAGGGAATTCTGGCTTCCCAGTAAACGACTAACCAGACCATACATAGGAGCGAGACACGCGACGAGCAGGCGCGAAGCCCCGCCGGTCAGCGGCAGCAGCTCAGTTCTTAAGAAAGGCGCCGCATTTGAGTGACGGCATTTCCTGCGTGAACCCGAGAAACTGGGACAAGTATCTCCGCAGGATCCAGGCCTACGCCGACTCGGAGGGGATCCGGGGCGCAGATTTCAAGCAGCGACTCATGAAGCTCGTCGGGATGATATACCTGCCCGAGGAGCTGGATGCCATCGCGGCAAATGAATAGGATAGGCTTTTGCGCATCGCAGAGCTCTGCTCGGGCCTTGCCGAGACTTTGGGCCCGGAGGGTGAGGTTGTGGACCACGAGACTCGCAACCGCTGGATAGAGACGAAGAACGAGGACATCAACAGCCTGAAGAAGTTGTTTGAGGGCAAAGCCTTCCTGGTCTAGTTTGGGGGTGGTGAGTGATTTCTGCTCGCCGAGAAGATGGGTGCTGCAAGGGTTTGAGCGTGCTTTCGTTTGCAGAATACATCACATGTAGCCGACGGCCTTGATTTTCGATTTTGCAATGAAACGGGCCCGGGGCCGTGGAGGTGGGGGGGGCACGAGGCAGGCAACAAGAATGAGACAGGACGCTCAAGTAGCTGAGAAGGAAAATACTGGCGCCATGACAAAAGGAGCGCAGCGTGTCACCGCAGAGAGAGGCGCACGCTTCCAAGGGACATCATGGGGGGCCTTTTATAACGGCGATGAACAAGTCGTAATGATACCTACTCTCTGCTCAACCACATGTGCTGGGTATATTCCGCCAGTCCCGTCCCCCATTCAGTCCCCTTTCCCAAAACTCCGACTCTTAACATTCGCTTCCATCATCTTCTCCCATCGATCCCACCGCAATGTGTTCAACCCTTCTTTATCCATCCCGGAAAGTGACAAAGAGGTATATAGCAAAAGAAAAAAAAAACACCTCGCTTACACTTGGAGCGTAGCATGACCCACGAACAAGAGGAAAACAAAACAAAGAAAAAACCAAAGCGTCGATGTGTGGGGTAGGCCAGGAAAAAGCATACCCGGGAACGCCAACGCGAATACGCCTCACCCTCCCTCCCTGTCCGTGTGTGTGAGTGAATGACAAAGTGAAACTCCGTTTGGCCATTGGATATCAAATGAAAACGAAATGCTCGCCTTGTCGGATTTGGTGTGAAAAAAAGGCATCATGCAGACAGGCCGCATGCGTATGAGTACACTTGGAGTTGTTGAAGAAAGAATTATGACAGCAAGGAAAGCAAAAAGTGTTGGGGGATATCAAGCTCACGTACGGGATGCTGTGATGTGAAAGAATCGCAAATAGCTTCGTGAGGCACTGCAAAACGGCCAGAACCCAAACAACGCCAGCTTGGTCGTGCTTGACAGGTCCTTCGTTTCGGCTGCATCCAGAATATATATATGTATGAAGCCACGGACGACAACGCGACTTATTCGAGGCTCTTGGAATGCTTTCGGATATCCTCATCACTAAGCGCCCCGATCCAGAGGCACCGCTCCGTCACGCCTTCAATGGGCTGGAACGTGTAACGAGTGCTGGCTTCCAAGAGGCGGAGAAGTGTCTTGACAACAGAGGCCGCGATGCGACACCGTTCAAAGTTGACAAGGGGTGCGGCTGTCGGGGAACTTGCAATTTCAGATGGCTTCTGTGCATTGTAAAGCAAGTCATGTGTATAAATGCCGACAAACGGAATGCATCCAGAATCTGACCCCAGTTCCATCTCTTGTCGAATTTTGTGAAAGTTCCTCCTGGGAGTGACCAGAAGCTCGAGATCACTGAGCGTCTTCAAGTCACTTGCTGGCACAAGGTCCCATGTCTTGGACATGCGAGATATTTCGTTGCTCGACAGAGCAATCGTGAGCTGAGCAAGAGTTGCAAAATTGCGATACCGTCGGCAGTGGGCCGCGACGTGGATCAGCTTGATTATGCATCTGGCTCTCTCTTCAACATGCTGCGTGAGGACAATCTCCGAGATGGCCCACTTGACCATTATGTTGAATCGTGCAATCACAACCTCGACGCCTTGCGCGTCTGTGTTCTTCAGGAAATCAACCCATGACCGAGAATGGCCCCTAGCACCGTTCTTCCAGTCCATGTCGATCAGTTCTTTCCAATCGATTTCGTTCAAAGCATCCTTCTCAATCAGTGTAAATTGTTGAGCCAGGGTGTCCGAGTCGAAGGCCAGAATGAATGGCAAGTGAACTGCAAGCTTGGGGCTGGCTGACGTGCCAGGTTTGGCGTCGCCAGCCAACGCATTGCTGCGAGCCATCTCATCGGCGAACGGTGGACTGTCAGGAGAGCCCACAATCGGCGTCAAGTCGGGGGTCGGGGGTAGTGGCTTTCTGGGCCAAGTGTTGAAATTGGTGTGGTCGGCATCGGGAGCCTTTGTCGTCACCGACATGCCCTGGGCCCGAGTTACTTGCCCCGAAGCTGTTTTCGGCCTCTGGTTGCAAGGAGGCTCTTGTGCCAGAGGATGTGCGGGAAGGCTGCCATCTGAGAGAGGGTTGGCATGTCCCTTGACTCCCCGAGAACCACGCTCATCCTCGGATAATTCTGAAGATAGATCTGTGTTGTCTGCGCTGTCATCTCGCAAGAAGGACTCGCCCTCCATTCCTGATGTGGTTGAGGGCATTGTTTCGCCAGGCTTGATTCGGTCAATGCTGTCAGACTTTTCCACGACTTCAAACGATGAATGCGTGGCATCGTGAGCATTGCTTACGTGCTCTGCATTGGAGACCGAATCTTCGTCGTCTGAGCCTCGGAGAACGGATCTGTCGGTCCAAGTTCGAGGTGACATTTTACTCGTGTCGTCGCCGAGCCCTCGCTTCAGGAGCGGTATCGAGCAGTACGACTCCTGCGAAACTTCAGAAAGAAAGGAAATCGGCGCTCCGGTTGTGCCGTCGGCCTTCCTGGGCTGTTGCTCGACCGGAACCCTCTGCCAGTGCTCGGCTTCATCTGCCAAATGATATTGCGAATACGACTCGGTACTGTTCATCCCCTTCTCCTCGTCCGTATTTTCCGCATCAAGTTTTGTATTGTTGAGCTCGGCAACGTCTTCTGGCTGTCCTTCTCCCTTCGTTTCGGTGTTGGTGACATCTGGACGCTGACCAATGACAGAGACTTTGGGAGATCTTTTGGGAATTATCCCTTCCAGTTTCATAAGCGCCGATTCAATGCCGCCATCTTCTTCGTCTGGGATTTGCGCAAGCTTTTGCGCCTCAGCTTCGAACGACGGTCGCATGACAGGCTTAGAGGAATGTGTGCTGAAGAGTGAGAGCTTCCGCTTTGATGGTTTCTCTGCCAGCTGCCCGAGTGAAAACACTTCTTCGCCCGAAGTCAACGGCGCGTTTGGGTGATCCAATTCCCCCGAAGAGTTGGGACGAGTACTCAACATATAGGAGCTGCGCATAGACTCGCTAAAAGTTGCCAAAGAACCCACCGATTGCGACCGTCTTACCATGGACCGGTCAAGGTCGCCCACCTTTGTAGCGGCTTTCAAATCCCCCCCGGGTCGTCGCCGGAGAACACGAAGCGGCGCGGGCACAGAAGCTTGAGATTGCCAGACGCTGTCCAAGTCGCTTGTGGCCGTGGCGGTGGCATCAAAGCTCTCGGTGGTGTGCGAAATTGACACGCTACCAAAGGAGGTGGCCCGGCGATGCATTATCGAGTCCAAGGATTGGTGTATTTTTGACGATCGGGTTCGTCTACGTAGCCGAACTACTCCTCTACTTAGGGGAGGATGCTGTCTGCTCTTGCGTACTGCCGACAATGATGGTCGAGCCTGTTCCTCTGAGACTCTTGCACTCTGGCTGCCTTCTAATGTCGCCAGGTCTGGGATGAATGGAGGCAAAATATTTTCCCCTACAAGGGGTGGCCTTGCGACGTCTGGGTGGACAAGGCATGACGACCGTCGAGAGATTCCAGCCGCTTGGGATTGCTCCGGGGGTGTATTTGGAGGAGTCGGGTCAGTGCCACGATGAATGAAGGAATCCGCAAAAGCATCAACGGAGTAATTCTCGCTTCCGTAGGCACCCGAGGGCATTTCGAAAGGAACAGTATCGTCCACAATGACAATAGACTTGCTTCCAACCGTTGTTCCCATGTCACTAACTGGCCTTTGCTTCTGGTTCAACGTGAAGGCGTCGAGGGTTGTTGAAGTGTTCATACGAGCGGCTGGATAATCGGGGCATGTTGACAGCATTGGTGACGGATTTGGAGGCTGGAATGACGCGCCGGAAGGCTGTTTACGGTCGACTGCTGCAGCCAAAGCCTCTTCCTCCTCACGGATGGCCTTTTTGAAATCCTCAGCGACCTCAGCCCCGAGAAGATCAATCCTAACAGGGGGGCGGGCGCCATTGTGTCTGGCGAGCTGTTGAGGAACCACGGCTGTTCCGGGTATTCGGTTTGTTGTCGCACCTCGGGGACCAACCGTGGGAATGTCTGCCACTAACTTGGCAGAATGAGGGCCTTGGTCTTTGGCTTTTAGGGCCTTGCGGACACCGCGAAGAAGTTTGCGCATGCCGTAGCCCGACATGGCACCGCCTGGTGCCCTTTCTTTGGGGTGATCGTGACTCTTTGACTGGAATATGGTTGTCTGTCGGTGAGAATCGCCGTAACGATGGTGAGATTCCACGTCGACGAAGGCCTGACCAGGCGGGAGAAAGTTACCACGTACGAGGCTCCCTTTAGATGGCGCAATTGTATGAGCCTCTTGGTCGGTAGAAGAAGCCTTGTCAGAGCCATGATCCCGCAAGGAATCTGATAGACTATTACTACGTTTGTGCGTCTGGGCCGGACGAACTCGCTTCCCAACCAGCGCCTTTGGTGCTGTTGCTATCGGCCCAGAGGCAACACCCACGGATGCTGAGGGCACTGGGTGAGCAGCCATCAACTCAGTCGCGTTAGGATTGCAAGCCCGCATGCTTTTGCTGGGGAACGAGCACGATACGACATCCACACTGGCCGGACTGCGTGGCGAGTTGGGGCCGTGTTCCAAGTCCATGGATCCCCTCATGCGATTCTCAGGAGTCCCAGGCCGGTTATCCAGCACCACAAAGTCCCCAACTTGCATCGCCTTGGGTATCTCGCCGGGTAAAGACACGGCGTGAGGATAAGGAGAGGTCTGTTTAGGTTGTAGAGTAGTAGGTGGTAGTGTTTGTTGTTGCCCCATCATCTGTGCCTCCAACGCGGAAGGATTCAGGCCAGGATCTCGACTACCAACCATGCCGCCAGGTGTGATGGTTGCCTCTACACCAGGCAGATCGTCGAATTCGGCTCCGTCCCAGTATTGCGCACAAACCCGGCGCCAACACTTCTTGAGCTCTGCGAGAATCTTTAATTGGACTCTGCGGGAGTCAACGTCTTGACAGAGCTCGTCAACAAAGTCGTTCAATAGGTTGCAAAACACCACGCGCAGGCCGTAGTCGGTGAGAAAGTCGTCCACGAAATAATTCAATATCCAGTGTCGAAGGGCGACAAAGGTCCGAACACGGACAATCATGCCAATCTCGTCGTTGCGGTCCAGCGCCCATCTCATACGGGCAATCAGCATTTGGAGAAGGTCAGTTGGTTCGAGGAAAGATCTGAAAGTGAGAAAGAAGTCGGAAATGAGTTCATAGTCCAAGAAGCAAGGGGACGTTATTTCGGCGACAAGCCGGGGGGGTGTCGCTGCTGTTACGGCCCCTGCGGGGGAATAGCGGACGGTGCTGCCATCGTCACGGGCTGGTTCCAAAGTCAAGTCGGTGAACATGGCGGGCTCAATGGCCAAGTGTGTCGACATGAAGGTTGGCCGCGCCGGGCGTGAAATGCGTGGTGATGGCAAACCAGGAGCCCCACGTTTGGCCACAGAAGGGGAACGATGCCCGGGAACTGCTAGAGGACTAGGCTTCCTCGTTGGAATTGCTGGAGTAGGCTCTTTGCGGGATTGAGATGAAGGACTGTGGTCTGACATGGCGCTGGAACGCAAGTCTTCGGTTGGCGCATAGGAAGAGCCTCGGATCATGGGAGTGCCTCGAACACTGAAGCGGGGTGTTCCAAGGCGCCAAGAGGGTATGTTGACATCGAGAATCGGCTTTCCGGTCATTGCGTCCAGGTCGTCCATGGTCCGGGGTCGAGGATCGTCACATTCGCCCAACTTTGAAGTTGACACTTTGAGTGTACGAGGTTCCTGTTCACTGCTGTGGTTGACTTCGTGTACCGTGCTGTCGGACATGGCTCGGTGGTGTCGCCTGGGTCGACTTGGAGTTCCGGCGTCTGCTAGGGTCTGCCTGTCGCCCGCAAGGGGTGTGGCGCTCGTGGTTGGGGTCCATGGTGACGGAAAATTACTTTCACCATCTTCCCCATCCTTGGTGTGGTCTTGTTGCCCGACTGGATTCCAGCTATCCACCACGGCTGTGCTTGGTGGCGTGATGGGAAAGGTAAAGTTTGGCTGAGGGTAGCGTAGGTGAGCAGGTCGTATGCTGGGCCTGGGTCCGCAAAGTTAGCATCCCATAGGGAAGCGTTGCAACCAGATGTGGAAACATTCGAGACTTGGTTGTTGAGGCGCTTGCGGCCCCTTTTTCTATTTCCTCATCGAGATGGAGGGAGGGGAGGCGGGCGACACCAAAAACCTACCTTAGATATATCCTCCCATTGTTCCCCACATTAGATACTGTAAACTGACGTCCCTCACGACCAGCTGAACCACCGTCTGGTGCAATATCCCACCTGTCAGCTTCAGTCTCGGCCTGCCTCTTCTCTTGCTGAGTTCGGCGTTCTGAGAAGGGAACCAATGGCTTGGAGGTGGTCGAACCCCCGCGGGTAATGTTTTTGGCAGTCCACTTGGTCGTCACAGGTTGTAGTACCGAGTAGTTCTCTTTGGCAGACGACGACGGCACCTGAGGTGATGGTGCCGTAGTTGTGTCGTTTCCAGCCAAGCGCTTTGGTGACGTTTGTGTTCGCGAATGAGCCCTCCGGAGGCTTGTCAAGGCCGCAAGGCCGGGTTTCAATGGCCTCGTCAAGGCCGGGGGGTCGGCGGCGTCCATTACCAAACGTCTCTTCGCGGGGCTGGGATGTCGTGCCTGTCGACACTGCAGTCGAAAGAAACATCAGCATGAGGAGGCACAATGAAGGTTCCGAAGCTGGTTGGCAGCCAGCTATGCCGAGGCCAAACAGACGCAAGATGTAGTCGCGTATGGCCACGATTGATGGCACCACTTCTCGCACTTGGGGGTAAAATCACTACTACGACTTCAAATTAAGGGACGGTGGCGCTCAACGGACCTCGAATTCGACCAGGCAAGAAGCAACCCGTGGCACAGCTCAGACTTGCGTCATGGGTGGCTGATGTTGACGGTCGTCCAAATGTCGCGTTGTTCGGTGTAAATCGGGCGCATCGAGTTGCCGGCGCAGGATTGAAGGCGAAGAATTTGACAGACGACAAACGTCGGAGGCGGGACGAGTCGAGTCGGTGCAGTGCAGTGCAGTGCAGTGCAGTGCCAGTTTGTTTCTATTGCAGCGCAGAGCTTGGCCGTGACTGAGAAGGGTGCAGCAGGGTGCCCGGCCCCAGTCTCCAGCCTCCAGGCCCAAAAGGGTTGCATGTGGGCAGCAGATGGAAGCGAAGGGGGCACACGGGCTGGCAGCGCGGGTTGTGCAGCCTGCATACTGACGGAGTGGTAGTAGTACTCCGTACTTAAGTGGTAGTACGTAGTACGTACGGAGTAGTAATAATGACAATAACACAACACTTGACAGCTCATTGGCCCGCGAACCGGGCGCCTGCTCCGTACTCCGTACCTAAAGTACTTACTTACTTTACCTACCTGGGTACCTACTTACGGAGTAATACTTGGGCATATACCAGGTGCCTGGCACGTACAGTAAGTGGTCTGAGCACGTGCGAGTCGCGCCTTGTGCGTTGAAGCGCCGCCGACGCGACCACCACGTTATCTTCCCTCTCCACTCTCCACTCCCCCGCCCTCTGCTCTGCTCTCCGCTCTCCACCCGACAAAGTACACTCCGGGCCGTGACCGTGTATCGTCCATGATGCGCATTTGACACTGGACTTGGGCCTAGGACCTTGAGTTTATATCTCCTATCTGTGACCCTTCTACGGAGTAGTGGGGCGTTATGATACATATAAAACCATGTCACGTGACAGTGAAGGTCCGTTCGCCCATCATCACTCGAGGAACTTGATCAGTCAATTTGACCAGCTCCCTGGCTTTCTAGGATTCCATCCGAGCGGCAGGCCGAACCCATCCCCCTCCGGTGGGCTCGCGGACTCGAGACACTCTGAAAACAAGTGGCTGGCGGCTTTGACCTTGACACCTCCCTCCCGTCCGCCCAGGATGATTTGCGAGGGGGGCTATGAGAGCGCCTCAGAGAGCCCACCGGGACCAGGACGAGAACAGTCCAGCGTCCGACCAGTCAGCCGTCCACAAGTCCTTCGGAGTGGACGCTGCTGAATGAGGGACGGGATACGGACATGGGGATACATACGCGCTACGCCGACACACAAGCCAAACAAGACGACAATCATTTCGGCACAGAAGCCTCCCGGGAGCCACCGGTTTTGGCGTGATCTATGCATGCTCGAAAGATCTAGACCCTACCCATGTACCCAAGTAGAGTACGTACGTAGTCGTCGTTCACAGAGCATGTTTGGCAGACCAAAGTGACGCCATTTTCTCTCCATCTGGTTTGCCAACCCTGTGGTCAGGCGTCCACGTGGGTTGAGACAGACTCATTCTTTCGTCGCTAATTCCTCGTGCCCTACGGAGTAGATCAGATCGTGTCATGTCCTTTCTCGAAAGGGACCTCGCAAGTACTGGGCCGAGATTCCAAGAATGAAACCAAACCTGACGTTTTGCGAGTCCAAGTCCAGACAGAGTCGACAAGATGCGAAAGCAATCACCAAGCCCGCTCCAACAGCCCGCCCCTCAATGACCTCCATGACGGCCTTTTTCGTCGAGGTGCTGCTGACGTCTCTCTCGCCTTCCCATGGTACCGAGCGTCGGGACGCACCGACTTTGCCGAGACCCCTGTCAAGGCGGGATTGTTTGGTTGTCATGTCACTTGGCTGCGAATCTGAGACTGTATAGCAAGTCCCACGTTAACAAGGGGAGGACTTGACATCTCTCTCGCCAGGCTACGGAGTAGATACGCCGTACATACTCCCCGTATTTTGCTCTTGACCCGTGGCAATCTGCGACGTCAGCTTCACAAGCGCAGCAGGAACCTCCGTCTGCCTCCCGTCATCTCTTGTCCACGAGCACAGAGCAGTAGTCGACACCGCGTTGCTCGAGCCAAGCGAAAAGTAGTTCGTTTCCTGATGAAGCAATTAGGCAAGCGCACAGCCAACATTGCCAAAGCCCGACGGCCTAGTACGGACTACACATACGCAAGTATTTACAGTAGGCAGGAAGACGTAAGTTACCAAGTGCCAGCTCAGGCACATATATTAAGGGGCACCTTCTCGTCAGGCACCAACTCGCCTCCGGACGCTGGGGAAATTGCGTGGCGCCCTGCTTGGTACTCGTCATCGGCGGTGGAGCGCGCACGCACGTACGTGGTTGCGCCCATCTACGCCGCAACTACTTCTTCCTTTTCGCATTTGACTGCCATGTGCGGAGGGACTAGACCTGTTGGACGTGTGAGTGCTGTTGTGCCCTCAAAAGGCCAATGCTCTAGTCAGACTCTCGTGATGCAAGAGCAAAGTGCGTCATCTATCAAGCAATGGCAATGGCCTGGATACGTTGCGACCTCCGAGGCTCTCATCATCTACCATCTATTTATTCATCGCGCCGTGTGACAAGTCTATCAAAGATTTATGCCCTGAATGTTATCCAGTAATAGCTCTGAGAAAGTCTCTACCAAGTGGCTGCTGGATTCGCCGGCCTTGGCCTCGAAGATCAGGTCCTGGATCGTCTTGATGCCTATTCCAACCTTGTCCGACCCTGTGCGCTGCTGTACCAGCTGGAGCACATGGTCAATATCATCGGGTCGAAAGACACGAGATTCCTGCAAGACAACAGCGAGCTCTTCAACGTCAGAAACAGCTGGCACTGCGACCCTCTTTGCGAAATCAGTGTCGATTTCGAGCATCTTGAGCACGGCAGCTTTGGACGTGGTCACGAAAACGAGGAGACGGTGATTCTAGAGTACAGGTGAGTAAATCGCGTCCAAGGGCTTGGTCTCCGCCGGGGGGGGGGGGGGGGAACAATGAGCGTGGTAAGGGCCTCCAGCATAACGTTGGAGAAACGAGGTCCAATCGGGTTCCAACCGATGAGACGCTCAAAGTCATCGAGGATGAGGATCGACGCAGGCGACTTGTAGGCATCCGCGAATGCTTTGTGAACGTAGTCCTTCTTGGCAAAGTCGTCTCTGTACCCAACGAGATCTGCCGGCGTCACCAATTTCACAAAGGGAAAGTCGGACTGCATGGCAATGTGGGCTGCAAGTGCAGTCTTTCCCGCACCTTTGGGTCCGTGGAAGAGCACCGAGGTGCTAAATTTGTTGGGGTCGTTTTTGATCATGCCAACCACACGCATCATCTCGTCAATAGTCGAGCCAATGTATCGGCTGAACCGCATGATGCCCAGACCGATGGCGTCTTCAAGCTCCGCCTCTGATACACCATATGCCGGCTTTACTTCTGTCAAGGCCAGCATGAAATCCGCGCGGTTGACTTGCATGCTGGCAACGTCCTGTTTCACGGCAGCCATTTGACCGACTTCTGTGTGGCGCGAAAATGCAAATGATGCTGCGGCCTTGACAACGCCATTAATCTCGGCACCCGAGTAGTTTTTGGTCATGTTTGCGAGCTCCTTTAGGTCAACATCAGAATCGAGAATCTTGTTCTCCCTCATCTTGGCAGTGTGGATGTTGAAGATGTCGAGCCGACCCGCTTCATCTGGTAGAGAAATTTCGATGTGGACTTCCAAACGACCAGGTCGCATGAGCGCATCATCAATCATGTCCTTTCGATTGGTCATTCCTATAAGCAGGATATTGTTCAGCTGGTCGACTCCGTCAAGCTTGGAAAGAAGCTGGTTCACCACGCTGTCACCAACACCGGTCCCTCCTCCAGCGCCCGATCCACGCTGTTTGCATACGGCGTCGAGTTCGTCGAAAATGATGATGTGAAGGCTGCTTTCTTCGCCCTTTTCTTTGTACTCCTTCTCGGCATCCGCGAATAGCTTTCGGATGTTCTCTTCAGACTGTCCCACGTACTTGTTTAGAACTTCAGGGCCATTAATGACTTTTGGCGGGCGCGCGTTGAGCATTTTGCCTATTTGGCGGGCAATAAGGGTCTTGCCGGTACCCGGGGGGCCGTAAAGCAACATTCCTTTGACGTGCGGAATGCCCATCTTGGCCACGAGGCCAGGAGGAAACACGCGGGAGGCGAAAGCTCGACGAAAGATGGTGGAGAATTCATCGCCCAAACCACCAATGCCCATGTCTTCAAACTTGAAGTCCGGCGCCAGAATAGCGTTGGAATTGGGCTTGCTCATAGATGGCTTCATGTGAAAGTCAGTTCTACCGTCGCGGTGGAACAACACTCTTGTTTGGCTGGTGAGAATGCCTCTTGCATGGCCTTCTCGGAAGACCTGCTTGCTAGGGTCATCCGAGGACATGGCAAGGTCTACAAGCCCCACTGTCTTGACAACAATCAACAGCGGAATATTGCGGACATCCATTAAAATTCTCTGCCCAGGGGCCAGAACTTGGTTTGCGAAGGTGTCAGAAAATTGCGCTGCGAGATGATCCTCATCGTATGGAACGTCAGTTCTCTTATTAGGCGATGCGAAGCCGACTTCTAGATCAACGGATCCCAAATATGCTCTCCCTCCTTGGGCAAAAGGGTCATATAGTTCTCCAGAGAACGTGTCGCGAATGGTGATGTTACACCAGGAACGCTGAGGGTCGGAGAGACTAATTCCCCCTTGGGGGAAGCCGGGAACGGGCCTCGCTGTGATGACGAATTCTCCCTCTGGTTGGCCGCCACGCACGAGGATATAGAGATCGGTACCGTCTCGGTTCGGCGGGAAGTCTTCCGGCGCAACAGCACATCTGCCAATCCACCGGTTAGATCAAAATTCAAAGGATGACACGTTGGCCAAGATGGCACATGTGAGGATAGCGCTGCTCACATATTGCCGTAGATCAGGCGAGATTGCAAAGTTCTGTCGGCAACCTTCTCGACTCGCAAAGGAACCCTTCTGGAACCAGAGTGTCCGGAAGGTCCTTTCTCTGAGTATCTCGACATCCCTGGCGATTGGGGACCAGCCCCTTGGTTGATCCGGGGATCGCTATAGCCTTGAGGACTCCCATAGCCTTGGGATGGATCTGAGCCGTACGAGCCTCCCGGCGGCGGTCGTCCTTGGTTTAGGGGCATTCGGGGATTGCCTCCTGGTAACGAGGGGGCGTAAGGCAACCTGCCGCCGCCTGGGGGTATTCTAGACATTGCGATGATTTATGCCCTGAAGTTGTTCTATCGGATTCCTCGACAAGAGTAAAATCCGGGTGAGTCTGGAAAAGAAGGGATTCGCACAAGTGACGATGACAGTCGGGCAACGTGGTCGTGCCTAGAAAGTGTTGTCGGGTCTTTCAATGCCAGATGGGGGCGTTGACAGCGAGTCTCAGGGTGGTTTCGGGCCAGTGCTCAGTTGGGCTTAGCCCATTATGTCACCAGAGAATTGTGGGGCCGCGTGCAGGTCAGAAGCTTTCGGCTTGTTCCTCGCGGACTACTGCTCTATCATTTGAATGATGGAAATACATACACCAGGATTTGGGATGTCCCGAGAGCCCATCACTCTTCTTTTACCTGCGTATAGAGTGCCCTGCTTCGCGCTCCGGCTGCGTCTACCCCGAACTTCGGCCCTCACGCCAGGCGATCCTCCCTCACCATTCCATCATGCCATTGTAAGAAGACACTCTAGCCTGCAGAGTCTTCAAGTCTCAACTGACCTTGGACAGACATCTCTTAGGGAAGAAGTCATGGAACGTCTATAATGCCGACAACATCGCGAGAGTGCGCCGCGACGAAGCTGCGGCCAAGGCCGCAGAAGAAGCGGAGGAGCAGCGCATGCAGGAAATCGACTCGCAGCACCGCTTGGCGATCCTCAGAGGCGAAGTACCGCCACCACTGGAAAACGGTGTGACAAATGGCCTGGAAGTATCGCCAAAATCAAGCAGGGAGGGTGGCCCAGATCGTTATAGGGACATGCGGAGGAAAAGAAAGCGCCATGGCGAGGATGACACAGATTTCGAACTACGTGTAGCAAAGGAGAGGACGGACGCCGTGATCCAATCACTGGAATCATCCCGACAACCAAAGAGCTCGGCCCCGATAGTGGATCGCCACGGCCATATTGATCTGTTTGGCGACGAGAAGACCAGGGCCCACAGCGAAAAGAACCAGGAAGCGGAGCAGGAGGCACACAAGAAGAGGCGGGAATATGAAGACCAATATACGATGCGCTTCTCCAACGCAACCGGCAGGCATGGAACAAACAATCCGTGGTACTCCCAAGCAGTAGCCGCGAGTCGGGATGCGCCGCTGAAAGACGTCTGGGGGAACGACGATCCAAGGCGCAGGGAGAGAGATACGAATCGTATGGCCGCCAGCGATCCCCTTGCCATGATGAAAAAGGGAGCGTCGCGGGTGAGAGAATTGAAACAAGAGCGAAGGAAGTTCCAGGAAGAGCGAGAGGACGAGATGCGTCAAATGCGAAAGGACGAGCAGCGCAGGGAAAAGCACAGGCAGAGAGAGGAGCGTGAACACAGACGACGGAGCGCATCACCCAAATCTAAGAGGAGACGGCATCGGTCTAGTGACGCGCAAGACGACAAGTATGACAGAGACTGGGAGAGGGGGAGAAGAAGGGACAGGGACCGAGAGCAGCCACATCGGCGCAACTCTCTTTCTCACGAGAGGGAGTCTCGTTGCCGCCATCATGATTGACGAGCCAAGCGCCGGAATTGGGATACCCACATCGATTTTTTCCTCTTGCATGGATATGTATTAGTTACCAGTACACGAATTACCCAACCGTAATAAACCAAGCCCCTTGGATGAATAAAAGGAAGAGACCTAAACCCTTCCGCTCCTCTTCATTCACTTTTCCACCCGCGGCAACTTGATCTCAACGGCCCTCATATTCTTGTCAACCATGTCCACAATCTCCTTGGCGTCCATCTTCTTCAACGCGCCCTGGATCCTCAAATAAGTCTCCTCGCTGAGGCCCTCTTCAGAATCGCAATACACGTCCAAGCCTTCCTTCGTAAACACTGTCGGAGCAAACCAAGTCACCGCCCACCTCTCCTTCTTCCCCTCGGCACTCGTGACCTCTCCCCAGCCGAGCACCTCCCAATGACTCGACACGAAGAACAGCCAGCCTTTGCCCCTCCAATCCCACCCTCGGCCCGCGGACTGGGTGTCGACTCCGGCGACCGTCTTGAGAACACCCGACGACTTGGTGGGTTCGTACTCGACCAGGTCGTCGATGCGCCGTCTGCCATCGTGCCGGGAAGGGAGAGGCGTGTAAGTGATGCGGACGTTGCGAGAAGACCGCCACATGTGAAGCGTAGAGTGGGTGACGGTCCACGTTGCCGCGAGCCATTCGACGTCCGGAGCGGGAGACTGGCTTGACGCGCGCGGGTGTTTGGACGTGTATTTTGACGGGAGCTCCAGCACGATGGGCGTTTGCTCAGCCATGGCCGTTTTGTGATGATTGCGAGTCCTGGCCGGCTGCCAATCGACAGATGCTTGCCGTGCCAGAGATGTATGTGCACCTGGCTACGAGATGCCTCCAGGAAGGGGGGGGAGGAAGAGAAGAGACAAGAAAGGAAGAAGCTAACCAAGGGCGAGGTAACTTGGAAGCGATACTCCTAGCTCGTAGTCTCCCGCTACCGGAATCTCACAGATCCGAAATGAACGGGCACACCGTGTATGCGATCCTCGCCACTCCACCGTGTTAATAGTCGTCGATTTATGGACTATCAATTCCATGACCAGCTATGAAGTGACGAGATTCACGACTGTTGATTTCTGTTCTTGGATCAGCCAGGAATGACATCATCGTCTTCACCTGGGGTACGGATTACGAAGCACAAGTTGTCATCTCGGGTCTGGAGCAGTGATGGCTACGTCTAGGTACTGGGTACTGGTGTATACATGTATGCGACCCTGACCACATGTAATGGGAACCCCGAGCCGACCTTCAGCTGAGCCTCAGCAGTTGCCGGCCGAACGAAGTCTTGCCCTAGTGCTGGGTAAGCACTTAACAGGTGGCTAGGTACCCACTAGTCGGGTACTTACCACTCAGGTGCTGCTCGCGTACCTACCAAGTAGACAGGTATCCTTGGCTTTCTCAGCCATAACAAGACGCCTTGTACAATTTTGCACCAGCACATGACAATGTTGACCTGTCTTGTGAAAGCTGTGATAGCTCCGATGTCCTGAGATACAGGATCTGCGCGCGTAGACAGTCCAGACGCCGAATGCAGCGAGGCCTTCTTCCAACCGACCATTATCCTCCCGTGATTACTCGCTTATTCCAACAACCTGAGCCGTCGAATTGAACACGATGGGAACCGCGGCCACTCAAGGCGCTGAGCGACATGGACAAGACAGCAATCTCGGAAACGGCAGCTAGTGAGTCATATTGCCTACTGTTGGTCTGTCTCATGCAAGAACACCTTATTTTGGTAGCAAGGTACTGAGTGTCTCCGAACAAGATGCATCGCCATCGCCAACGTCGCAGATCACGGCTTCCTCATACGCGAAGGCAATTTGTAGTCTTGCTTTATTGCATCAGCTTCAATGGCCCCGCTCCAGACACAACGCCCAATGCCCTTGGACATCCAACATGACAGTCAATTAGCAGCCAGAGACTCAGGAGATCAGTGGTAACGCGACGATAGTCATATTGGGCTCGGAGGTGGAGTACGTTTTTGCTGAACAGGACGTTGACTTGACTCCCAATGGCCATGGCTTGGGGTCAGGGGTCGATGGGCGAGTTGAATGTTGGCCGACAATTCGTTCTGGCAGGTTGAGGGCTACGTGTTGACCAACGAGTGAAGGCGCGTGATGCCCGCAATGAAACGTACTGCAATCCTGACAACGACCGGAACGTGCGAGACTGACAAGTACTGCTCAGCCCTTGCACCAGCTGGAGCGAGACTTGCGACCCCTTTTTTCCAGTGATTCGTACAGCTTGACTGCTAGATGCTCTGCTTGCTTGACGCTGAGAAGGCGATACACGCGACTCCGCCGTCTACTTGAATAGGCAGCGATCCCACCGAGTCACGATCAGGAATACTATACGTCATGAGAACTGCCTCGACCTGCCCAATTTGACAGGTCGTCATCCAGAAAGCTGTGTTCTCACGTCGGCGTTCAAACAAACTCTCTCGCATGTACGTAAAAAGATGAGCAAGCCAAAGTCAGAGCACGAGGCACATCAAATAGACTGTAGAGTCGGGAGAATGAAGAGTACAGAACGGAAGCTACGCAAACGGGTCTAGCCTAAGGCCGTTGAAAGTGTTGGTACACGCTGCATGATTTGTTGGTGAGCAGGGAAAGCCTCTGTAGAATAACCTTTTCTTTCAAGTGTAGACGCAGGTCGTTGGAGCGATGAACCGGGGAGATTCGCGACAGACAGATGGTCCAAGGCAGGTTCCGCGCCATTGCGCCAAGGCCCAATTCCGGCGCCGGTAATTCTTGGGACCATCTCATCCAAACGGGTTCTCGGGGCGGCATAATATATATGGGAGGCGCCAACCATGCATGACGGCCCGCGAGTATCAAGTTGGCCGTGTGATGTAGTTATCAACGACCTTGAGGACGGCGAGCGAGGTTCACGACCACATTTTAGCCCGCCCAATGAGGCAGTAAGTACTAGGTTAGTCAGGTGTCTCACAAAAAAAGACGGACGTGGTCCCACTTGCAACCCCCAAAGCTGAGTCCCCAGAATCCACGGCTCCCACAACAACCCAAACCACACCACGACAACCTTCATCTTCCTCACAGTTGCGGTGAAACACCAGCTCCATTGCGCTCCTGAACTCGCCCACTCCGAAATAGCTCACCACACGCGATGGACCCCGTGGAAGATGTCGTCGCGGCCGCCATGGGCTTCTCGAGCTTTGGCGCACAGGACCACCCCCAGAAGAAGAGAAGATGTAACCTAGCAGTGGACACAGTCACGCCTGCTGCGCAGCCTTTCCCAGGTCCCCGAGCAACCCCAGCGGAATCTGATTCAACGCCCTCAGGAACCCACGACAGCACGTCGAAGGGGGACTCCGAGGCCCAGGCGAATGCGGATGAGATCAACCTGGACGACGAGGAAGAAGACCATCATGAGACCATACCCCCAAAGCCCTCTGCTGAGACCTTGTCGCAGGCGCATACGTCTCGCCACGGCTTGCCAGCTCGTCCTGCCCCCGGAGCAGGATCCGTCGGACCGTCAAGGCGGTTTCCGACAGGTCGGCATGGTGTATCGCAAGCAGGAGACTCAAGAGCCTGGTACGAGGGATATTACGACAGCGCGTCGAATGAGAATCCATGGGATCGCCTGGAAACGAGTATGGGTCTCGAGTCAACGGGGGCTTGGATTCCTAGACAAGTGCATCCAGAACCGAGTGTTTGACTGACGGCATTGTGTGACACCGATGACCTGACCAGGAGAGTGATAGACGGCTCCTTGGACAGAACCAGTGACCCGGTTTGCCCGAACCTGTCGAATTCGAGAACCTCACAGATTCTGGGAGCGGAAAGACAGAAATTGGCTTTGTACGGTCACGTGACCGACACCGACTACACGGCGTCCGAGTCCAGTGACACTTTCAACGTATCCGTCATGTTTCCATGCTAGTCACATGACGGCGATATCTACGAAGCTCGGGCCCTCATCATTGATGCTTGTGCAGCTTTCATTGGAGGACAAACACGCCTTGGCACAACACATGGCCGGCAAGGAGCCCGTCGTTCCGAACTCAGTCGACCCGATGTACGCTGCGGGAGAGGACTTGCCATGGCGACACTTATCTAGGACACGGCACACACTACAGCTAGGTACAGCAGGTTGAAGGTTGAAAATCTGTTGGTCTTTACGGCTATAACCGGGAGGAGCAGCGTACACTACAATAGGAAAGGCTCCTGTCCACCAGTCGCCACTTCAACCCGCTGTGACGGGGCCCCAGGTGATGCCCAGATTCTTTTATTCGGGACATTTTCGGCCACGGCTGTCCATCATCATCCCCTACAGCACTTGACCTACTGGACTTGATCTGTTGGGTAGCAGGGCCCCCTTGATGCCCTGGCGGTCCGTTTCAGTTCACACCCCCAGGCGCCAGAATAGATGGCGGTTCCCACCAGACGCAAGAGAGCGAGGTGTACGTGGTTTTTCGCAACATGCCAAATCCAAACCAATTGCCATCCAATCATGACTCATAACGTCGTGAAATAGCCACCATTTGACACCCCGCACGCCTATCGCTGTGTGGAGAGGACGAGACGTCGGGCGGCTAATTTGCCGCAGGGGGGACTCGGTAAAAGCAGCCAGAGATCGCGCGCCAACGCTATGCAAGATTGCCGCGCGGCCGCCGCATTTTTTCACATGGCGTGATACAGGAATATCCCGATGGAGTACTTTGTGTAAACCGTCATGTGACGCACGGTACTGAAAGTCGCCCTGTAGCTACCATACGTAGAAAACGCCGTGTAGTTTGTTTCTTTTTCGTGTTTTTCTTCTCCTTCGGATTTTGCCGCTGAACCAGGGAGATGAGTATGTCGAGAGGTATAGTAGCTTTTTGATCGCTTCAAACTGATGAAATCTTGCACGGCAAAAGATGGAACGCAAAAGGAGGCCATTGTATCTAGTACTCGGGAGAAGGATATCTCTCGCGAGCCTTGCGATATTCCCTGGGGTGCTTGCGAGCAGCCTTGGCTTGCAGTGATCTGGGACGAGGAATCTGATTAGTTGGCTCCTCGAGCTGCGTTGAACGTCGTGAAAAGGAGGCAAAGCAAAGGCGTTTATGTCGATGGCGCGCTTACGAGACTTTCTTCTGAGTCCACTCCAGATCTCCCCGCACCTCGCGGGCGTCTCGCATTCCGTCACGGAATCGCTCCCGCGTCTTGGCAAGACGAGCCTGTGCCTGCTTTTGCAGGTCGACGAGCTCGCGGTGCTTGGCATTCAACTTTCCGGAGCTGTGTTTGTCCGGTTAGCGTTTGCAAACAAACACATGCGAAATGACCATGTTCCGCGATGCTCGGTCCCAATGTTGCGGTGCAGTGGTGGGAAGGCAAATACACTCATCCCCCCTTTTCCCGGGGGCACTCGAAAAGCAACACGCACAGATCAATCTCGGGAGTTGCAGTAGCAGACAGGAGTCACAGGACCCAAATCCTGCCTCGACAGGAGACGAGAAAATGAAAAATAAATTGCCAATCAACAAGGGTCCTGGTCCTGCGGGGCCCACGACTTACGTTTGTGCTTGAACCGCCATGCTTCGGTCAAGTGGGATGGGGTTAAAGGAGTTTGCGAAACGATCTTGCATGTACTCCTGGAAATCGATGCCACTAGCCGAGTTGGCGCTGTCATAGTCGTTTGAGCCAATGTAACAAGCAGTCCCCGTGTACCCACTGTTGCTGTAGGAGGCAACTCCAGACGCGGAACTCATGTCGTCGTCGCATTCCGGGGGAGACATTGAGTAATGAGTGTAGGTGGGATATTGATTGGCTTTTCCAGGGACCGCCATTGGCATGGAGTAGGACACTGTCGGGAACGGGCCAGACATGATGGCCTGTGTATTGAGCGAGTCGTTTGTCCGGCGTCTTTGGAAGTTTGGATAGCGACACGAAGCTGCAACCTGTGGATCAAAGACTGCTAGACACTCTCCTGTTCGGAGCAAGAACTGGAATGGTGATATAACGTCGTGACAAGGATGATGTTGTGAGTGGCTGACTAGCTTGGTTTGTAACACTTGACAGTATGGCTGTGCAGAGACACAAAACAATGGAGGCCTGTGATGGTGGGACTTGGTCCAAGACGAATCAATCGACTTGATGTTGATCAAGATTTGCCCGAGATATCTGCGTGAGAGGAAAATACAAAGGGAGGAGGGAGGAACGGGCAGGCTCCCGAACACACGAGGCCCTTTTATAGTTTTCCCCGGACCCCCCCTCGGCTGTTATGCTCCAACTGAAGCAGACATGACAGGTTTCATCTATCCGTTAGAGCCGGTACCATGATACCCCGCTTGAAAGGATATTGGCCAAGTATCATATGAGGGTATTGGACACGGCGGCGAGATGATCATGGCGGGTGTGCATGATGTGGACCAACGACGTAACGACAAGGCTGTTGAGGTGGAGCGATGCCCTCCAACAAGGTAGACTTTTTGCTCGAGACGTAACTGCATAGTACGTGGTAGTACTGTACCCGACAGTATCGAGCACGCAGGGCCGACATGGATACGTCTGGTCGGATCACGCATCATCCATCAACGGGAGGAGGGTGGCAGGCAGTACGGGGGCTTGGACCAAGCAAGACGCGAACGTGCGTCCGTGGTGCGAGTGGTAGCCCGCCTGAATGGGCGTGAGATTTGGAACTTCAGTCGGCAACATCAACGAAGGGGCAAAAGGTGCTGCGCTCCAGGGGACGAGGCAAGGCGACTGCCGAGAAGTCGTCATGGTCTCCCGTGCTGGCCCTGATTCCCAGCACGGAGACGTGGCCCACCAAACGCGTCAAAAGTGGCTGGCGATGGGAAGACGAAGGGCTCAAGCGGGAGAGGCGGGCGGTGGCCAAAGGCTGTGGGCGCCCATGAAGAAAGAAATCGTCTCTGCCATCTTGATTCTTGTGTGCCCAAGGCACATCACGCATCGTGCATGCGAGAACAAGCGCGACAAGGCCAAAAGCAGCACTGGATTTTTCATGCAACACGGTCTGGTGCATCGGCATTGACATCACGCAACATGCTGACACACCCCGGGGCCCGGGCTGATGAGTTGCCAGACCGACATTGAGGCATCAGGAAAAGTTGGGGGCCTGCGCCGGGACCGATATTGCGATGCTGATCAAGGGCGAATTTGCCACAGAGCTCTCGAACGAGCTTCAGGCGCATGCGCCTTGATCTGGACTGGCCGCCTTGATGTGTGGCGGATGGCCATGATGCGTTGTCAAGATAACGACCACATCACTCTCCGAAAGCCAGCAGCCCGCTGCGCGCATGTGCGACATGGCCGCGACCTGCTGCCTATTGCTGCACGCTGGTGCTGATGCTGATGCTGATGTTGCGGCTCTCCGAGATCGCCGTGCCATTGAATGTCTCGCAAAGTAACAGATGTTGCGTCCTGTGCACGTTTTTTGTTCCTTGTCTCAAACCATGACTAGGACAGGCACACAGGCACGTTGGTGCGGTACGCGACGGACTTGGTGGGTACTTGTACTTGTAGACTTTGAAGTCTGAACTTTCCCAGAGTCTTCCGCAGCGCCTGCCTGCCAAGCACATGATTGGCTATCTGTGCTGAAAGGGAAGGCTGGCCCTCGACAAGTTACCAGATCAATAGAAGTTGGACCTGCGCTACCGACCGCGCTAGACGCTTTGGGCAATCATCATCACCTGCTCCTTCCGTAGTGCACATTCACCCCCCTGGCATACAGCATACAGTATACGGAATACACACGTACGTACTATGTACCTGGGTATGCATATGCACGCCAGACATCTTGGACATTTTTCTCACCATCTATCCGGGGGATGGCAGGATGAGGCCCCTTCAATCTGCCAACTGGCTGCCCACCCATCGTCACCAATTCTCTGCTTACTGCCCTGTTGGGAGCAATCGGAGTTCCCGGGGTCAAGCAGCAGCAATCGAGCTAACCCTGCCGACTTGATGCGTCGTCGAGAACCGGAGACATGGAAAATGTTTTCCATGATTCCATCCAATCTGCCCCTCCCCCGCTGCTGAACCAGTTCATTCAGGTTAATCGTTGCGCCATCACCAGCACACATACCACTACGGAACTTTGACACGGCGGGCTTTCCTTCAGAATCCTGTTTCGATTGTGTCCAGAATACAAGTGGCATTGTTGCGGGTGATACAGGAGACCCTTGAGCGAATTGAGGTACGACTTGCCTGAGACCAAAAGCACTACTGGTGTCTTGCGCTTCCACTTCAACGAGTCTCTGGCGTACATGAGAGGGGTATATGGAGTGGCGTGTACGTCCATGACATCTGGCCAGACCGATTCCCTTTCGCTCTCAGTCCACCCACTCATGAAGCAACTAGCCGCGCCGCTCAGCTCATGCAGGAGTCTGTATCAATGGATACCAGTGAGCGCACATGCGGGCCACTGTAGGCTGCGATTTTCTCAATCAACTTGGACCATTACACCCTTGGAAAACGCCTGGTATATCCCGTCCTGGGGCCATGGTGCCAGAAACGGCTTGTCGACACTATGGCAAAAGGCTACCATGCATACGACGATATCGTGAGGCCCATAACTTGCACCAACCTCTTAAGAACACAGACAACGACCAACGTTGGTCCCCGATTGCGACAGAGCACATCGACGCAACGTTTTTGCACGGTGAAGGGTCCCTCGAAATATCTTGGGCGTTGGTTGGGGGCGAGAAAATCAGCCATCATATTCCAGCATATTCCAACAACTCGGTTCGCCAGGCCGATGAGCGACTAGTACAGAAAATCACAATCAGTGTGCGGCACATTGATGGGGGCACATCCCGAATGACAGCACAGCAGCAGGGTTTGGACTCAAAGTGGAAATTCTGAATAGCACGGTGTGCACCACACACCTCCTCCCAACGACGTGGGACAACTCATAGTTACATGGAAGAAAGGAACTCCTGCAAGAGCGTTGATGATGGGGCACATTCTCATAGGGCAGCAATTGCGGCAAGACAAATCTTTACCAACTTCTGTACGCCGAAAGGTCTATCGCTTATGTCGATTGGGGCAACGTATGTGCCATGCCCAAATAGTGTCTTTTCCTCTCTGCCATTGTCAGGGAAGAGTGTTCAAGTTACTGTCCGTGATGCCGCCTTACCGCTACTTGGACATCCCTGTCCCTGCAGGCTACTGTAGATACAAGATTTTCATGCACAGGTCGAGCATGTCTAGCACAGGGCAGCAGAGCCAAAAGGCCGCTGGTTGTCCGTCGTCAAAGGCGGTTGTGCTTGCCACAGAGGCGGGGAGGGGAAGCCCCGGATTGGACTCAAAAAATCCATGGAAGAAGACATTGACAATGAAAACGTTGGGTCCCAGGCCCCAAAGGACGACAACATTACCAGCCTCAGTTCCTGCGCACTTGGCTCTGGCAGGATCCTGCACGCCATCGCTGCAGTTTGCCGCGCATTCCTTGCCTCTGCAGCGCGGTGACTTTCCAAGTTTAGGATCTTCAATGTTGCCGAGCACAACGGACGGGAGTCGGTCGGCGTCTGCGGTTGCGAAAGGATGGATGGGTCCCAATTCAACAGCACTTGATACACGATTTCACTGCAATGCCGACGTCTGGACAGTCTCTTCAGCTGGTAGCAAATAGTCTGAATTTACAGAAAAATCTATCTGCAAATGAAGTCGGGTCTGGTCTTTCCACATCTCAATTCCATGATATCCGATAGGCCAAGCTATCTGCTATTTAATGTTCCCCCTCCCAGTTCCCCGCAAAATATCCAAAGACCCCCAAAAACGCCGGCCATGTGCACGAGTCCCCGAAGCTTGGTCGAGTCATGAAGAGCGGTAGCTGACGTGCATTAAATTGGAGAAGCAGTTATTCAGAGAGGACGGCCAAAGGCTCACCCAGGAAAGAGCGCCTAGGCAAAGAGCCTGAGGAACCCCCAGATGCCAATGCCGCTAATAATGGGAATCGTGAGGTTGTCATCCCAGCCAAAGACGTCGATGACTTCGCTCGCGGAGCCGACGAAACCAGACCACAAGCTCATGATGGACAGGGCCAAGGTGCCCGACGCAGTGGCCGCGGCCCGAGACAGCCCGAGGGCGCCCGTCACGGCAGACGGCAGCGAGAGGGTGCCCTTGAACATGAAGTCCTCGTCCCCGGGCATGGGCCCGACAACGGGGACCAGCCAGCCGTAAAAGAAGAAGGACGTCGCCACGCCGAACAAGAAGGCGGCAAGGGAGCCGGCCAGCGACTTGCCACGGCGAAGCCGGGGCGTGTGACGACCCCAAAGACGGCCAAACGTGCTGGCGGCGGTGTCGCACCAGCTCAGCAGCAACACGCTCATGACGCCCACGTCCTTGGGGAGGAGGTACAGGACGGCCCAGGCGCCGAGCAGGTAGAATATGGTGCCGTTGTACCCCGAGTACTCGCTTTCGCGCATGAGCGCGCCCAAAAGGCGCACGTAGAGCCTGTTGACTGCGACGTACCGGTGCCGGAGCCAGTCCGTCGTAGCGATGGGGACCAGTGCGGCCATGAGGTACGGGGGGACGGACTGCGTCTGCGTCCCCGTCGCGTACAGCCACACCACGAAGAAGCCTATCGAGACGTGGAGGACTTTGCGGGGAACCTCGTGTTTGTGGACGAATGTTCGCCAGTGTCGATGGATGGGGATGAGGCCGAGGGGGCTCGGACTGCGGCTGAAGTCCCGCCACGACCAACCTGAGGGAGTGGCAGGCTGGGGAGGAGCCAGGTGCCCGTTCGGAGGAGGCAACTTGCCATTTACGACTGTCTTTTCGGAAGTTTCTTTGGACGAAAGCCTCACCATGGCAAGATTTGCGTTGCTCGACGTCATGCGAGACATTGCTCGAGAGTCGATTGGAGACCTGCTTCTCGTGCGGGATCTCCGCAGGCCTGGCACCTCGTCAGCGGCATCGTCTTCTTGGGGTTTTTCGTCTAGAGGCTGCTGAGAGGGTGCCGTTCTCCTCGTGGCCGCTGAGGGCCTTATGGGTGCCGAGCAGTCGGCTTCGTGCTCCGAGGGGGTGGGACTCGGCGAGATGACGCGAGGCGTCTCGGGAACGGACGACGCTGCCTTGCGACGCAAAGACATGGTAAAGGATACTGGTGGTAGGGCAGGGCGTCGAACGGCCCCTGAAACAACGCGATGAAGCGATTGGTGACGCGAGGGCCAAAGATGCCGTTGGGCTGGACCGGCGGCAGCGGCGGCGACGGCAGACGAGGAGGCAGAGGAGTGGATGGCGGAATCGGTGTAGTTGTCGAGGCGCGACCGTCGCGCCGGAGGCGTTGGCGTAGGCACTGAACCCCGTATCGAAGCAATGTCGGCTGACGGGCTATGGAGCGTCGAGTAGGGTCTCTGAGGGGAGTTCGCGGACTCGGGCTCTATCGGATCCAGGGTGAAGGGCAGAGATGCAGCAGAGGGACCGTCCCCTACCGCACGATGACGAGACTGAGGAATGACGGCGGCAGGGTTGGGACAGCGCGCGCATGAAGGCCCGGTGGGGGACGGTGAGAGGGAAAGATGCGGGAGAATGGTGGCAGAGGAAGCGTTGGGAACCAAGAGACACGGTTTTGTCGTTTCTTACGCCGACACGGGATGGTTCTCGAGTCTCGACAGACGGAGGCGTCGGGGCTGGGAAATTTTCAATACAGTAAACCACCTCTATAACGATAACCTTCGTGAGCCTTTTTTCATCGTAATATAGCGACTATCGCTAAGATGCGACTATTGTGGGGTTGTACCTCCCCTTAGAAATTACTAGTAAAAGTTTATATTAAGGGATTATTAGCGAAATTTGCCCTATTATTAGGAAACCCAGCCCCACCTAACCCCACTATAAGAAAATTCAGCCTAAAAAGTGGGGCCTTATAACGATAAAATGCATAGTGACTAAGCAAAAAGTCAACGATATCGTTAGTAACGCGACTATTAACGATTTACTAGGGAAAAACCTTAGATGACCGTGAATTATCGTAAAAACCCGAATATCGCTAAGATACAGGATCGTTATAGACATGGTTTACTGTAGTCGGTTGCCTGCCAGCTGCGGCGCGGCGGCGGGCGGGGTGTGGGGGCGTTGCCGTTGGGTTGGGTTTGGTGTGGACTCTGGAGGGAGGCAGCATCAGGTTCTGCACTGGTGACTCGCGAGGGCATGTGATCATTACAGAGCACTACATGTTGTTGTTTTCTCGAGCGTATCGTTGCGTTTGATGTGAAAAGGACGGTGCCGCGCGAATCATACGTAGCTTCCGGCGACGCAAGTATGAGAACTTGATCAGCGAGGCAGGTACCTGCGTCACGTGCTGATAAGACCAAGCCTCTGGCGATAGCGACAACTTTTCTGCTCGTCTTTGGTCCCTCCATCCCCGACAATGTTCAGAATTGTCGTTCCCAGTCCGTCATGGCCCCTGGAAAGGTCGTGTCCAGGAGGGATCCCAGAGCGTGGGATAACCTCGCGCCGCCGCTCGCGGAATGGATCTTGGACGCTGTGTCAACCATGGGATTTTCCCACATGACGCCTGTCCAGGCCGCTACCCTGCCGCACTTTATGGGCAACAAGGATGTCGTGGTTGAGGTATGAAGACACTCGGGCGCATGCTTTTTAGCGTCATGTTTGTTTATTTTCTCTCCTGCTAATTCCGACTTGATTCATCCAGGCCGTCACCGGCAGTGGTAAAACATTATCCTTTTTAATCCCAACCGTCCAAAAGATTTTGCGCCTCGAGGAGCCAACCAAAAAACACCACATCGCCGCCATCATTGTCTCGCCCACAAGAGAGCTCGCTGCTCAGATTCACTCAGTTCTCCTGTCATTATTAGCATTCCACCCGCCATCTGCGGAGATACTACCGCATCTCCAGGCCGACGAGAAACGGCCCTCGACCACAACTCCGGTCATTGTACCCCAACTACTCGTCGGAGGCACGACCTCTACAGCCCAAGATCTGACTTACTTTATCCGCCATAGCCCAAATGTTCTGATATCTTCACCTGGGCGACTGGTTGAGCTGTTGTCCTCGCCGCATGTCCATTGCCCCCAGTCTTCGTTCGAGATGCTTGTCCTTGACGAGGCAGATCGACTGCTTGATCTGGGGTTTAAACCTGACCTTCAGAAAATCATTTCGCATTTGCCCAAGCAGCGACGTACTGGTTTGTTTAGCGCCAGTGTCAGCGAAGCAGTCGGCGAAATTATTCGAGTCGGCCTGCGAAACCCCGTCAAGATTGAGGTTCGAGTCAAGATGAGGGATGGTGGATTATTGCAAGATAGAAAAACACCGGCCAGTCTGCAAATGGCCTATCTCATCTTACCAGCGACGCAAAAGTTGCCGGCATTGGCGCAGCTTCTTGGAAAACTACCAATCACCCCGCAAAGGACCATTGTCTTCCTATCTACGTGTGCAGCCGTCGACTACTTTCAACACGTCCTGCCGTGTCTCCTTCCGGTCGAGTTTTCATTAATATCGCTACATGGAAAACACCCGGCCAACGTGCGGGAGAAGAACTTCAACAGGTTTTTGAACTCTGTATCTCCCACCGTTCTTCTGACGACAGATCTGGCGGCTCGTGGTCTCGATATCCCCCAGGTCGATCTAGTGGTGCAAGTCGATGTACCCTCTGATCCCAAAGTGTTCATCCACCGAAGTGGAAGAGCTGGACGCGCGGGACGAAAAGGACTCGCCGTCGTCATGCTTCACCCCGGGCGGGAAGAAGATTACGTGCGATTCCTGGACATTCGCAAGACGCCAATCACTCCATTGGAGAAACCGCAAATCGCTATATCGGAACAAGATGCCACCGATGCCGTAGATCAAATACGCAAGTTGGCCAAGACAGACAGAGCAATCTACGACAAAGCACAAAAGGCGTTTGTGAGCTGGGTGCGAAGTTACGGCGCGCACCAAGCAACTTCAATATTCCGAGTCTCTGATCTCGATTGGGAAGACTTGGCAAAGGCATGGGGGCTGCTCAGGATGCCCAGGATGCCAGAGCTCAAGAATTGGAAGGGCGACAAGACGCTTGGTGTGGAAATGGACTGGGACACATTTGCATACAAGGAAAAGACGCGCGAAAGGGCAAGGGTAGAAGCCATTGAGGCCGCAAAAAATGATGTGGATGCCGACAAGAGGGACGACAAGAAGCGCAAGAGGAAGAATGAGGCGTGGAGCGGCAAGCACCAGAAACAGGAGCAGCGCAACGAGAGGCGCGAGAAGAGACACAGGAAGAAAGAGGCCGAGAAGGTGGCCAACATGACGGACAATGAAAGGTTGGACAAGATGAAACTAGACGACCTCATCAGGCAGGTCAGAGCGCAGAACTGCACAGAGGCCGCGTCAAGAGATGACGAGTTTGAGGGCTTTGACGATTAAGAGCTTGGATATACCCGGTCTTTGGTCCCCATGCTATGCAACGTCCTGTCCTGTAAGGAGTGTGACGGCTCGTATTCTTGAGCACGCACAGTACCAGCCTCAACGCGCCATCTGGCTCAGCGTGATATGTGAGACGGTGCAGTCACAAAAAGCAGACGCCGTCAAGTCAAGTAGGCGCAGTTGAGACAGCCAAGGCCCATCTGAGGATCTATCATCTATCCGAGACGGGATCGCGAGTCGCCAGCCAAGTCACAAATACGCGTATTCTGGGTGCCCCCCTGTCAGCGGGGCGGGGGGCGAATACGCGTATAAGCCGAGGGCACTGCCAGATTTGGCAATAGTCCGTCTCCACATGGAATTACAGCATATGCAAGCCGCAAAAGCATAAAACATGATCACTAGTTGGGAAGCACGGGGGACGAGCGCTCAACGGTTTGAACTTTGGAGGAGCATGGACATGTATATATTAGACTCGTTGTTTGGCTTACAGCCGTTCTTTTATTTCCCTTCATCAGATTCGGCACCGGCCCTGGTTCTCTTCTCTTCTTTCGCTCGTCAGATACCGCTTGATTGAAGTAAACCAAAAAGAAAAAAAAAAAGAATGGCGCAACTCAAGCCGTGGAAAGGCGTCTACTACTTGTGGGATTACCTCCCGTCGACAGCCGCAGCCGCCATCTTCATCATCCTGTTTGCAGGGGCCACGGGCGTCGTGAGCTGGCGCATCTTCAAGACGAGGACGTGGTTCAGCATACCTCTTGTTCTTGGCGGACTGTGTAAGTCAACCAGACACGACAGAGTCGATGACAATTCGTCTGCTTCCTCACCCGCCCAGAAACCCGCAGCACTCACCACGAAACGATGGAAGAGAGCAGTTCTGGCATGTTGGACCCGAGCTAATTCCCGTCCGCAGTCGAAATCCTGGGCTACGCCGCGAGGGCCTATTCGCGCGATAAGACGGACCAGCTGGGCCCTTTTGTGCTGCAGTCCGTGCTGATACTCGTGGCGCCGGCGCTTTTCGCCGCGTCCATCTACATGACGCTGGGGCGGGTCATGCGCAGCGTCCACGGCGAGCGCCACTCCCTTGTCCCCGTCAACTGGCTCACCAAGGCGTTTGTGCTCGGCGACGTGTTCTCGTTCCTGGTCCAGTCGACGGGAGGGGGACTCATGGCGGTCAAGAACGCCAACCCCAAGACGGGGCAGAACATCATCCTCGGCGGGCTGTTTGTGCAAGTCATCATGTTTGGGCTATTTGCCGTGACGGCTGTTGTTTTCCACGTCCGCATGAGGAGGGGGCCGTCGGCGAGCGCAGATGCCAGCTCGGGCTGGGTGACGATGATGGTGATGCTGTACGCGACGAGCGCGCTGATTCTGGTGCGGTCTGTGTTCAGGATCGTCGAGTACATGATGGGCAAAGAGGGATATTTGCTGACGCATGAGTGGACCCTGTATGTTTTTGATGCTGCCTTGATGTTCGGCACCATGGTCGTGTATGGGCTTTTGTATCCGGGGCATTTGAGTCGTGGGGAGTTGAAGTCGAACAAGGGGAGGGCTTGGGATGCAGCTGAGTCGGGGGCAGGGGAGGATGGAATTCGTCCGAGGGAGAAATAGAGTCTTGTCTTGTTTCGACATCGGTCATGTTTGCGTCGGCTAGTTGTATTGGTGACATTGGGGATGGGCTGCCAAAATATGCAACGCCAGTACAGATAATGCAAAGGGTGACAAGGACAAGAAACCAGAGCGGATGGCGTTGAACCAAGTTGTAAAAGGCCAAGAGGAAGACTGCACCGAGACGACGACGGGTTGGACCTGCTGACTTAAGCAAGTTCGGAAAACCTTGAAAGTCGAGACGTCGAAACCATCGAGACTCACGACTCACAACCTCATCATAGGCACCACGACCACGGCCGTGCGCGTAGCATAGCCCGAGGCGCGAAATGCAGCTCGAAAAAACGGCATCAACCTCCATAGCAAACATGCCGTCCACCTCATTTCCCAATTGCTAGCTCTCGCAGCGTGCCCACGGAAGAAACCAAAACCTCCCAACTGCGGCCCCTCAACAACGCAGCGGCACCTCGAAGCTCCCTCGACTCGCCATGTCTCAATCCCTCGGCACCAGCCCGCACCGGCAGCAGCTCAAGCCGCATCGCAGATCACACAGAAAGTCACGAAACGGCTGTGTTGAATGCAAGCGCCGCCACATACGGTGCGACGAGCGACGTCCCGCCTGTGCAAACTGCACAATCGCAGAGCGCGCCTGCGTATTCCCTCCTCCCGTCGAGGACCGGCCATCAAAGACGAAGTCGTCGTCGTCGTCACCTCTGCATCTGCATTCGCCGCGGGGGCAGTCACCCTCACACCCCCCGACGTACACTCTGGCCGACCACCAGCGTCGGTCGACGACGGCGTGGGATTCAAGCCGTGCTCCGACACCGCGGACGCAGTCCCCTCCAACGACGTCCGAGCCTTCGCCTTCGCCTCTGCCGTCGTTTGGCGAGTCGTTTCCACAGCCCTACGACTCGCCTTCCCCAGATGCTCCGCTCTTCACGGCAGACCATCTCTCCCTCCTGTACCACATCACCCTCACCAAGGACAGCTTCCTCATGGCCCCCGACCAGGGCACAGATGTCGTTGAGATCGCCATCCGCCTCGCCTCCTCCCACCCGTATCTCATCGACGAGGTGCTCGCCCTCGCTGCCCTCCACAAAGCAACGACTGCCTCGCCATCCGACTCGGCACACCTCCTCCACGTGGCCACCCAACTTCAAACCCGCGCCATCAGGCGCTTCACCAGGCTCTCGTCCACACTGCCGCCCGAGGACATGGCCTCCTCCATCCCCCGCTTCCTCTTCGCGGCCACCCTGTCGCTCCACGACCTCGCAGACACCCTGTCCTCCGTCCGGACCCTCCACCACTCCCAGTTCCCCGTCTTTGTGAACCGCTTCGTCGACTGCTTCCGCATCCACCACGGCGTCCGCGCCGTGATACGGCCCACGTGGCAGCACCTGCTCACCTCAGAACTGGAACCTCTCCTCAGAGTCACCGAGAGAACAGGCACGGAGACGGACTACGAACCAGCCGTCGGAAAAGACTCCTCAAGGGGCCACGAATGCCGCCCGCTCCACGACCTCCTGGCCTCCTCCGACCTCGGCCCGGCCACGGTCACCGCCTGCCGAGGCGCAGTCGACCGGCTGCAATGGGCCTTTGACTTGTACAGGGACCTGTCCACCCCGGCGGCCGGGCCACACGCCACTTCGGCCTTTTCCGTCACGGTGGGCACCGACTACGTCGACGTGCTGAGGAGGCTGCAGCCCGAGGCGGTGGCCGTGCTCGCGTACTACGGGGTGCTGCTGCATCAGTGCAGGCACTTTTGGATTTTCGGCAACGCGGGCGCCTTTGTCGTGAGGGCCATCGCCCGGAATCTGGGTACCTACTGGCACCAGGTCATGGCCTGGCCGTTGAGCATGATAGAGGAAGCCGCGGACGAGCGAGCAGACGCACCCACGCAGTAGGTAGATGCTGAAGAAGACAAACAGAAGACACGCTAGATGTGCTCCGTCGTGCAACTACAAAGCCGCCGGAGACCTTTGCTCCCTTTCCCCGGTCTCCCCAGATCAAGACTGCAATCCGGACGGGGACAAAGTCAAAGGTCTCGCGCACGGTCAACCGTCGGTTGCCTCGTCTCGTCACCTTGCCACGAACGAGCGCGGCATGAATTTGCCCGCCAACGCAAAGCCGCCGTCGCCTCCGGTCGCCCTCGCGTAAGAATCCGTCGCAACGCGCAACATCCGTAGCGTAGGCCGCGTCCCGTCGTCAGGTGGCAGCAGCAACGCGGCGCGGGGGCTCTTTTCGGCCCCGCGCCGGCCGCCGCCGGCAACCCAGTCCGACTGTCGATCCGGCCTCGGCCCGTCTCACGTGCAGCGTGCCATCTGTCGTGCTACCGCGCTCGGTGTATACCACGACAAGGGTCCGACGAATCCCTCGTGGAGGACGGCAAAAGACCAAGGAGCCCCTGGTCAGGACTCGGGACCGACACCTCACCCCCATCAATCACCATGTTGCCAATCTTGCTTCTTGGCTGGCATGACGAAGCCCCGTGGTTCTTTGCATTTGCCTGGTGACGCGCCGGCACGGAGACGGGAAACATCTATCTTGCGGAACCACGCTGGCACGCGTGCTCTTCCTTGTGTGGCAGTGTTCACCTTCGTCTTTGAAGAAACCCACTACCCATCTACTCCTGGACAGGAATCATCTTCTATCATGCATGCCTCTACCTACCCCTACCCCTACCCCTACCCCTACCCCTTGTCACCTCGGCACTCAACCCGTCCCGCCGGCGTTGTTTATGGCCGCCATATATATGTTTCCTCGTCTCCTCGTCTCCTCTTGGCCCGTGCCTGCCAAGGGATAATTTCCCGCCTGGGACGCGACGTCCGCCCTACCATCTCCAAACCATTTTACGTGCATCTTCTACCGCAGGTGCTGGAGAGGAGGCAGCTGGATTTAACACGCAACATCAAACTTCATCGTCATTTCCGCTGCGTCTGCTGCGTCGTTAATAGAAAACGGGACCTAGACAAGAGGCCTGCGTCGCCCTGTGACACATCTAAACTTTGGTATCACTACGGTAAAAAGAAATGTTCTTGCAAGCCGCCCAACCACGGCAGGGGAGCATCCATCGCGCTGGACATCATGCTCAGCGGGGACTTACAAGCCGTAAAACCCCCAGCCGTCCCCGTTCCCATCCTGGCTCCCAGTGCTGTCTGGGGCGGTCGAGTGTCCCCCCTCGGTTGGCGCAAACTCGCTCCTCAGCTCTTGATCAAGTCAGAGCTCTTCGTCCTCGAGCTCAGAGGGCTTCAGCAGACCGCCGACCTTTTGTCGCCTCTCCATGTCTGCAGCCTTGGCGTCGGCTTCGCGTTGCTCCTTCTCAACCACGAAGAGCTCTGCGTTGTCGCCGGCAAACTCCTTGAGGGAAATGAGGAAATCTCGAAGATTAAGACGGAACTTATCGTACGTCGTGTTGAGTGAGAAGAGTCCCTCCACGAAGCTCGTCACCTGGGCACTGTCGGCATGTTAGCATTTTGGCCATGGTTGAGCATCTCGCTCATCGGTACATACGCCTGCAGGTTGGGAAAGGCATTTCGCAGCAAAGTTGCCACGGAGTTGCCGAGATACTCCTTGTTGGTAGTGCCCGCCTGCGCTTGATCAGGGGTGTAGATGGGTCCTTGAATCTTTGGCTGGGTGCCATCGGCGGGATGGATATAGTAGAAGAGCTTCATCAGCAGCATGGACTGCGTCTTGAACCCGGCCTTGTGGTCATTGTCAGTCACGACGAACAAGACATCCTGCAAGATGGTCATGAAGAAACGCTGGAAGAAGGCGTTGGCGGTAGCTACGTCCGTCTTTTCGGCGATGTTGTTGATCAGTTCAAGACACATGTTTAGACCAGCAGCCTCGACATCTCGGTTGTCGTGTTTGAATGCCCACGAGCACGAGTCAATGACGAATTTGAACTGGTTGTTATCCAGCTTCAGCAAGGCCGGGAAGCAGTGCAAATTGATGGCTCGGAGAAGATTGAAGAACTCGACGCGGTGCTCGGGAAACTCAGAAAAGTCCTTGTTGATCATTTCCAAAGTGCATTCGAAGACGTTCTCCATGATTGTTGGAACTTGATCCTCCATCAAAGCAGACAGCTTGGTGATGATGGTGGACATGGCCCTCAGCACTTCGGCGTCGCGGGCCCCCGCAACATTTCGGTTATAATCAACAAGCACACAGTCGAGCAAGGGAGGAACCATTTGAGCACGGACGGCCTGCAAATCTTCGGCCTTCTCGACGTAAATCTCGACAAGCTTGAGGATTTCCTTCTTGATGGTTCTCAGGCCGCGGACCTTGGGCATCTTCGTTGCCAGCTCCCCTAGCTCAAACGTTAGGCGACGTCGACTAGCATTTATTGAATGATTCACGATTTTTCTTTACTTACCATCTCGAGCAACACTTTCAGAGATGAGACCGCTCGTGGCGCGATACATTTCCAGCATGTCGTGGTAAATTCGTCCAATTTGAGGGTAAAAGTACGGCCCAATGGAGCTGCAGGCCGACACGTTGGTCTTCATGATGTTGCCAATGACTTTGATGGTCTCAGCGTCTTGCAAGATTGAGGGGTTAACGGTAGCCTGCTTGATGATCTCGTCCCACGCGGCATTGGGAATATTCATCAAATCCGCCAGTAGCCGCTCCTGCTGGTGCTTGTTTCCCTGGGCGGCAACCATGTAACCACATGCTTCGTAGAAAGTGTGGACCTGCTGCGGTGTAAGGTCACACGTAATCTTGCCCATGTTCCTAACAATCTCCTCGATAAATGGCTCTTGCTCACTAGGCTGAAGAGCCACAAAGTGTCTCCGGCACTGTCTGGCGATCTTGATGAAGGTGTCGCACGCCATGTCTTGCACACCTGGAAGAGGTCAGGTTGTTATGCTGGGCTCGTTCGGGCGGCTGCAAACCGCGCGGGTCAGGGGCGGCTTACCTTCGTGAGACTCGTGCATAAACTCAAACAGCTTGTTGACGACCGTCTTGAGGAACTTCCAGTGGGCTTTGAGGAATCGAGGGTACTGGCCCACAATGTACATGATGTTACTGGCAACAACGGCCTTGTTGTCTTTGCCGCGCTTCATCTCCGTAAGACCCAAAAGATCCTTGATGACAGTGACCAGGAAGCGCTTCTCGGTTTCCTCGTTCATGGCCAGGGAGATGGACCCGATGGCCCAACAGAGGACATTGCAGTTGTGCCATGACCACTCAGAGCCATCGACCTGGCGAGCTAGCTTTTCAGTCATGATGTTCTCTGTATCCACGACATCCAAGTGGGTAAGGTACACCAGGCATTCTCTGATAGTCTTGTACAGCTGGACTGTGTCGCTTTCCTTGACGAACTCTCGGACAATCTCCCCTTCGTCGTTCTCGACAATGAGGACTTCCTCTGGCCGGACCATTCTCTCAATCATGACGACGCGCAGATTTGACAGAACCTCGTTGTACTTGTGTTTTCGGAGCGGATAGTTCATCAAGAGCGTGGGGTTCGGTGCGCCACTGCCAGACATGCCCCCCACGGCCATGAGCGGGTTGAGATCCGTGATTGGAAGCTGCTGCATCTCCTCGTACAGTTCCTGAACCAACTTCAGCCAGTAATCCAGGCAAATTTTGAAAATCTCGCGGTCGTCGATCTGTGATATCCGAATCAGGTAATAGTGTCCATGCATAAGGTAGTCCCGGTTCGGGAGGTTTTCGATTAGCTGCCGAACGGTTAGGCCAAATTGAAAGAGCCTCTTCCTGTTGGGCTAGATTTATATAACTTACATTCAAGTGAGTCCCGAAAAAGTTGCAAAGAAACAGTGCCAAATTCTGAACAAACTCCTGGTCCCTGGAGTTACTCGTGGGGTAGGTCGCCTTCAGGTCGAGCGAGACGGGGATGATGTCGGCAATGGTCGTCAACACCTCAGTAAACATCTTGACCAGCTGCTCATCGTACGAGTTCGATTGACCAGCCCCACTGGTCTGCAGGCCGCCAATTTCCGTCAGGCACTGAAGCGTAACGTTTCGGAACTCGGGTACGGACAAGAATCGTGTGCGCAGGGTATCGATGAGGTTTGTCTCGAAAATGTAGCCTAGAGGGATCCAGTTGCAAAATCGCAGCAACGTCTCGAGAGTGGCGTGGACCAAGCTGGGCTGGTCTGCGGTGGTAAGGACTTCTTGGCAAAGCTGAAAAATTTGTGAAAACTCGGCGCACATGGTCTGCTTGAGGTTCCTCGTCTTTGTGGAGGTCATCTGCTCCGCCGAGTAGTCGAACACTTCTTCCGAGAGGAGTCGCAGGATGATCATGTTGTTCTCGCAAATGGACAGGTTCGCGTGGCAAGACGAGATGATTTCGTTTATGAAGGTGGGCCAGTTGTGAGGCCACTCCTGCTTGAGGACAGAAATGAGAACAAGATTTAGCTTGTTGAGGAGCGTCTTGTTTTGCTTCAGGGCATCTTCGGAGCTGGAGCACTGAATGATGAATTGGACAATGAAATTTCGGATGCCTACACAGACGAGGTCAGCCACGACTAGAAAAAAAATCCCACGATGATGAATATGCAACAAGAAGAGGCCGAATGGTAAGGCGACAGACCTTGGCACTGGTCGCGAGGCAACACCTTCCACCTCGTCATGATGACATTGTCGAGAACCTGTAAGCCCAAGTCTGTTGGGGGAAAAGTTAGCTTTCCGTTTGCCGTCCCAGGCGGACCGGGAAAGGTTCGCCGCAGCCGCCATCGAATGACGTTATTCCAGCGTACATTTGGTCTGGGGGTATTGTGCGGTCGAAAGAATCTTGTCTACCATGAGCCAAGCATCGGGATCTTCTTTGAACTGATAGCATGGTCAGTCATTTTTGTGCGTCTGCGTGCGTGTGTATGCGTGCGTGCTTTCCACGCCCGGGAGGCTGCTTCGAGGCAAAGAGTGCAGTTTTTCATGTACCATCGGTTCGTCTCGGGAGCCCGTCGTCGGTGGCTACTGCGTGACAGTTTCGGGTCATATTTACCTGGTTCAGCGCGGCTTGGGCAGCTTTTTGCTGGAGTGCGGGACAAGCAGTCAGCAGCAGTCAAGACATTGACAAGGTGGAAAGGCTGGTGGGCGTTTAAAAAGTTTCTCAGCCGCCGAGAGGTGTGATGAGCGAACCTGATCGCCGCGACCTTCGTAAAAGGTGCGGACCGTGGTGTCGAGCTCTTCGATTGTGACAGCCATGGCCTGAGCAGGACGAGGCTACCGACGAGGGGAAATCGAAACCAAGGGCGGGGGAGGGCGGGAGCTGTCGAGGCGGTGGGACGGATGCGAAAAAGGTATGCAGCGCACAGGACGAAGTGAAAATCAAGCGCGACGCGTCAAGGCCGTGTGAAGATGCTCCGACAGGCAGGGGAGGGGGATCGCAAGTAAAGAAAAGAAGGTCGTGTGTGATGGGGATAAACGGTGGAAGCGGAAGAAGCTTGCTCTTGCGTGCGATGTGGTTGGTGGCGGCTGGGCAGCGGCGGAGAGGAAGAAAAATGGCCAAGACGATGGATGTGGACGCAGAGCAAGCGAGCACCAGGCAGCTACGGGCGGAGACACACAGGCGGCAGTGGACATGGACATGCACCCGTTGACCACTGACCCGGGTTGTTCAGGACCTGTGCATGCGCAGCCCACTTGATGCAGCTGAGCATGCAGTTGACTGCTGGGCCCAAGTGCCTACAGCAGATCGAGGTCAGTGCCGGTGGTACCGGTAGGCAAGTCGAGTACTTGAGTACAAGTACGGAGTACTACTTAGTAAACAGCTGCCGGGCCCAACTAAACGGGCGGCGAACTGTCAACTGGAGGTCTCCGTCTCCCGAGTCCCAGTTGCCCCCGTGAGGTGGGGTCGAGTCCTGGAGCTTCCAAGTTTCAAATCACGACTGGCTTGACTTCCACCTCCATCTGCTTACTGCCTTGGACCATGACATGACCACTCGACCGAATCGACTGCCCCCTCGCTCCAGGACAGTGTGTAGAATTCCAATTCGCCGTGTAACCGCCGCCGTTGCCGTAGCCTAGATACTAAGTCCTTAGGTAGCTCTGTTGCGCGAAGTTACTAAACACTAGGCAGCTTCCAAGTTTGTCAGCATCTCCCTCCTCCGGCCCCAGTTATTAGTCCCCTCTTTTGCCCCTCCTTGCCCTCCTGCCCTTTTGACGTGTTCCTCGGCTGCCTTCCAAGTGTGGCGCTGATCAACCGCTGGGAGGGGCGGGCGACGTGCGGCTTCACAACCGGAGCTTGTACCGCTTAGGTACCTTTTCCATCTGCTACCTACTTTAAGTACCTAGGTACCTAGGTACTCAAGTACTGTCGGCCGAGTTACTTCCAATTGCGCCCATAACGACACTGCGCGTTCATGTACCCGGTACTTTCCAGGTGCCCGCGGGGCAGTTGAACCGTCAAATGGTGAGCACGGGTTCAGAGTTGAACGGCCACATCCATCTACACTCAAGCCTCCGACCCGACCCGACCCGACCACAAGGCTCAATTTGAACACTATTGCACGGCCGGGCGCGCATTTGCAATTTTGTAAACGATATCCAGCAATATTACCTTGGCCTACTTCCCCTGTGCCGCGCTGCTGTCCAGGTAGACATTCCACTTATTCGTTTAAAATACCGCTTCCTAAAACAAGCTTGCTCTATTCCGAGAGTCTCATTCTCGTGTGATACAAACCCAAGTCTTCGTCAGCGTACAGCGTCTCCTGCATTCCTTGTTATGCCTTGTAGCCAGACTCGGTCAAAGACTCCCGCAGGGCCTTGAGGGCATTGTCGACGTCGTTTCGCTCGGGGTCCATCTGTTAACAGGCACAAGTTAGTACGTTGGCCTCGGGGAATATAAACAGTCAGTCCAGCCGAGGAAGAGGTTGGCTTACAGCCGAGGGACCCATGTGTCCGAATCGGATATACTTGGTGCCGATCTCTTTGTGCAGTCCACCGGCGAAGATGATGCCCTTGTTCAACAGCTTGGGCAGGATGTCGGAGATGCTGACACTGTCTGGCAGGTAAATAGCAGTCATGGCATGAGCCTGATCCTCGGGCTTGGCCGCGACAACCCCGAGGCCAAGGTCAGCAACGGCCTTCTTGACCTTGTTGGAGACCTCAATGTGTCTCTGGAAGCGCTCTGACAGGGGGCGGGTCAAAATCTGGCTGACAGCAGCGTTCAGGGCGCGGATGAGCTGTGGTGAGGGAGTGGAAAAGTACGAGGGCTTCTTCGCCTCGTAGTTTTGCATAACTGTTACCCAGGGTTAGCCGTTACTAGCGGGCAGGCCTAGATTTGAATACATCATGGCGGCCTCTTACTAGGAATCCATCTCCTCATTGAAGCGAAATAAGTAGCGGGCTCTGTCTTGCGGTTCTGCACCGCGTCAATGGCACGACCGCTGAACATGGAGATGTGCAATCCGGTAGGGCAACCAATGGCTTTCTGGCCGGCAGTAATGACAGCGTCCAGACCCCACTCATCGAATGCAATCTCCTCGCACGCAACACTGCAGACACCGTCGGCAACGATAAGAGTGTCGGGGGAGACACGTTTGACGACGTCGGTGAGGCTCTTAAGGTCGAACAAGACACCAGTCGAGGTGTCAACGTGGGTGGCGGTGATGATCTTGTACTTCTTTTCCTTGAGGGCCTTTTCAATCTCGTCAGGCTGGGGCCGGCTGCCCACAGGTCCAGTAATCTTGGTCACCTTGGCGCCATATGCAGCGAGGCAGTCGGCGAATCCGTCCCCGAAGTAGCCCGTGCTCAAAACAAGTGCATTCTCGCCAGGCTCGACCAGGTTGACAGCGACCATGTCCCAGCCCAGGGTACCAGATCCGTTGATAACAAAAGGTTGCGAGGCCGGGTCGGTGGTCTGGAAGAGCTTCCTCAGCATGGAGAGGGTGTCGCCAAAGGTTGAGACGAAGCCAGGACCGACATGAGACTCGCTGTGAAATTGCAACGGCACACAGTCAGAAAGGAAACACGCAAGTCTCTACCGCACACGGCTATTGCTCGCGTCAATGGGGCCACGCATTCAAGCTGGTATGACTGACCTGTAGTGCGCCATGGACTGGAGCACGGCGTCGTCGAACTCGATGGGTCCGGGAATCATCAGAGCAGGGTGAGAAGGCTGAGAGGACATTTTGGCAGTTTGTTGACGGCGGTGCGTATGCGATGTAGGCCGGTTTCGAGCTCCGCGTCTGATTAAAATTTGCGACAATGGTTGAGGATGTCGATGTGAAGAAGTAGAAAGTGTTCTCGGGCCGAAGCCGGTGCTGTCGGAGCTTGCTGAGGAAATGGAGGGGTAAGAGTAATAGTAGAGCTTCCAGGTCAGCAGCCTCTGGCGGGGCAGCACGGGCAGTCCTTTTACTGGTATGTAAGGACTCGAGTACTTCCAAGTACTTAATGTACTCCATACATGTACCAAGTACCTAAGTCAAGCAGTACTTGGATGTATGTGAGCCCTTGCGCACAGAGGAGGTGCGTCACGCGTCCGAACTTGTCAATTCACCTGGGAACAATCCGTCAACGTGGAGCAACCAGCCCTTTTCGGCTCTCCGTCAGCGCACAGAACCCCTCGCTTGTCCGGCTGTTGAGTCTCGGCTCGAGACGTCGGAGGCTCCCTGTCGCGGCGCTCGCCGGCACCGGGCCAACCAGGGCGCCGGCTTCCGCCTGATGCGGCAGCTGAGGGCGCGGATGCGCACCCGGCGTTTTCCGGCACCAACTTCACGGCCTTGTGCATCTCGATATCTATGAGTGCTTCCCGCTTGCACCCAAGCGGCTCGCTCCGCATTGCGCATTGCGCATCGCCATGCGCCGTGACAATGTAACGCTCAGCCCCGGCGGACTACGGCGCTTCACACAGTCATCCGTCATCCGAGAAACAAGGCGAGGTGAGGTGAGCAGTGAGTGACTCTACTATTCCTTCCCATCATTCGTCTTGAACCCCGCGCCACAGTGCTGCCAGTCGTCGCGGACTCCCATATTCACTTTATCCTAGAATACGTCTCTGCCGTATCTACTACATCAGGCAAGCAACCTTGCGGCTGCTGCAGATTCCCGAGGATCCCACCTTGATGCGTGACGACGCGCCAACCCACGTCCATGCTTCTACGAGCCACTCATACCACACTTTGGTGTCGTCTGTTTGCCGCCACATACTTACTTCGAGTTCGGTGTCGGCTGGGAACGAGATCGGCTCCTATGTTGCCATTGGTCAATCTTGCCGTGCTGCCAGCGGAAGGGATGCAAACGAATGCCATGAGCCTCACCTTGAGGGGGAAGAAAATGGGGAACCAGGAAATCATATCCTTGCTCTTCTGGTCAATCCGCTCGGGGTGTGTGCTGATTTCAACCTTTTGCCCCCTTCGGCTCTCGAGCTTCGGCTCGTACAAGGTCGATTCAAAGTAACCCGCCAGGCCGTGCGTGACGCCCTGCGAGCGACACACAAACGTGACGTGGCAGTATCGAGAATTATGGTCATTTGCACCCGCTGCCCCTGCCATGCTGCCGCCCCCGCCACCCATGGTCCCACCGGAGCGCCGGGCATCAATGTTTGCCAATGTCGATTCCGGAATAGGGTGTGAGAATTCCCACGCTTGTTGGAATCGCGCGCGCCCCGGCACCCTTTGGCAGACAAAGTCGAGGGCGTACAGTCTGACGACCCAAGGGGTGTCGAAGGCTGTGGGCTCCGTGGCAGACCGTGCCAAGATATCCCCGTATACCTTTGGCGTGGAAATGGGGCTCATGTGAGCCGTGTAAGAATGTGGAATCGAGATGCCATGCGGTTTGGCAACGACGTGTTGGATGCCATCAAGACACTCGGGGGAAAGTTCGTTATCCCCGAATGAACCAAGGAGTTCGGAAATCAAAATGTCAACTCTGCCGTAGACAGGACCGTCTGGCGACTGGGACACAATGGGTCCTTTCCAAGCCCGCATGTCGGTCTTTATGACGTTGACCCTTCCGCCCCAGAGCATTTCGTTTTGACGCAAGAGGTAGACATAGGCGTTTGGGTTTTTTTCCACGGCCCAGACTTCCACCTTCACGCCGGCGTACTCTGCTGCCTTCAAGGCGCGCGTAACCAGTGGCCCCCTTCCAGATCCAGCTACTGCGATGACAACGGCACCTTGCTTGGAAGTAGGCAGGCCGAGTTCCTTCCATTCGGACAGTGCTTCAATGACGGCGGCTTCATACTGGTCGTACTTCACCGGGTCTCCTTCGAACACTTCGTACGTGGCAGATTCCAAATTATCCGACAACGGCTGAAGTGGAGATTGCAGCCAATCCTGGAAACTTGTCAAGGTTGGCGACTCCAGAGCCGTCAGGGGAGGTTGTTGAGACTCAAGCCATTCCAAGTATTCCATGTGTGCATCGACACCTGGGCGACCGCTTTCGTTGGTCACTATGTGAGCAGCATCTGCGAGGCTGGGGAAATTGTCTTCGGTCATTTCAGGCCTATCGGCTACCGGAAAGATGGATGAATCTTCCGCGTTGAACTTTGACGCGTCGGGCCCAACATCGCACAGCAGAATCCAAGGCCTGGCTTTTAGCTTCATGTAACTGAAGATCATTTCCTGGTGGTGCTTTGACAAAGTAGGGAAGCCGCTTTTGTTCGTCTGGAAGACTTCTGGGCCCATGGTCAAATAGTGCAGGGGCTCGGCAAACCATCTTGTTTGCAGGTCCTTTTCAGGCATCATCCGGGGAATTTGGAGAGCTGAATTGGCAATGATTAGTTGTCCGTGACTAGCGTTTGGGTCGCGGAAGGGTTCTAGAAACATACCAACATAAAGCCGGAGGTTGTAACTGCAGGCGGACCGAACATGGTGCCAAGAGGCCCACGCCGCAAAAAGGTCAATCTCTTTGCTCGCAAGTGGTGTCGGCCTTTTCTCCTCGATTGACGACAGAGTCTCATCAACCTCTTGGCCAGTCGGGGGTTCTCGGTACATGGGCATGTGAACCAAAATTGTCAGGGCACTTCCAATGACGAGGGCTTCCTGCACAGCACGAGAGTACTGTGTCAAGGCCTGGCTACCACCGCTCTCGGAGGCATCGCGAGATGGTGCGGCGATGATGATACTCCTCACACCGCAAAAGTTGGCATAATTGATCTCGAGGTTCAGCACTTGTCGTGAGATGTTGGCTATCAATGGATTCGTCGAGCACAAGTCGATCCACGGGCTTATATACGCTGTATATGTGTTGACGGTGGGCGAGGGAAACAAGGCAGTATCGTCCGGTGTCAGAGGCGGGATAATTGGGTCGGCTTGTGACCCTGTCCGTGTGCTCGTCGGCTCTTGGTTGCATCCTGCCAACAAGTTCAGGTGGTCGGAAACCAGGTCGAAAACTCTAGACCTGAAGTGATGATTTGTCACAGGTGTGGTAGCAAAATTGATCTTCCCCAGGCATCAGCACAGGTAGTTTGTCATGATGGTAAAATCCGTCACACCTACGCCTTGGTTGAGCAAGTATCCGTACTGCAAGTCCGTCAGCGGCACATCTCTCTTGGAGTCATGCTGTCCGATGTGAAACCGCGGCGTCTCAAGCCCGATAGAGCTCGACATTGTCATGTCAGGTGCTCAAAGTGACGGGCTGCCGATTGCTGTGATGAAGCTGGCTCTTCACATGAAGTGAGGCTCGCAATGAACCGAATAGCCAACTTTAGCACCGATCTTCTGGCTTCGGGGGCGCCCGACCTTGGAGGACGCCCGGGCGATGGTTCTCTGCCGCCCTGGCGAGACGCGAGAGCAATGAGCAACGAGCGGCTGTTGGAAGTGGGCGGTCGAGGGCACAGAATTAACTTGGTAACAAGAGCATGCCACTTTTTTCCGTGAGTCCCTACGCTCGCACACAGTGTGCGCCGCACGCGAGGCTCGGGAGGTGCCAATCAGAGAACCACAGATATTGTACAAAATAAGCCTTGGACGCGCTCTTCCTCGGCTTCTTGGAGTTTATTGTTTCTTCACTAGCTTATTGATTTCTTTGGAAAAGAATTTAAAATCTGACCGACACTAGGCTCGGAGGCATATCTCGAGCTCACGGCGCTGCAGTCCAAAGACACCACGCCCAATCTTCATGCACTGTAGTGTGCCTGACGGCCCTTATCGATAGGCTCCATTGTCCCGCCAAAATTTTCGAGACTGATGACTGAACAAATGACTTCGACAACGTGCTCAGCATTCATGGGCCGCTCCACCGAGCAGCATCGTTGTCAAAATGTCCAATTTCAGCGATTCCAAGGCCATCAAACGAGCCAGCGCCGACGTAGACGAGACTCCCAGAAAAACGGCCAAGAAAAGCGATCGCGAGGAAACATATAACCCGTACCTCGCCCACATGGACCAGGAGAGCAATGGCTATGACGGCGATGAAGCGCCACCAGGTTCAATTTTGGCGGGCATGAAGCGCCGCCAAACCACTGCTGCCCAAGCCTCCAAGGCGGAAGATTCTGCCATCAACCCCTTTACGGGCAAATCCCACTCTCAGCAGTACTTCAGGATTCTTCAAACTCGCCGCGACTTGCCAGTGCACAAGCAAAGGTATGCAAATACTTCCCCGGTCCATCAGCCCCAAAGAGAGCAGAGGCTCTGACTCGATTGCTTCAGGCAAGAATTTCTCGACAAATACCAATCGACTCAAATTCTCGTGTTTGTCGGTGAGACTGGTTCCGGCAAAACGACCCAGATCCCCCAGTACGTTGTGTACGATGAGCTGCCCAAGCTCACCGGCAAGCTCATCGCTTGCACCCAGCCGCGTCGAGTGGCCGCCACGTCCGTCGCACAGCGTGTCGCCGACGAAATGGACGTCGCTCTGGGCGAGGAGGTCGGTTACAGTGTCCGATTCGACGACTGCTCAAGCCCCAAAACTATGCTCAAGTACATGACGGACGGTATGCTTCTGCGCGAAGCCATGCACGACCACGACATGTCTCGCTACAGCTGCATCATTCTTGACGAAGCCCACGAGCGCACGCTTGCCACCGATATTCTCATGGCTTTGCTGAAGCAGATCGCGGGCCGACGTCCAGACCTGAAGATTATTGTCATGTCTGCCACGCTTGACGCGCAAAAATTCCAGAAATACTTCAATGACGCGCCTCTGCTGGCTGTGCCCGGCAGAACGCACCCCGTCGAGATTTTCTACACGCCCGAGCCGGAGAAAGACTACGTCGAGGCCGCCATTCGAACCGTCTTGCAGATTCATGCGTCGGAAGGCGAGGGCGATATTCTCCTCTTCTTGACCGGTGAGGACGAGATTGAAGATGCCTGCCGCAAAATCAGTCTGGAAGCCGACGAACTACAAAGAGAGGTGGACGCGGGACCTCTGGTCGTGTATCCATTGTACGGAACCCTGCCGCCTCACCAGCAGCAGAAGATCTTCGAGAAGGCCCCGTCGCCGTTGAGAAAGGGAGGCCGTCCCGGCCGCAAGGTCATCGTGTCCACCAACATTGCAGAAACCTCGCTTACCATTGACGGCATCGTCTATGTCGTGGATCCTGGTTTCAGCAAACAAAAGATTTACAATCCTCGTATCCGAGTCGAGTCTCTCCTCGTGTCTCCCATCTCCAAGGCCTCGGCCCAACAGCGAGCTGGTCGTGCTGGTCGTACCAAGCCCGGAAAGTGCTTCAGATTATACACAGAAAAGGCATTCAAGAAGGAGCTGATACAGCAGACGTACCCCGAAATCCTGCGATCCAACTTGGCCAACACGGTTCTGGAACTGAAGAAGCTGGGTGTCGAGGATTTGGTTCATTTTGATCTGATGGACCCGCCCGCACCAGAAACCATGATGAGAGCCCTCGAGGAGCTCAACTACCTCGCATGTCTCGACGACGACGGCGAACTCACCACACTGGGCAGCCTGGCATCAGAGTTCCCTCTGGACCCTTCACTGGCAGTCATGTTGATTTCCTCCCCCGAGTTCTACTGCTCCAACGAGATGCTCAGCATCACGTCTCTTCTGTCCGTGCCTCAGATCTTCGTCCGGCCCGCCAACAACCGCAAACGCGCAGACGAGATGAAGTCGCACTTTAGCCATCCAGACGGCGACCACTTAACCCTGCTCAACGCCTATCACGCCTTCAAGGGCCAGGCTACCTCTGACCCAGATAGCCTCAAGAAATGGTGTCATGAGCACTTCCTCTCGTTCCGCCACCTGAGCAGTGCAGACAGCGTCCGCGCCCAACTCAAGCGCATCATGGAAACGCACGGCTTGGAGCTCGTCTCCACACCATTTGAGGACAAGAACTACTACACTAACATCCGGCGGGCGCTACTGGCCGGTTTCTTTATGCAGGTCGCCATGAAGGAGAGCTCAGGCAAAGTCTACCGCACCGTCAAGGATGATCAGGCCGTCTTGATCCATCCGTCCACCGTGCTCCGCACAGAGTTTGACTGGATCCTCTATAATGAATTTGTGCTGACGTCGAAGCAATACATCCGTACGTGTACGGGCATCAGGCCAGAATGGCTACTTGTGAGTGACAGACAGCCTTGGCCCCCTTCCCCCTGTTGACCTCGAGACCTGCCCTTTGGCGTTCAGTCCTTGTTGTCTCTTTTCTCGTTAATTCACGAACTTTTATTTTTTCAAATGCCACGCCCCCTCCCTCCCATTCCTCGAGGTTGCAGAATACTTACCAAGAGCGGTTGTGGTAGGAAATTGCGCCCGTCTACTATGATCTCGATACCTTCGAGCAGGGAGACGTCAAGAGATCGCTAGCCCGAGCGGCCGAGAAGAAACGGAGAAAGGAAGCAATGAAAGCTGGGCGATGAGGACTCGGCATGAAGCCGATACGACCCAATGACAATTTTCTTGCCACCACGAAGCGCCATTTCACCGCATTGAACTATCGAGATCTTTTGCACGGGCTGGACCATGGATGCATTGAAATGTCCTGTCTCCTGCCCCTTGAGACAACCCCGTCCAGCGGGATAGCGTGAGGATTATGCAGAAGTTGCCATACTCCTCCTTTTCAGAGAAGGACCAAAGGATTTTTTGAAGAGTGTTTCATCTATCAAACGATTACTCGTCGATTTGAGAAGCTAGGGAGAGAGGGGAGGGGGGTTTGATAGCAACAACCTGCCAGAGGGAAGGGGGATCGATAGACATCCCTCGCTACGACAGGGAGACGCTGCGCATAGAAGAATGTGCCCGGAGCAGGCAGGCCGGTAGAAATAGAGCCGTGGCAGAGAATATGCACTCTGATTCTTGCCTCCCAAGACAAAAAGCAAACAATTGTCAAGACGAAAATGCTATACATGACGGAAATTGCCCCAAGCACCTATTGTCGATGATGGTGGTTATTAGTTCGCCGCATTGTACAGGGGTGCTTCTTACCACAAGCCAACCAGCCGGATCGAGCCGTGTGCAATGCCATGTAAGAGACGCTCAGCTCACGTTGCCGTGTAACACGATTTGCTAGGTTATTGGACATGCAGCTCTTGTCACACACGACGGACACGGCAACGACACGCCCGGCGGCCCCTTTTGGGACGATGGCAATGGCGAGGCAGAGGATGCGCAAATTTGCAATCTGCACTTGATACTCCGTCACGAGGCATGGCATGGCATGGCATGGCATGGCATGGCACGGCATAGCATAGCATAGCATGGCATGGCATGGCATGGCGTCGCGGCATGTCGTGTCGGTGTCGTGTCGTTGCGCAACCCACCCAACTCCCGGGCTGTTGGAGCGGTCCTCTGCCACCCCTGCTTGCCGACATTCGTCGTGCCGCTCTTCTTGCTTCAATTTCTCTTTCTGTGCATCTTTCCGTGGCCTTTTCCCTGTCGGTATCTGGGGGGGCTTGGTCGGACAAATTGGGCCATGGGGGCTGCAGGCGTGGTGGTACTTGGTCGTACACATCGCAGATTAGATGGCCAAAGTTGACAGACGCCACCAACGAGCGTCGAGACTGGGCGAACCATGATCACCCTCGAGCTGCATGTTGGCCGATGACATCAGAGTGGAACGAATCCGCTTCAAGCACCGCGTTGACGCCGCCACTAACCACAGCACGGCGCTTCCTTCGCTTGCTTGCCGGCTCCGTGCGCCGGTGGTGAATATCGCTTCGCCACTGAAGGGGGGAAGGAAAACACGCACACACCAAAGTTGCAAAGGAAAACGAAGACATGAGCGGCCCGGTTCGTGTGCCGGAATTAGCTTCCGTCGCGGCGGCCACCAAGGAGGGTGGAGTCTCATGTATGCTGATTCTTCCGCGGAGAGGTTCCAGGTGTCGACAATTGCCCGCGCATATCGGGAATGCTATCCGGGCTACGGAATATATGCCGACTATATATCTCGTAGGTGGCACAGAGAAGAGGGGCCAGCAAGTATAACGACCAAGGCGTGCAAGAAACCGTGTTATCTCGGCATTACGGTGTGTGGCTTGCTGTCATGAACTAGTTATTAACTTGTCACGGCGGAACCATCTGTACTTGTCCTGGATGTAATAGACGACGGCCTAGGTTTGTACGCGGTATGGGGCCTCCAGCCCCAGCCCCCAACGCTCGGGATAATACTCACGGCAAAGCGAGATAGGCAGTAGCAGTAGATTAGAAGAAACTGGGAGAAGGACCAGAAGGGAAGAATAAGGAGGAAGGTCTTGGCCTACCGAGGCTGCAGCGCCAATGATAGATATTCCTCCTTCGCTTACCAACGACACATCTACATCTCTTGGGCTTCGACGACTGGCCAACCAACCAGACTTGGCCTTGCCACAGCCAAATATGTAACCCAGACCGCACTTTCGCCCATAAGCAGCAGGCAAAACTGTTGCTGTCATTCCGTTCTCTCAGGACCTTGCATCGGCCCCGCCAACTTGAGCTTCGCACGACGCATGATGCTCAGTGCTTGGAGCTCGGGGCTCACCTGGTGTCTCTCTCACCTGCAGCGCGATTGGGGAGAGGCTGTCGTTGTCTCTTGAAGCAAAAGGAGGCCAGACATGAGCCAACACGCGTGTTGTGTTGTGCATCAGCTAGCTACAGGAGACGTTGCGATGCGTACAATCATTCTGAAATCTGTACAAGACTTGTGGGTGTCGTTTTGCCGACCGAACGTGATGCAGGGCATGGTAAAGCCACAGACGGCTCCGGGTTCCATTTTGGGTTGGCTCTCCCCTGACTCCTGAGCAAGACATCCCCAGGATGAGTTGACAACTAGGCTGACGGGAGCATTGCCGACGCCTCACACCTGGTTTCGATATTCCTGTCCCACAAGCCCAAGCCGCGATATTCAACTCTGATGCCGTCAGACAACAGACAACAGACGACCCTTGCGGCCCGAGGGCGGAATATTGCAGTACAGTACTCCGTACATATTGCACATCGGCGGCCTTGCATAAATTGCTGGGCGACAGGGCAACATCTGCATGGGCCGCGATATGGTCAGGTTGCACGCCCGTCACAGCACTCGGCCACATCTTCTGAGATCTTTTATTCTTCAGTGGCAGAACCAAGACGAGGAATGGACGACAGGTCTAGATCGTCGATATTTTGGCAATCGCGCCGTGCTTCCCAGGGACACGCAGCGATGCATCAACGGCAATGCCCAAACCACTACCACCAGTTGCCACCAATTGCCACCACTGTGTGGGCAATTGATTTCTGGCTGCCAAGCCGTAGAGCAGCCATCCAAGTTTGTCGGGCAACTCACTGTCCATGCCATGCCGGGGTGTGTGGCATCTTGGCTGCTATTCAAGGCGTTGCTTGACCCGGACCTTCCGAGGGCCCTGAGCTTGGAGTTCTGTAGTGCCAGATCTAAAGCTGTACTTTGTACCATCTCATCTTTTGTCTTTGTTTTTCTGTTTTGTTTTGTTTTTTTGTTTTTTTGTTTTTTTGTTGTTTTATGTGTCTGTGTGAGTGTGCATGTGTTGGCGTCGAGAGGCCAGAACGGGGTACATGGATCTCCTGAGCTTCTTTGTTCACCGTCTTCTCTCGTGATAAACGGGAGACAATGCTGCTCGCGGCAACTCTTAGACTGGCTGTGAAGCATTAGCTGATTGATAAAATCGCCAACAACCAACGCCGCCGCCGCCAACAAGACCCGCTTTTGGCAGGGCCAGGATGATGGGACGATGGGACAACATGGAAGAAGACTACATACTGTATTAGTACGGAGTACTCCGCACTTGCATACAGAACGCGTCTGAGGACCTTCAGCAGGGGCGGTCATGTTGGATCGTCTTCCAGCCCATTGTTTGGACAAAGGGCGTCGTTGTATCATCGGTTTGTCTGCCAGTAGCAATACCTCAGCTCAAGGTACAAGATCTAAGCATCGTGTCCGCCTAAGAACCCACCTTGTCCGATATAGTAAAGAGTATCTGTGTATCAGCGTACAGAGTATGCATACGCCGCGTGTCAGACCAGACCTGCTCTTCAGTCCACGATAGACTCAACAGGGGATGCATGTCTTGTCAACCACACCTTGTGTCATTTGGGCAAAGGAGCTTGGCTCAATGCCGTCTTTTCGAGCGTCGACTTCTCGGCCCAAAACCCGAGCACAACAAGTACACGCCAGGTACGAAGTCCATGGACTGGCGTCTCCCAGGGCCGTTCGATCCTGGCGAGGCCCGTTTCCGGCCCTATCCATCAAGTTCCGATCCAATTCCCATGCCCAACGTGTCGTTCACGAGCTTCCGCTTCCCGCTCACCTATGCCGGCAATTGGGCTTTTGATACCATCCCTTTGACTAGCTCAGGACAGGTTCACAGAGACAGTAACAATCAAGACGCTGGAGAATGCCGAGAAAGAAACCCCCCCCCCCAAGATTCACGCCACATCCGGATCGCAGAGGTCGAGTGCGACTTCGAATATAAATATGTAGCTGGAGCTGCTTCGATTCTTGAGAGCTGGGCTCCCCTGGCACTCAAGCACATCGACCCTGTCAGTCTTCATCTTCATCTCCATCCTCATCAACGCACATATCACTGCCCACACCTACCTTCTAAGTCACCATCTTCCCACCAATTTTCTCCATCTCCCCTCGCCAACATGTCTGGAGGTTTTTACAAGTATCGTTGCAAATATTTTTATACCCACAATTGCCAGAACTGGGTATGGGTAAACAAAGCACCATGTGCAACTTGTATGGTAAGCCTTCATGCCAGGAGTCAGGTTCCTTCCTATTCTATCAGCCTTGGAATTTGGGTGCTAACAGAAACTACAGGCCGAAGGACGGGACGATGAGACGGCTCCTACTTCAGGATGGATGATGTCCCGAGACATCGCCGTGCCTTGTGTGCAGGATGGTGTTCTGCAGTACGCATTGATGGAGCTTGTGGCTCCCGCTGTTGCGGGAGAGGAGTGGTATCTCGGAGACAAGACTTCTCGAATTGACCCGGCAGGCCCAGCAAATGATGCTATCTCAGCACCAGCTGGAAATACTTCCACTGAGAATTGGACCATCCGAGATAAAGCTGCCCGCCCGCCGCCAGCTGTTCCGGTCACGAGTGCCATGCCCGAAGTCCCTGGCCTGGTGTCATCCGGGGAGTAGGTTTCTTTGAGCCCTCGTGCTCAGATGACTCAGAGGGTATGTATGCAGGTCCCTCAGCATTTGAGCATATCATCTTTCATCTGGGGAGTTGCCGCCCCGATTGGATCAAACTGCAGCAACTCTGGCACGAAGATTCGGCGAACAAGCATGTCTTCGGTAGGGCAAGGGCCGCAAGGCACAACAACTTGGCCTGACGCGCGTGGCAAGTTTGCAGGAAAGCGGACGATGGCCAGTGGAGCGTTCGATCTCCACTGAAGCCTTATTTTGCATAACAGGGCCTGACAGGGCCTGACCTAATAAATTGCAAGTGGTCAGGGTAACAATGCTAATTTCTCAATGTAATGGGTGGCAGACGGGGGATCTGAGTTTTCTGAACAAAGCTCATCTTTAATAAAATCTGGCCTTGTTTTTATTTTCTTCTCTCTCTTCGGGAATTGCTGTAGGATACGAAGCAACTACCCGGTACTTCATATCGCTGTTTAAATGAGGATAAAACAGTTTTCATGACCAAGAATGAGTCTCGTCGGTCCATGGTGCGTAGGAACGCTGGTCTGTGATATCATACACCATCGCCCGGGAACGTGTCCTTGCTGTTGACCGTTGTTTCGCAACGTTGGGTTCAAGGTGGGCTTGATAGATGTGGACCCTCCCAGATTCATGATTCTTGAGGGCGCCGTAGAGCACTGGAAGTTGGAACAATGTTCAGATTGTCATCCGTATTCCGTACTAGGGTACTAGGATCCGTTGTGCTGTGGTAGAAATTTGTTGGAATTCGCCTGTGTATGCGTACGAGTACGTAGTACGAGTACAGGTCGCAGTAGACATTAACGGGGGCGCTGCTCAGTTGGTCATCGGCCTCGGACGCAGAGGTCGTGCTGCAATACGCCAGCCAGACAATGATGCGCATGGTTATTCGAGCTTTCGAGTGCAAATGATGAGTGACCCTACTACGCACATTTTGGACGGTTGGAATTGGATGTTTTGCTTCCTTTCTTGTTGGAAGGGAGTAACTCCTCGCGGACGTTCTTTCCCGGCCCTGGAAGACCGTTGGTGGCGCCTGCCCACTTCTTGTCAAGCGCTCGACGCCAGGTGGCCTCACACTCTAGCACCGCCCCCCTCCAAGGAAAAAAAAACCGCTGAAGCCATTCTACCGAGTACTCCAACCGACTAAGAACCAAGTTCGAAAACAAAAGCACGTCACAAAGGTGTGTTCCAAAGGTGCCCAGCTTGTTCATCGAGACCCTCCTGACGGTGTTAGGTGCCCAACACGCCATGCGAAGGAGGGTCCCGAGTGACGAAAGCGAAAAAGAAGAAGAGAAGGCCATGAGGATTCACGACACCAAGCATCCGTGCGAGGATTTCCCTACCTGGAAAGTACAAGAGCTTTGGCATCTGGCACGACATTGAACATGCAATGCACATGAAAGTCGGGATCACGTTTTGGCCTGCCTAATGAGCACATTCTGCAGTCAGAAGCCCTGCAAACCCATTTGGATGAGGTGTCGTTGGACAAGGTTTACCCACGAGCACGAGGCTGGTCCATTTTATTGACTTGTGAGCTCATTGTTTCCAAGTCTTCCCAAGGTTGGCACAAAGACGGAAATGGGGTCTTCCTGTCAAGCCCATTGTGCCACGGACGTGTCTGGTGGGTCAGTCACCCTGATGCTCAGCTTCTCCATTTGCACTGGCCTGCAAAAGCGTGGAGAAGAGTATGTTGTTCCTTGATGATCTTGGGTTCAGGTCCACATTCGGGCGGTCAACCTTCTCTCGTCAGAATCCCCAAATCGCGACGTCGTTGGACCAAAGCTGAACCTGCTCTGAAGAAAAGATGCCTACGATTCATCCGAGACCAAAAGACATTGTACGATCAAACCCCTGTGAGTTTAGCCATGAGTGACCTGACAAAGAAGTTTGCGGAAGGTTGTGTAAAGGGACCTTGGGGTTAACAGCAACTCGGCTTGTTTCTAGCAGTAATTATTAACTACCTACTTAGGTGACTAGCTACCTAAGTAAGTACCTACTTTAGGTAGTGACTTAGCTACAATATGGGTCGCCTCCGGCCGCTAGGTTCAACATCAAGACTCCTAGATTTGATATTCAAATACGTAACAGGGAAGTAATCGACGACTTATCTTCGGATAATCAGGTACTTTTCCTGCCCCATATTCTCTCTGTAAAGATTATCTCTTATTGGCTTTTACCCCCCTGCTATGTCACTCCTGGCTAAACTTTCAGGGTCTGAACTGTACAACCCGACACCTGCCCCTGGCTTGAGATCGACCAGGGCCAGGAGGCCCAGGACAGAAGGCACGATGCTTTTAGTCCCTCTTGCGACGGGACTCTCGTGACGGGATAATCGCGACGATGCAGGCGCCTGTGCTCCGTAGAGTAGGCACAGGGCCTGAAAGCACGCCTACAACTCTGTCACCTGCATGAAAGAGCGGCAATGGCAATAAGCATCAACCCCCCACCAAGGAAGAAACAAATCCTCAATTGAAAAGAGTTTGACTTTGTTGCGGAAATGTACGCTGCTTGGATGATCAAGTAAGACGGTCTCGACATATCAACAGGCTTGCCCCCTACTCATTAATGCATTATGAAATAATATAATCTAGCAAGCACAAATCGAGCCCATCCGATCCGGGGCAAGGTTTGCGTGACTACAAGATAGCAGCCGCAGCCGTGACCGTCAGCGTTACAAATAAAGCCTTTGAAGCCCCGATCCGGGTCCGACCAGCGAAGCTTCCCTTGTCTCCAAGGCCAAGGGGTAGACCTTGTTCTCCAAATGTCACATTTTGGGGCACGGTACTGTTGAGGCAATGTCCGTTCTCGAGATCGAGATGAGCCAAGTCCTCGGGGACCTTGAAGAACATGTAGTGGCCCTGCGGGATGCCCTTGAAACCCGACGTATCGTACGGAAACTTATCACCCGAGTCCGTGGCGCTAGTATTTCGCAGAAAGATGCACGTCACTTGCCCGGGGTAGTCTTTGAACATCTGCGGATAAGCCACCATTACATCGTGGTTGCTCGTGTCGGCCACCAGGACAAACTTGCGCTTCGGAAACGTCTGGAAGATCTTGTCTAGCAGGAACCGTCGAATATGCAGCGTGGCCGAGGTATCTGAAAAGTTCAACGGTCTCGTATCAAACGATCCGAGAGGGTACGTCCGGTATATGAAGTCCATGTAGTTTCTCGTCGCCTGCTCCGGAGTCGTAGTCAGGTAATGAAAGTGCACGTTACCAAGGGACGAAGACCAATTGGAATAGATACTCGGCATGTTCATCCACGGCGTAAAGGGTCGAGCAAATGTGTTCAAGAGGCCCTCCTTGGGCTGGTAAATCTTGGTCACGCGCAGAATATCGTCAATGTCCGAAACGACGGTCAAACCCGTCGGAGGCACCAGGTACGCCGTGGCATTTCCCGAATCCGTCCCGTCGGCATACACGTTCAAGGTCTGGATCTGTAAAGTTTCGTTCCCAGGAGCCATGAATCCTCCATCAGGGCCCGTCGTGTTCCGAAGGTTAACAAACGAGTCGAAGTCCCCTTCAATGCTCGTGTTGTACGGCATATGAATCATTTGCGCACCGCCCTTCTGGAAAGCCACACCTCGCGGTTAGCACGTATTTGCAGGCATTGGAGGAGATATCTCGTCGGTCCTTCCTTACAGCTTTAACAGCACCCCCGGTGGCATTAGACTGCATCGCGACATTATTCTCCAGGTTCATGGTCACGCTCTTATTGCCCTGCTGCACCACGAAAATCGACCTGGTGACATTTCGTGCCTGCGCTTGTTCCGTCGCATTCAGGTCTTTGACACTCGTTCCGATCAGGAAGACGTTTGCAAGATGGTCAATCGCGCTCTGCGACACGTTGGGGACCTTGTACACGTTTCCGTGGATCCGGAGACTCCAGCCATGCTCGGTCCAGTTGCCATACGAGCTAACAAGACGTCAGTCAGTCAGCGCCTCGACACATGCTGAAAAGTGAATACAGACTGAGCGGTACTCACGGCAGATTCAGGACGTGCGTGGGTTCAGCATTCAACTCGGTGCTCGACACGCCGAGCGACTTTTCCACGGCAGTCCCCGCGGGGAAACCATTCGGAAAGTTGAGGATACCTGATTGCAGAAGAGAGGATGCTCTGCTCTCAACGTCGCTGGTCAAACCCTGCACGTAGCTCTTGACGTCGTCGCCGAGTCCTCGCTGGTCGAGCGCGACAGCCAGCGTCGGCGAAGGAGCCCGCTGCTGAACAGCACTCGCAACAGGCGTCTGCGCGGCAACGGGCGTCCCCGTGGGAACGGCCCAGCCCAGGGCGCCGCAGCCGACTAGCACGAGGGCACTTCTCATCGCTGAGATACCAATGGCAACATCTCCAGGTAGAAGGGGAAAGGGGTTCAGAAGTGCTCTGTGACTACGATGTGTGTTTGGGGGGGAGCAAATCAACAATCATGCGTCTGCTGTGGGCCACCCGCCCATCGACCTCGGGAGCGTCATCCTACATCTCGAGAGACGGCGTTTATCTTGTTCCTGCAGCGGCATGGTGACATCACTCTGCACGGGCTGGCTGACGCTGGCGCACGCCACGTTACTCTATTGGGTCTCTGGTCTTGAGGGCATGACCGCTGCGAAACGGGGCGACTCGACTCCAACCACCTTGCAGAAGTCAAAAAAATTTCTGATCCCGCCAATCGACATGTGCTTCCCGGGATGCGTACGAAAACCATCTGCACTACGAGAACTGATGTCATTGGCGGGGAGATGTTTTCCTACAGCCTTACACTTTACACCCATATGACATATTCTTCAATGCCTTGTTGTGCAAATCGTGGGCCGGCACGATGCCACAGATGCGCGTCTTGAACGAAGCCCCTGCAATTTTCTGTTAGACCTCGAGCTTCTGTTGTGTACGGAGTGTGAAGGGTAGACTTATCCCCTGGCCGCTGGGGGGGCTGTCCTCTCACCATTGCTGGCACGAGGACAACCAGAGCTGCCTTGCTCCTTCGAGGCCTGCTCTTTGAAACCAATTGATTGGGGGCCAACTAGTTACCAGCTTCCGTTCATCTCCATGCCAATTTCTCCATTTGCTTCAATCCCAGACAAGTACGAAACTTTGACTCCAACTCAGGATGGGTCCCGGGATGAGGCATGTAGCAATCAACAGGGCAGAGAATCCAGGGCCGCATGGAATTCATTGACAGATGCTCCCGCGATTTCATCGGCTCGGTGACCAGACCCAGGTAAAACGCAGTAACACGAGACTCGACCGTCAAATCAACAATTCCTTCTGTGTGTTCTTCGCTGCCAACAAGGACTAATTTTTGTATCCTCTCCATCATGCATCGTCGATGCTAGCTTGCAAGGAGGGCATCAACGCGCGGACAAAAGATATCCATAAAAACCGCGCTTTCGTCTTGATTCATTCCTTTCGGAAGGCTGTCAAGGAAGTTTTTGAGGGCCAATGGCACCACAAAGATTGACTAGCGTCTTCCGGCATTGCTCACTGATGCTTGCAATGGAAAGTTAATGCGTCTGGCCAGGCCTGATGTGGTATCACACATGTTGAGAGTAACCCCAGATGTGGTCCCAAGTGCTTGTCGACGACACGGGCAGAGGTGACACGGCGAGGAGGAGCCTGGATGACGGCGAGACATCCGAGAGCATGTCAAGCTTGGTGACGGGGAGTATCAGTCGAGTGTTTCTGTTTGTGCCTATGAAATCCTCACTACGCTCGTACTTGGCAAGTGTTCCTGCAAGGCAGTCCATAGGTCATGTTCAATGGAAACGCAGTGACTGATGGTATGTGTCCAAACATTGGCTCAGCTCTCTCCGCTAGCCTCCCAATCGGCCGTTTCTCTTCTTGTCTGTCGACATTCTTTTGGACTGCCTACATTAGCCAACGTCACGGTTCCGTTGGATTGAGCTGACGAGTGTCCTCAGACCAGAGGCTCTTATGAATACTCATGGCTCAGATCTCTTGGAAAGTGTTCTCCCATCAGTCCGCCGCGAGAGGATCCAATACGGCCGGCCGCTTTCCAGCGGTCGGCAGATGTGGCATCACTTTCAGGCTTAAAAGATGTATCGAACGACTGACGCAATACTCCAACCAGATCTTTTCTTAGGGTTAAGTTCCGAGCTCGATCCCCTGAGGAAGTGAGACTCGGTAAACTGTACAGGAGGCGACGCGAGGAAAGGTGCACCGTGTTTCGGGCGCGAAGGAGTGAAGCATGGCGTGGAGGAGTCTCTGTTGGAAAGCTGCTGTCTGTGTCTGGTAGGTTGTGAGCAAGAATAGACAAGTGTCGTTGACGACTATCCGGGACTTGGTTGTGAGAAGATCGAGATGAACGAGGCCGGAAATCAAAGCAGCGGGCCAATAAATAGTAACAAGGTCGTGTCTTGAAGCTACGCGCGCGGCGCGTTGGACACGAGAGCAGCTGACTTCGCGTCGAGTTTTTACAGTGCGTTTACGTGCGAATATGGTTTTCCGCACTGTATGGCGCGCTGCGTCGCAGAAACCCTCCATCGAGTAATTTGTAGTGGCGAAGGCGCATATGGGACCATATCATCTCCAAATGACCATGTTATGTAGCAAAATTCATGGCTGAATCGTCCGATACGGCGTCTTCTAGACCTCAACTAGTTGAAGGCCTAGTGGAGGCGGCAAAAAGGGCTTTCGACCCTGCATCCCATGAGGGGAGCCGGCAGTCCTATCTCGACACATACAATGGGATTGTCGCAAAGTAAGTCGATTTCTCGTCGAAATCTGTCACGACAGCCTAACGCAAGAACAGAACTGAAACATGGAGACTCTTGCCGGTTTTGAACTCGTTGGTCAAGCCCAATGTTCTTCCTCCATGGCTACGGAAGCCGCTGTTTCAAACTCTCACATTGGTGCCAATGCGCTCCGACGGAGTTCGCGGCACCATGGAATTTATATTTTCTGTCCACCCCAGCAACCAAGCCGGCGCCAGAGACTCGGAACAGCCTCAAAAGAGCGGTGCAAGCATCACTCACGAAGCCGTGGCTGTTGCTACAAGACTGCTGTCAACCGTGCCATCTACTCTGGGGGCCGAGGACTGGTACGGTGCTATTGCACCTCAGCTATGTCAACTTCTGGATGGCGACGCCGGTCCGGATCTGGCCAAGACGGCTGCTCAGATCATTGGGTTCGGGATTCTTGGTAAGAAGGCAACGGGCGCCCCAGGTAAGCACGTCCGTTGTTGACATTGCATCGCAATTGCATCACATTAAGAATGGAGAACAGGGGCAGCAGGGTGGAATGCATTCGTGCAGCCACTGCTCGAACAGATCAATCCGTCCCTCAGAATGGCAGAAACCGGTACGCTTTTCCCCAGAAGCGAACAAGACAATGGTGGTTTTGTAGACCTTAGCCGTGGCCGGATTGTCGTTTCCAGCGTCCAGCTTCACCAGGCACTGAAGCGGCTGCAAGTCCTGATTTTGTCAAACCCATCACCTGGTCTATGCATGAGGACGTTGAAACCCGTAATCATCCAACTTTGGGCACTGGCTTCCATCTCGAATCCACCGGCAGCGGTTTCGGAAAAGTACAGCCTCCCGGCCCAAGCTCTAGTGCAAACATATCTGAAGCTATTTGGGAAGACGGAAAGCGTTTGTCCCATAATTCGGAACATTCTTTGCGAAGGGTCTGTCAGCGGGTCAAGCGATTTCTGGCAATATCGAATCGTTGACGAATCAAACATAGACGCCATTGTTCCGATCCGGTCCCCGTCAGACGACGCACATATGTTGGCAGAGATAGACACGAAGGCCGATAAGCTTGTGCAGATTCTTGCGCAGGCCTGTTCGAACGAGGAACTACCTGCTATTTTTCTTTTCCTCTTGCAGCGTTGGGTCCGAGTACTGGAGGGGCAGGGTAGTCCCGGAATTACAACGTCCAGGGACGAAGCGATGACTTCGCCCGTCACAGATCTAGCTGAAGTTGCTGTGCTACAACGACTCCTGGAACTGCCCCCGGAGAAGCTAGTTGGTCGCTTTGACCAACTTTTGGACATCATTTGTCAGATTCTCAAGGGCGATGGCAGCACCCCCCTTGGAGACGACGTCGTTTCGGTCGCACTAAGCCTCCTGAATCTTGTTGTTACGGCACCGAGCTTTCAGAGATCGGATATCAAGCCGGACTACTTGAAGCAGATCGGAGACTTGCTTGACAGGATCAGTAGCTCGGGAAGCTCCGAGGTGTCTGGTACTGCCCGGAACCTGGCAATGCTGCTCCAGTATAGGGACGAAGTTGAGCCGGGGCGCGAGAAATCAGCATCCGCCCCGTCCCTCCGCCAGATTGAGGACAAGAGGACTCACAACTTGGCCATGAGCTACATCACGGACAGCGAAAGCCCACCGCCGGTTGTTTCAGAGGGTCTCAACATGCTGTCAATGCTCATACTGACGGAGAGTCCGATCTTGGATATCACTGCCATCACAGCTCTGATGTCTAGTTTATTGAAGGACAGTGAAGACTACGTTATTTTAAGAGTGGTCAAAATCTTCACGCAGCTGGCCAACAGACATCCCAAATCGACTATTGGAGAGTTGCTCGATAATTATTTCGATGCCCAAGAAAAGTCTACCACTGACGTCCGTCTCAGATTTGGAGAAGCCCTAGTTCAGGTCATCGAGCGGCTGGGTCAGACGTTTTCAGGAGACGTGGCCAGGCAGGCCTCGGAAATGTTGCTGACTGTTGCTGGTCGACGAGGACACAGGCCAAAAACCATGGCCAAGCAAGCGCGAGAGGAAAAGCTGGCTGCCTTGAGGCGATCCCGCGCTTCGAGCAAGGACGACGAGGACGAGGACGAGGACGAGGACGAGGACGTGGACGTGGACCTCGAGGACGAGAAGCGAATGACGGAAGAGGAGAAGGCCAACAATGATATACTAGCACGAATCCTACAAGGCTGGGAAAGCAAACGCGGCAGCGAAGATGTTCGGATGCGGACATCGGCCCTCTCCGTGTTTGGTGTTGCGTTGGAGACCAACATTGGTGGTACTGGACCAGCGCTTGTGTCCGACGCAGTGGACCTTTGTATCAACATTCTGGCCATGGAGAGAGATGCTCAACACGGCATTCTTCGCAGGGCGGCCATCATGGTTGTCCTCAGCTTCGTGCGAGCATTGCACCAAGCAAGAGAGTGTGGGCGCTCGCTCGGATTCGGGCTCACGGAATCTAGCAAGGGGGATATCCAACGGACGCTGGGTTACGTCGCGACCACGGACAACGACGGGCTTGTGCAGCAACATGCACGGGACGTCGTGGAGAGTTTGCAGAACTGGCAGGCCGGCAGTTTGCTTCCGCAACCAACCGGGACGAGTGCGAGCGGCTTGGCTCGTCTCGCCGGGCTCACTGTCAATCCGGAAGCAAGCCTTGACCAGCCATGGGAGCGACGTCGTCCGAGAATAGAAGAGGTGGAATGACCCTTGGATCAATCTGGGGAATATTGCCGGCCCGGGGATGTTTCGTTCTTGAGCGCAACAGTGGTGCGACGTGCAGCGTCTTGGAACATGGGATGGAGATATCGGACAGAATGCATCCCATGTTCAGGCAGGCAGGGTCTCGGCTGATTGCTGCGCTGGTGACTCGTGGCACGTCATGCGCGGCCACGAACGGGATACGACAGTGAGATGTACACCAGGTGCTCGATAGGCTGAGCGGGTTGCAACACGTTCACGTTCTACTCTGCAAAGGGGCGCGAGGTGGGAACAGGCGTTTCTACAGACATGTCCAGGGTAGCAGTGTTTGTGGTATGAACAGGTTACAGCCTTACAGGATCGAGGCCTGGGCAGCAACACCCCTTGTGCCCAAGGGGCTGGCTGGTCATGGTCATTTCAGAATATGGAGGCAGCGTTGTGAATCCTGCGAGATGCACCGCCTCCACACTCTGCCTCTGCCTCTACCTCTGCCTAGACGTGTTGTGGAGTAAAGATGCGGATTCAGGTCGCAGTCACTGTCCTGCAATTTGCAATTCATCGTACTTTCGTACGAACAGGGAGGTTGTTGGTGGGCATGTCACGCACAGAGCACCGCAGCCGACTTTGCTCGGTGGCTGTTTCAGCATCCGACGTCATGGCCAATAAACGGCAACGGGGCGTGGTTTTCTGATGTCCCGACTTCCTTGCGCGCCGGCGCACTGCTGGGGTCCAACTTTGTTCAGGTCAGCGTATCTCCTTGATAAAAAGCGCGCCTACTCCGAACTAGGCCAAGGCATGGCATTGCATTGCATCCGATCCCTTCATGGATGGATGCGTAGTATCCCCGTTCTCATGGTCCCGAACCGCCGCGCCCTTGGTGTAAGCCGCGACTATCCTTGACTTTGCTGTATGGCGTATTCCGTACGTACGTTGTACATTGCACGTATTGGCTGTACCACGCAAGACTCGGAAGAAGACGTCGAGCGTTTGGGGGTACGGACATCTGGCAATCGCTGGGTGGCGGGATTGTTCCACCCAGCCATTGAAATTATTGTTCTCTTACCGCCACGACAACCATGGTGCAGGCATGGCTCATGGAACTTTCCATCAATCGACAACTGGGAGAGGATTGACGAGTCAATAATGCGAGCAAAGGGGGGGGACATGGAAGGCAAGGGATGCAAGAGTCTTCGAAAACTCGGCTTGCACGCACCCGCAGGGCGACATCAAGGTTTCGCGGAGAATTGACGACTTGTTAAACACAGCACAGACGATGAGACTGCTCTGTCCAAGTACACAACCAGCTGGGGAGTAAATGTGTATTTTGTGCCTGGTGTCGAATTTGCGCAGCCGTGGACCCGGAAGTCCGGCTCCAGTACTCCGTATTGTCTTGAACCCGTCATTCCTCATGATTTGTTGGACTCGCTCGCTCGTGTCGCGCTTATAGCAGACAACAAACGACGAGTGATGCGCTGCTGGCATCCAGGCTCTTGGCTCTAGCAGATAAAGTACGGCGTTCGGAGCGGAGATATATTGAGGGGGCGACCACTGATGAACGGCGAGGCAAATGGGCACGCAATATGGAAAACTGTTGGGGGGGTGTGTGATTAATACAAGGACGGGCAGGGGCAGGGGCAGGGTCAGGGCTCAGCCCGCAAAAGGGGCGTCGGCGCAAGGGATCGGTGGATCGTCAAGCCGGAGGACGGAGTAGCAAGTAATAGTTCCAAGTACTCCGTACGTACTATGAATTTGTACTCCGTAATTGTACTCCGTAAAATGGCAGGTTCTTTCCTTGCCTCGCCATGGCCCATGACGCCTCGCTTGCAGCTCGTTGACGCCCAGTTGAGGCTAGTTGCAGGGGCGAGGATGAATGATTGGACCACGGCTCGTCTCAGAGTTGCACCTCTTGCCGGTACCTGCAGCTCGCGCCACCAGCGCTTCCCCTGAGCCAATTCCCCCGAGGGAAGGAGCCGTCTTGGTCGGGCTTGCCAACATTCGACAACAGGCCATGCCATGCCATGCCATGCCATGCCACGCCACGCCGGCCATGGAACAGAACAGGCCTCTCAAACCTTGAGCGCTTTGCGGGCGAGAAGAAACACCAAAACACCAAAACCCAAAAGCAAAAGCAAAAAAGATGCCCCCCCCCCCCCCCCCCCCCAGTCAATCCACTACTACTGCTGGTACGCTGTTCCCCGTGTTGTCGATTTGAGTCTTCATCCGCTCCCCAGCTAATTAATCAATCCATTAATCAAGTGCCGAATTGCGATGTTCACGTCTAGCGCCGCTCTGGCCACATCGTCGTCGCTTCTTCTTCGTCCGGCACTGGCACTCCGTACGGACACGACGCAACACAACGTGCCCACGTACCGCTGCTCCGGTCCGGTGTACGGTGTACGGAGCATGGGCCATGGCAACCTGCAACTTGACCTGGCTGGGGGCGCATCGTCTCCACACTACACTGCCTCTGGCGACGGAATGGCGCTCCCTTTGTCCCCTCCGCCATGCGCCAAGTGCCTCGCGGCCCCAGCGGTTTGCTTGTCGTCTTCGCGCTTTGCCCCGTTGATGAAGTGGTCTTGTTGGCAGCTGGCTTCATTCTTGCTTGACTGCTGGCATTTGTCCCCAGTATTATACTGTACTAATCAGACAGGTGGCCGCCGCTATGTATGTGTCATGAATCTATTCTTCTCCTGGCTCCCGACATTGTTGGATTTCGGCCAGTGGAGCCACGAGGGACGGCTTTTTTTAATCCGAACCGAGGAACGAGCGAGCGCCCCAGCAGTGCCCGAGACTCACAGCTAGCCGACAGTCGATCAATCACACAGCACCATGGCCTGCCCGTTCGTCGGTTCCAACGTGGTTGCTGACCGAATCTCCTAGCCCTGGTCCCTGGTGCCCGGCCCCTGGTCCTTGCTCTTGTTTTGACCCCATGTCCATGAACGAACCATCCGGCATCACTCAATTCGCCCCACCGCCCAACTACGAGGTCGCACATACATACTACGTACGCACATACAAGCAACCGCATCTACCTGAATACTACGCACCGAAAGAGTATGGAGTACGGAGTACGCCGTACATGTATGGACATGCGTATGTGCAAACATGGAGGAGGATGTGGCTGACCGAGGTAGCAATGGAATTGCAGCTTCCTTGGCCTACTTCGCCCCCCCTCCCCTTTCTTGGCCTTTATCTAGTCTCTCGTCGCACCTTTCCCCTTCACCCTATTTTCTCCCTCAAAGTCAGTCTGACTTTATTTCATACACTCCTTTTGGCGCGTCTTCTACCGCCGTCCTCGCTACCACAGCTCTATATCGATTCACGACGTCAAGCAGGCTGCGTCTCAACTCAACCACTGACCAACCGTATATCTCTACTCTCATTCATCGCATTTCCAAGTGAGCAAGCTAGGCTACCGCTTTTTACCGCGCGGAATCGACTTTCGCTCTTTGCCAAACCATCATCAGTTCAAGAAGATTTGCCCGACCGAGCATTCAAGTACAGTCTGATATTAAATCGTCATTCAATCACCAACCAGAGGCAAGCAAATCCCGCACGATACTAATCGGCGTCCACCCCAACCCTTCACCAATCGCATCATCCAACAGGATGAAGTCTGCTGTTGCTACACTCGGCCTGTTGGCCGCTGTTGCCTCGGCTTACACGCCTGGCCGACGCCATCTGCACTTCCCTCGTGCCAACACGACCGACAACATGACCACCGTCACTGTCAAGGCCACCAAGGTTCAAACCATTACGAGCTGTGCCCCTACCGTCACCAACTGCCCGGCTCGTGCTAGCGAGATCGCTAAGCTGCCAGAGGCTCAGAGGATTGTCACCACCGTCACTGACACAACTGTCCTGACCGAGATTGTATGCCCCTTGACCGAAGCCGACAGGGTCTCCTCCTCGGTTATGGCACAGGCCTCCGCCGGTAGCCTTTCTGGTTTCATCTCACATCCCTCCTCCGCGGCCGAACATGTTGCAACTACGCTTCCCGCCAATGCCACTGCCCAGCCAGGCGCAAGCTCAAGGACTCTGACCATGACCCTTGGAGTTGGCAACACCGCTTCTCGTGTCACCACTGTCGTTCCCGTCACTGGTTCCGAGCCCGTCGTTCCTGGATCGCAAACCGTCGCGCCTATTGAGAGCGAACCGACCACCACCGTGACTTCTACTACCAGGATTACCCACACTATCACTGTTTCGCGGGTTCACCCCACTGCGTCTCTTGGGGGTGGCAAGAGCGGTAACAATGGCGCCGGCAATGGTAGTGGTGGCAATGGCGAATGTGTTCCGTCTACTGTAACTGTGGCCGAAAGGACAATCACAATTCCCGCATCTACTGTTTACGTTACCATCGGCGGTCCTGTCCCTACCGATGCCGGTAACGGCAAGTCAACTCCCACTCCTGGTGCCGGTAACAGCAAGTCAACTCCTACTCCTGGCGCCGGTGACAGCAAGTCAACGCCTACTCCTGCTGCCGATAAGGATGACGAGGATTCCGAATGCACCAGTGACACCACTACTCTTCAGAAGACACTGACCGTTGTCCCATACCCTACTGGCAACGGTACACACAACAGCGGCTCTCCCAAGCCCTCTGGCTCGGCTCGTCTTCGCTAATTTTGGCTGATGGCGGTGCGGGACAACGGAGGCTAAAATCAAAAAGGCATCTGGTGGGATCCTATTTGACTTCTCACTGGCGAACCGTTAGCGTGCTTTGGGGCCCAATGTCTCGGCGGAACAGCAAAGGAAGGCAGTCGCTTGTTTTGACGTCAACTCTGTGTTGATGAGGAAGCGGCGAACATGGTCAAGGAGGAGAAAATTCCCCCGTCTCTGAGAAAAAGTCAGAGTCTTGGTGCCAAGGGTATTTTTTATATCAATTCCACCATCTCCGCAGAACAAAAAACCTCGCGCCCCCTTGGGGAGATGGCTCAATGGTCAATGTTTCTCGATTGTATTTGATATCTGGAAGCGACTATTTTGTGGTTGAAGACAACAGAGGTATCAGATACCAACCGGTAGGGGTCGATCCTTGGTGCAATGTAAACCACTAGTTGGTGCACTTTTTGAAGTGGGATAGACGTTTTCGTTAACATTCTAGTTATATTTCGTGTCTATGTATATATGTATTTATCTCTGTCTGCCCGACGACTTAGTTTACAGAAATCAATCGCTTGAAATCTTGGCAACGACCTGATGCGTACACGGCTTGCGTGGCGTCATGTTCCACTTGAGTGATGACGATGGAAGAGACGTCATGCTGTGTAGTGACGGGCAAGACGCCTGACGGCGGGATGGTAAAGACGCGACTCTTGCTTGCACAGTGGCGGAGTGAGCATCGCAGTACCAGAGACGTGGTGATGTTGGGTGCTTCACCTGTATTGGAAAACAAAAAATCGACCCACGCCCATACTGCCGAGACGCCCACACGCACGCATTTCTTTTTTCGGTTTGAACTGATGATAGCCTCAATATTTTAGTAGTCGAGAGCGAGATGAGGTGCAGCCCATCTCCTCGAGCGCCGTATGGTGCCAACTGGGCATTGATAAAGATGCCGTGTGCTGGCAGTCATCTGAAAAGATGAGGACTCAACAACTCCTCGCCCGCTCAAGGGATGTGGAAGGGATCGTCGCGGGCCATGATTGGCTCTCGGAATGTCCGTCCAGTACGTAGGTCGACAGCTATCGACCTGTGTCAGATTGATGCCAACCAAAGATCGAAGCACAAAGAAAACACAAAGCATGCACAGCCAACCAGATGGGCGGTGCCGCCCTGCAACCGGGTCAGCGCCAAGGCACAAACGAAGCTGATTGGCACAAGAGCTGCCAGGTGCGCGCACTTGCGGGGCCGCCCAGCAATGTCCTGCTTGGATTCCTGCCCACCCCCCGCCGCCATGTGAATGACGTTTGACCCCTCACTTGCTTCCCCTCCATTTGACATTTCCCTCCTTCAACAAACCCTCCTGCGTCTTCTGCTAAATTCGCTTCCTCCTTCGACTCCTCCGTCAATTAGAAAAATCATGTCTCGGCCCCAGGTCTTCTTCGAGGTCACGGCTGACGGTAGTATGTCACGTCCTGTTTCTACAGCCTCCCGTCCCTGCCCCGCGAAAATGATGCAACAATTGATAGCTGACAGCCTCGTCCCCTTGCTCGTACAGAACCCGTCGGCAAGATCGTCTTCCAGCTCTACAGCGACAAAGTCCCCAAGACTGCTGAGAACTTCCGCGCTCTTGCTACTGGCGAGAAGGGCTATGGCTACGCCGGTTCCATCTTCCACCGTGTCATTCCCAAGTTCATGCTTCAGGGTGGTGACTTTACCAACCACAACGTAGGTGATCAAGTCCAGCCTGCCACGCTTTTTTCGTACTTTTACCTGGCTGCGCCGGAAACGGTTGGGGCTAACAAATCTTTCCCCCCTCCCTCCAGGGCACCGGTGGCAAGTCCATCTACGGCGAGAAGTTCCCCGACGAGAACTTTGAACTGAAGCACACCAAGCCTGGTCTGCTCTCCATGGCCAACGCCGGCCCCAACACGTATGTCTTGTTCCCTGTGTAAACAGCCGCCGCTCAAGGAAGAACCGCGATACTGACACTGTGATTTTTTTTCTTTTTCTTTTTCTTTTTGTTTTAGCAACGGATCTCAGTTCTTCATCACCACCGTTGTCACCTCGTGGCTCGATGGCAAGCACGTTGTCTTCGGCGAGGTCACCGAAGGCATGGATGTTGTCCACGCAATTGAAGCCATGGGCAGCACCTCCGGCAAGACCAACAAGAAGATTGTCATTGAAAAGTGCGGTCAATTGTAAAGTGTCTGGACACCCGTTTGGTCTCTTGGCGACTCGACTCGTCTGGTGTGAAAAATTTTTTTTTGGCCTTGGCTCTACCATGATGTAAGCTCGCTATCTTAAAAAAGAAGTAGTCATCCAGGTATGGATGACTAAATACGACGAGACGGTGCTACGGATGGGAAAATGCAGCGTGGTCTCCCGTCATGTCGTGATGCATATCACACAATGCCCCTTCATGGGCTACCACTGTAGAAGTTGGTCATGTGTCTTGTTTCCACCCGTCAGTCGTCAATTCGTGAATTCATGTATCCAGCTCAAAGCCCGTGCCCCACCAGGTCAAGGTTGCAGAAAACAAATCAAAGTCGACCCTCCAACGCCAGACGGACCCGCAACGAGCTCCCGACATGCTCCTCATTCATGGCGCAGACCCCATCAAACAAAGTCACCCCAAGACGGCCTGCTCGTACGCCCTCTGATCCAAGTGCTTGAGCAGCACGGCCCGCAACGTGGCCTTGCTGCTCGCCAACAGGGGCAGAATACCTTCCGTCTGCTCCAGATTCCCCCGTATGCTGTCGACATGGTCGCCGAGCTGCATGGCAAGCGGGTGAATCTCATCGTCGCCCCGGATGCCCTGTCGCCGCATTCAGCAATCAGCAATCGTTCGAGCCTTGGGGAAAAGGAGCGGAAGAAGGAGGAAACAAAAAACCCCATCGAGGTAGAGGTGAAGAAGGAGCTCACCGTGAAGGCACCACCGGGTGCCGTGTCCGGGTCGCGACCAAACACAAACGCGTCGAGGTTGTCCTTGGCGTCGGCGTCGACGCGCCCGTCCTCGGGCTTCACCGACGGCGCGGGCGTAAGAGGATGGGCCTTCTTGAGCAGGCTCCTCTGCTCCCTGGCCTGGGCCCTCGCGCCGGCCTCGAGGTTGCGCAGGGTCTCGTAGTCGCGCTCGAGCTCCTGCTCCGTGGCGTCCTTCTCCCTGCGGAGCAGGTCGAGCGAGTCGAGCGCGGGCTCGAGCTGCCTCTCGAGGCCGAGCTTGCCGTCGAGCACGCTCTCAAAGTTGAGCTCGACCTCGCGGCCGGCGTCGCTCTGCGCGGGCGCGCGGCCGACGTTGGCGGGCATGCTGGCCGGCGGGAAGGGCAGGCCCCGCGAGATCTTGCGCGCGATGCGCTGGGCCACCTGGCGGACGGCCGCGGCCGTGTGCTCGCGCCGGAACTCGGAGTCTGCGAGGCGCTGGAGGATGGGGCGCTGCGCGTGCTGGAGCGTGGTCGAGACGGCCGTCAGGGACGCGTTGGTCAGCGGCGTCCACTTCGCCTCGATGGCCGACTGGCGCACGCGTCGGGTGTGAGCGGCCACGTGGACGTAGGGCTTTTCGGGGGACGGCGGCGGAGGGCGAGACGCTTCGTTGTCGTCGTTGTTCTCGTCGTCGCGGGCGCCCGTCCTGCCGAGGGAGCCGGGTTGGCTCGGCTGTGGGATTCCTCGGCGTCCGATGACGCCCGCGCCTTGGCTGCTTCGCCGTGCGGCCTCTGATGCGCGAGGCCTCTTGGCCGGCCTCTCGCCTTCGCCTGTGGTGGTCCGCCGGCCCGTGGCAGAGCCCCAGCTCTCGCGGAGCGAGGACTGCGTCGGCCCACGTGTCGTGGCGGGCTGGACGTCGCTTTTCCTGGGCCGCCCGCGCTTTTTGACCTGGGTGGACGCGTTGGGGGGCCGGCCGCGTTTGCGCTCGGGGTTTGGCGCCTACGTATGTATACGTATGTGTCAGTGCTTGCCGGAGGGAGACGGTTGCGTTGGAGGGTGTGCACCATGGAGTTCTGGCTGCGCTCGGGTCTCGACGCAAGTTGTGAAATCGGGGGTCTCGAAGAGGACGTCAAGAGAGGTGGTGTCTTGTCTGCGGAAGCTCGTGTCCATTGATTGATTGGATGGCCTGGCTTGGCAGCTCAATTGAGCACGACGGCGTTGCCCACACGTGACACAGGCTTCGGTACCCACCATCGCCACCAGTGATGACCGCCTGTCAGTTTTGATTGGCCCCTCACAGGCTGCCACTCCGGGGTTGTTGCTGCTGCTGAGCTCCGTTCTCCCGCCAATGATTGTGATTAATATCCGCCGCCGCCGCCATGCCCGCGAACCCCAGACGTGACGTCCGCCACTCGACTCCGATCGAACTCTTCGCCGTCTCTCTCCGACTTTATTTGCATTTCATCCCGCTTCCTTATCCTGTGCTTCGCTGTGGGATTGCCAACAGCTCCCCCGTGAAAGCGTTTTCATTTCTCACGCTCAGTAGCAGCGCCGGGACGCCATCATCCGCGGCGACACTCTCCAAAGAAGGAGAACCAGAAAAAAGCGAGACAAGAAACCGAAGGGGAAACAAAACCCACAATGCGCTTCTCTGCGTCGGCCATTTTGGCGGTCCTGCCACTCCTGGTGTCAGCCCAGGAAGATCCATTGGCGCAATACAAAGCGCAGTTCCAGGCCTTCATGAATAAGATGACGGCGTACATCCCAAACCCGGGAAAGCATGATCCCGTGGCTGCACTAGAGGCGAAGCTGGGCAGCATGAAGATGTCTACATTGACCCTGGAGAACTGGAAAGAGACGCTGTACGAGCCCGTTGCTCCTGGGGCTACTGTTCCTACAGAGTGGTGGGTGTTGATTTCTGGCCGCAACAAGACTTGCTTTGGTGAGTTCCTTATTCTCTCTCCTCCCCAATTCCGCCGCGCGGTGTTCCCCAAAGTGCGATGCTGTGCTGTCTTGGTTGGCTGACCCCAACGAAATCCACAGGCCATTGCGGCAAGGTTGAGCAGGCTTTCAACGAAACGGCCGCCAAGTTCGCCATCCTCCCTGGGTCTCCCCACATGGGCATGCTCAACTGCGACGACCAGCCCATCCTGTGCAACGCATGGTCCGCCGGCGCTGGCAGCCTCTGGTCCATCAACATGCTTCCGGCCCCAGCCACCATTGACGTCTACAAGAAGCGGCTCAATCTCACCACAACCACCTCCGATGACCTCGTCAAGCTTAACCAGGCCGAGTCTAAGCAGGCGGCTGGCTTCGTCCCCCTCGACTCGTGGTTTCACCCTTTCAACGGCAAAGCCACTGAGCTTGGCCTCGCCGTTCCCTACGGCTACATCATGTGGGTGTTTGGGCTTGTCCCCAACTGGCTCTTCATGGTGATAGTATCCTTTGCCAGTCGCAGCTTCATGAGCAAACGCATGCAACCCGGCGCCGGCGCCCCTGGTGCGTCTACGGGCCGGCGTCGACCTCAGTAGACTTTGTTTTTTTTGCACAAGCCGCAAACTTGAGTCGTCGACGTGATGTATATGTTCTGTTTCAACTCTGCGTGTTAGGACAACGGTGTCGCGGGGCCGCGTCGAAACGCTGCATGCGTGAACTTGATGGGCATGAATAAAAAAAGGGGATATTCATAAACAAGAGGCGGATGTGTAACAGTATGGGTTGTGTCTTTTTGAATGTAGTTTCAATAGGCGGCAGGCAGGCGACTTACCTGTTGTCCGGGGGGGTTGTCAGTCAAAGTAGACCAATATCAACAACTAATGCCAGATTTCACGTCTTGCTCGCACACGCGTGCTGCAAGGAGACCAGGCCCTCCAACACGTCCATCCTCAGCTGGGGATTGGACAGTTTGCCGTACTGCAAATCGCTCAGGTCGTCAATAGTCTGGCGTATGAAAGCCACAAGGTCTGCCTCCTCGTCCTCGAGTCGTTGCATCTCGGACTCCATGGCTGCCGCCGCCCCGTGCAAATCCGGGATGACGGTGTGGAGGGTATACTTGGCGCGTTTGGCACCCGACTTGGTTCCAAACAGCTGCGCGTTGTCGTGGTTCGTCTCAGCTGTCATGAAAAGAAGAAGAAGAAGAAGAAGAAAGGGTTTCCATTGCCAAAACGTACCGCTCTTTCAATCTCAATTTCTGCGTCGCCATCGTCGTCCTTGCTCTCCTCTAATGCGACGCGGAGGACTTCACGACGCATGGCAACGCCCCGTCGTGCCTCGGCGTCAATGTTCTCGGTGACGGTGTTGATGACGGTGTTGCGCTGGGCCTGCAGGTCACGGAAGAGGAGGCGCACTTGCGGGTGTGCTTGCCAGGAGCGAGGGAAGAGGGCGCGGAACTGCTCGAAGGTTTGGATGGATGTGAGCGGCGCTGGCAGGAGGAGGTAGTGCTTTAAAATTTCGGATTCGGTTGGTGCCATGATTATTATTATTATTATTTTTTTCTTGTTGTTTGATTTTGGATTGCTGGTTTGTGGTGGAAAATAGAGGTTTCGAGTGACGCGACGGGCGGCGTTGAGTGGGCGGTACTCGGTCGTGGAGTAGTCATCAACTTGTCACGCAAGAAAGAGCGAAGCCAGAGGCCACTTTTTGCCGCGTCAATGTTAGGCGATACCTTCTTTGGAGTATATCTGACACAAGCTGGAAGCTTGGTACACCCCTTGTACCCCTCGACTGGTCGTCGCTGTCAGGTACGCGCTTACTTAAGTACCTAGGTACTTCCCCTTGCGTCTCGGCCAATCACAGGCTGCTTCACCCATACTGCGATCGCGTCCGTCATGGTGCTACTGGTACATGGGTACTTACCATGGGACATCTACATGCAGTCAATTAACGCGACTTCAACTAATGTTCCTCTCACACAGACAAGTTGCCCGGAGAATGCAGATGACCCGACCATTGCTCGCCTACCTCAGCTGACCTGACCATTGTAGTTGACCTGACCTGACTATTGCTATAGGGCGCCTACTACTTTCTAATTGGCTAGAAGTTAAATTGTACCTATAGAGACTACTATTAGTAATTAAGAAATATATATAGAGAGCAGGGGTTTTTTCCCCATTAATACCTAGCAAGATTCCCTCCTAAATATATTATAAATTTAACTAGAATTAAATCTTAATTTAATCTTAATTTAATTTAATTTAGTCCTCTAACCTTACTATACTCTTCTTTCTCTATTAACTATTATAATAGATATTTTAGTTAGCTTGCTTAGAACTAAGAATATTAATAATAATTATAAACTTCTAGATCTACCTACTATTTATAATAAATTTATCTTTAATAGTAAAGATATTAATTCTATACTTTTGTAGAATATTTAAGCACTAAAAGATATTCTAGCTTCTAAGTATATACTATTTAATAAGGTAAGTTAAAATAATAAATATATTTTAATTATTATACTAACCTTTTTTATATAAGTTAAATATCTAGAAGCACCTTTATTACTATTAGTAAATCCCTTATTAAATAACTAAATTTAAATTCTAACTAATATATTAAGTATTTATTAAGTCTTCTCTACTACTTTTATTTCTAAAATACTATAAACTTTAATAAATAGTATTAAATATATTATTTTAATAAAAGTATTAAAGAAAGAAGATATTAAATAGCCTTAGAAAAGTATTTAATATAGTATTAAAAAAAGCTTTTCTACTAAGGTAATAACTTTAGTAGTATTAAGAAGTATTTTAGTATTTTAATATACTTTTAAGTATACTAGTAG